ATTCCACGCACAACGGTGCTCGGATTACCAGAAATCGGCCTCGAGCGATCGCCTGATTCATGCTCGAGAATTCTACTAGCCACAGAACTCGGCATTGCCTCATCGCAATCTCAATCTACTGTAAACCACACCGCATTTCACATTCACACTAGCAATCTAAAACCAAGCCATTCACAAGCAAACGAACACACAAATCCTACCAAATTAGATTACACACTAAGCAGCATCCAACGGTCAGGATCTTAAACTCGGAAGCATAATTAACTCAGTTTAAGAAGTCAATGTGAACGAAGAAGACGGTGAAATTAGAAGACCTAGGAGGGACGCGTGGCGGGAAAGGGGAGGGGGTAGCACGGAAGAAGCGTATACCTCTTGTGCTCGTAGGCGACAAGCGGGTTGAGAGAGACTTTGGTGGCGGATTTCATTTGGATCCGGTTCGATGCGCGGGGAGATAGGAGCGATCCGCTGGCGAAGATCTTCGTGCTCCGCGGCGCGCCCTTGAATTTCTGCAACTGAATTTTCAACTATGTGCGTGGGAGAGAGTCAGAGAGAGAGGACTGTGGGCCTGCGGCTGAGGGAGGGAGGGAGAGAGAGTTAAGATGGGTTTTGTTGAGGGAGTGGCAGAGTGATGTGTGAGTAGAGAGAGAGAGAGAGATGGAGAGACACATGCATAAGAGAGCGAGATTGCCGTCACATTATTACATGTGCTCCATGTCTCTAACACGGATTTCGAGATGAGGGAGGGAGAGAGGGTCTTATTTCCTGCTGAAGCAAATAAATGGAAAATTAAAAAGTATATTTTTCTTATACAGGCAGTATTTTTTTTTTTCAGAAATTATACAAGTGGTATTTAAAAAGAAAAAATCGAACACAAAATCTCATATGCATAGTAATTACAAGCTCATTGCATTATTTTTTATTCAAATAATAAGATGACAGAAATCAAACAATTGCCCCAATGTGAGTGTTTTTTTTGTTCAATACCTTATCATTATAGTTAAAAACCTCTTTAAAAGAGGGAATATTTGATTGAGGATTTTACCTAATTTTAGAATTTTTCTTTTAAAAAATTGGGAGAAATTTAGTATGATGTTATAATAGGAAATGGTTTCAAGGAATTTACTTATTTACAGAAAATTTAATTAATGAAAATATTTTTGGACAATTATGATGATGTTAAATTACCTTGTTGGTTCATTTAACTAATTGACTCGTGGCCGAGCCCATGAGCCATCATTTGTGACTGACTTACTTTTATGAGTCATTCTACAATCCCAATTTTGGAAACATTTTTATTAATTTTTATGGGTGGGTATAATTTCGGGTCAACCTGACTGACATATCCAACCTAATTATAATGGATTGGATTGAATTAGATTAAAAATGAGCGGGTTTTGGGTCTAAGAAATCACAAACAACTATGCACATATTGGAATCAAAACTTAAAAGTAAGCTTAACTTTGAGTTAACTTGACTGAACCACCTAACCTGATAACAAAAAGTTTGTGTTGGGCTGGATTGGCCAAATAACGAGCGAGTCTTTTTTTATCTAAAAAATTATAAACCATTATATATCGGGTTGGGACTAAAATCGACCCAACCCAACCTATGCCCACTCCTACTAATTTTGTAGGGAAAAAATTTGTTAGCTAGTGAATTTTGGTTTACAATGGGAGATGTAGAAAGATCAAGTCAATAATCAGCTTGCCAAAAATCTAGTAAATTATTGACCATATTTCTATACATATATAGAATGGACTGTGGGAATTCAAGGCCCTACCAATCATGTTTATAATATCATCCTAGTTAAATTTGTGTTATATACATGTATTATATACGTAATTTTCATTTATTATTAAAGTAAAGGACTATAACCCACAAATTTTAAATAATAATTATTACTACATATGTATTTTATTCTTATTTTTTCGTTACGTTGTTTACTAACTATAGTAAGGGGTTATGAAAATTACCATAAAAAGGACTTATCCTCAATTGGTGCGCTCGAAATGAGCACAAAACAGAGAGGCCCACAATCATCATTAGTGACAAATGAGAATGGCCTCACCTAGCCGGGCATCCAATATTTTGCCTCCCCTCAGAGGCCAACGAATGCGTTCCTCACCTTGGATGCCTTCATATATCAGTTATAAGGGACTAGAAATTCGTACGCAGTACTTCAGATGTATGAGTAAATATATTTAATCACTATAACTATAAATTTCGTATTCTTATATTGAACTGATAATATAAGATATCCATGCGACTACAAAATTATTTTAGGATGCATTTTGATGAAATAATTTAAGCAAAAGTATTTGGATTTAGGCGAGAAGAATTATAAGTAAATTTAGATTTTAGCCAAAAAAAAAATTTCACTTTTGGAAAAAGCCAAAGCTTTTTTAAAAAAGACAGAAAAACCTCTCAACTTTCAAATCAAAGACATGCAAATGTAAAGGATTCCTTAGGAAATCCAAAAATAAATAAGGGCAATTTTGTCCATTTTGGCTTCTTTTACAAAATTTCTCTCTCCTTTGTGTTTTTCCAAAGTCTCCCAAGATTATATTAGTAAAAAAAACAGCAGTTAATTCGAATATATTAATGTAGCAAAGTAATTGATTGTATTTGAGTGTTTTACCTCACGATTCACATGGTAAGCAAGGTGGCTGTAATTATTTGATTTGATTTTGTACAGTTTTTTTTCTTACTCATTTGTAACTTGTAACTTGTTGCCTGCTGTGACCTGTCGGTGGTGGGGTTTGCTTTTGTATAAAGACCCTTTTTATCGTAAATGCCAAATGTAACTCTCTTTTTTAATCTCAAACTCAAAAGAGTTGGTGTCGGCAGAAGACAATAATTGAGACAACGTTTTTACTCAGCAAGATATTTGCTCTATAGTATTTTTATTGTAATTTGCAAGCATTCTTCTGTAAAGTAACCATTTTTGTCTTATAATTAAAATACTTTTATTTATTTTCCAATAAAGCTTAAATTAGTCCCGATTAAACAAGTTATTATGCTTTGAAATCAAGCGAAATTAACTTTTGATGAAGACTCTCACTGGTTTCTTCTTGCAAAATTCATTTTTATTTTCGATAGAGGAGTCTTTCTTCCTTACAAGTTACATCTGCCTTTTTCCTAACATTTCTGCTCAGTTTAAGGCTTAAGGTAAGCATCGTGCCTTGGGGGACATATACTGGCATGAGGTCATGGTGCATATGGGGGTCGGAAAATCTTAAGGTTTGGTTGAACACGAGAATGGGTATTCAACTTGTGACGGTCATATTTTAAGAGATTTTAAATGTTAAAATGTCAATGTATTTTCTCTTCTCGGTACATTATATATATATATATATATATATATGCACGGCGCAGTCACGAATTTTATTATTTAAGAATCGAATTTCTAATATTTCTCTCCACCTTATAAACCAACATCAAAACCAAACCAAAGGTCGTTGATAGAAACTCAATTGATGATCATGTGGTTGGCTTCTCTATGGATATGAGCTCTCATGTTTCCCCTTGTTTTTTTTTGGTGTTGCCACCTTGTTCGATATGGGATAATCTTTGAGGGATGACTTCATTGGGGTTAAGTATTTTTTTTATTTACTGGTGCTATTTGTATCTGTTTAGTAGCTTTTTGGATATTGGTCCTTTGCCTCTCATCTCAAGAAGAAGAAAAAAAGAAAGGCAATGCACGTTTTTACCTTTGCATTGCATATCACCATATCTAATTTTGATATTCCCATATTCAAATTTATAATTAGCAATTTTTCCAAAAAAGCTAAAGGTTGTTTGATAACTATTTTTCACTTTTTTTGAAAACTGAAAACTAAAAACATCTATGGTAACATATTCCGTTTTTAGTTTTAAAAAAAATGAAATTTAGTTTTCAAAATCATCTTATTTTTTAAAAACAACTTGAAAGTGTTTTAAGTTTTAAGTTTTTGTTTTCATTTTCATTTTTTTGCGCTCCTATTTCATCCCTTAACTTTACATTACAAACACATGGAATGCACTCAAGTTATCAAAATTTGGTATTTGGGATCTCCCGACTTGGACCCAATCGCTTGATTCTTGTGTTTGGCCAAGGCCCCAATCCAAGCCTCAGGAACTCCATTTCCAGAATTCACCAAAAAATCATCCTATTTGCAAAAACTTCACTGAAAAATACTATGAACTCTTTGTAACATGCACTTACATTTTATGATATCAAATTCACAATTTGATCCCAAAAACTTCCATTTCCAAGTTTCACATAAAACTGAAAATTGAAATAAATTACCGAACAACTTTTGTTCAGTTTTCAGTTTTCAGTTTTTGTGAAAAATGAGATGAGTTACCAAATAAGTTTTCAGTTTTTGAAAAATAAAAAATGAAAACCGAAAACTGAAATGATTATCAAACGGTCCTTAAAAAAAAACCGCCTTGGGCTTGAAATAATTATTATGAGATCAGGGTGATCATGGTCGACCTTGACAGTTTGGAAGCCCAAACTGAATTACCAAAACGGGCCTGGCCCGATATATATATGATAGAAAAGAAAAAAAAATCAAGGAAAATTGTATTATAATATGCTGACTTTTATGTGAACAAGTTATTCGTCAAAGTAACCCAACAAAAAGCATCCGCATCTTTTTGCTTTGGCTCAGAGAAAAATGAAAATTCCGAAGGTTCTCTTTTTCTTCATTTTTCCCGAGAAAACAAAGTATAAGGATTGAAAGATTGGCACCAGACCGAACAAAACTTCTGCTGAAACAGAGGGAGAAATCAGGAACAGAGAGAGCTAACTAAACTACATAAAGTTATAAACCAAGCTCACAGCAAAAACAAGAAAGAAAAGAAGAAAGAGCTTTTAGCAAAAGTCGGTTTGTAGATAGAATTTGTAACTGTTTCCCCTGAGAGCCGTGCTGAAACCAAAAGCACTAAAGCCCACGTTGTAGATTTTGTGGTAGTAGAAGTTGTGTGTAGGTGTGTAGGTAGGAAGCGAGCCAGCCATGTCAGCCCTGGTGCTCAAAATGACCACAGCAGCCTCGTCTATATACCCCAAGAAGAAGCCCTACCACCAAAAGCTCTCCAATTGGGTTTGGGTCTCCCCACAACGCCCTACCTCTTCCACCGCCACCACTCCATCTCCCTCTTCCCCTCCAGCCCTAAATACCCCCATTCAGGCATTTACGCAAACACAAAATAAATACGGGTGCAGGATAACCCCCTGCGCACCCCTAGTGCACCCCAACCACCCTCACCCTCCTCACATTCTTCTTCAAAACCTAGGGCCCAGATTTCATAAATGCCTCTCCGTCTCCTCTCGCAGCAGCAGCAGCAGCTCTAGTGGGGGTTTCTCCGAGGACAAAGGAGAGCCTTCTGGGTCTGGGTCTGGCTCTGAGCCTGGCCCTGCCGCTGGTCTTATGGCCGATATGGGTTCGGACAATAAAGGCACTGATTGGTACGAGAGCCAATTGTACCAAAACCACGACGAATTGTTATCTCCTCTGAAACAGCGCCAACAACAACAACAACAACAGCATTCTTCCTCCAAATTGCTCACCTTGCCCACCATTCTAACGCTCGGCCGCGTCGCCTCTGTGCCGATTCTCATTAGCAGTATGATTTGCTTTTGTTTTCATTGGCAATTGTGTATCTAGCTGATTTTTTGATTACCCATGTGGGTTTTATTTGTTTTTCGTTTACATTGATGCCTATCGGAGCTCCAATAAAATTGGAGCAGTCATATTTTGGCAATTGGTTATGTTCATATATCTGGGTTTTGTCGGCATTCTAGGTTTCTGCAGATTTTGATTTGGATTCGTAATGCCCTTGCATTTTCATTTGGCTTACGTGGGTTTTTTTCCTCCTTCATTGTCCTAGCTTTCTACGTGGATAGTCGGTGGGGAACAACTGCTACAACAAGTATTTTCATTGCTGCAGCAATTACTGATTGGCTTGATGGGTACATTGCTCGAAAGGTTAACTTTTTTTCTCTCTCGACTCTGAGAGATCAAGTTTCAATTGATTTTGGGAATTTTAATGCTTGAGGTTTTATTGGGGACAATTTTATTGACTTCTTATGAATTTATTTGCATTTCAGATGAGGTTGGGATCTGCTTTTGGTGCTTTTTTGGATCCCGTAGCTGATAAGGTATTTGTCTTTCTTATCAAGTTCAAATTTAACACGTTCATTGTCAATTTCAGATTGTTTCTGTTTATTATTATTCTTTAAAACTGTTTTAGAGTTCTAAATTTGATTGTCATCCTGCTGAATGCAGCTCATGGTTGCAGCCACACTGGTTTTGTTGTGTTCCAGGCCTTTGGATGTTGCTATGTTTGGGCAAGTTCCATGGTTGCTGGTTGTTCCTTCAATTGCCATAATCGGTAGAGAGGTATTATATAATTCTACTTACCTTCTTTATTTCCTTAGTTATTGATTCATCGATTCAGCACTTGCGTTTCTTGCCCTTTTTTCTTGTGATGACTGACCAATAAAATATTTCACTGGTATGTTAGTAATTGTCAAAATGGAATTTGATTGGATTTTTGGCACCTAGGAAATCATAGTTAGTAGAAAATTTGCGTTTGCCTGTATTTAACATGAAATTGTATTTGGACGGCATATTGAATTGGGGTTTGCAAATATCTTGTCATGATCTCTTCATCCATTTTAGGTTGTGTGGCCTTTTACTTTTTTGTGTATGAATGTGCATGTTGTTCTTGTGAGTTCCTGCTGATCAAGTTTTACTGTTTTAGGATCATGTTTGCTCAAATAAGCAATTATCAACTGCTCTATCTTGCCCCGTACTTGTGCAATCATTCTTGTTGTGTAGTTTTATGGATTCTATCGAATTGATAGTACTGTCTGACAAATCAGTTTGCATCTTATTTTTAGATAACCATGTCTGCAGTTAGAGAATGGGCTGCTTCTCAGAACAGTAAGCTTTTAGAGGTTTGGTTTCCTTCCCCATGCCACCTTGTCATTTTAGAACTTAAAAAGCTTTTTAGCTGTAACACATATCATAAACAAAGTAGTTATTAGAATGGTGAATATTCTCAGGCTGTTGCTGTAAATAACTTGGGAAAGTGGAAAACAGCCACACAGATGATCGCGCTAACTGTCCTCTTGGCCACCCGAGACAGCAGGTAAATTGTCTGTTGATCTTTTCTCTTTAGGTCAATACAGATGAAAGATTTGGTAGTTTCTGACCCCTTTGCTTCAATCACCTACCATCCAACTTTTGCAGTCTTGGAAGACCAGAGGTTCTAGTAGCTTCGGGTGTTGCTTTGCTTTATATTTCAGCAGGGCTTGCTGTATGGTCTTTAGTTGTGTATATGAGCAAGATATGGAAAGTACTGCTGAAGTAGTGTGTGTGCTGTTGCTCTGTGTCTGGGGATATACATACTTCTCAACCGAGCAATCATCTCAAATGCAAAGAAGTACTTGTTAGTGCTCTGTACATGAACCCCGTAATGAGCCATTGGAGCATCCTGCTGATAGTCGATGGAGGGGATAACCGTTATTGCTAAAGTTTCTGCAGTATTAAGTAAATTGCACTTTCATATTTTGGGCAGGGTAGTATCATTTTGTTTGATTGCTCCCCTCGGCGACTTTATATTCTCACAGCTGTCAGGTTCATCTGACTTTTCGGGATAATAGAGATGTTGAAACAAAATTTCCTCATTACATATCACATTTTGGTTATTCAATTTTTTTTTCTTTGAAAAAAATATGTACACTGATTTGGAAGATGCTGGTTCTTTGAAGCCGAGATTATGTTGGAGGATGTGGCATTAATTAATTTAGTTGCTGCTGCAGTTTGGCGCTGGAGATGGCTTATGTTTGTTGATTCTATAAAGTGTAAACAAAAATAATCTACGGCTAAAGAAAGAGTTCCCCTTATATGCTTATGGCATTTACTTTGCAGAGAAACATTTTATTGATTTTTGCAGGATATTGCAAGATTGATAATATTTCCCTTATAAAAAGGGAAAAAAGCACCGTTTATGCGGTTGACCCACAACTTGCCCTTGAGGCTTTCTGAGTTAGATGCTTTGGGAAATATTGAGAGATCTTGAGTGTGCTGAAACTAGCATGAACCATCCTTCTTGGTTACAGCCAAACATTTTACCAAAAGAAATATTGTGCAAAAACAAATGGAAGTAAACTGCTAGCAATTGATGTGCAAATATTGATAAGAATCAAAGCAAAGGTTATTTCTCTTGTAAAACAGTCAGAAAGTCAAGTAAACCAAGGCCCTGATTACTTGGTCACATGTGATGTCCTCTGCCTATATTAAAAGGATGTTCTGTTTTTCAAATTATTTATATAAAATAAAAGCTGAAAATACCAATTCAGCTAAGTTAAGATTCCATTCAATAATGACATGATTTGGTTCTCTGAAGAAGCTGGAGAAATTGAAATTGCAGCGACTCCTTACTTTGTTATGCTGATTTCATTTCTGTGCCTGAAAAACCAATGGAATGAATTAAGAAATTAGCACAAGCCATCTTCTTCACTTCTCATCATTGGCAACAGCTTTGGCAATTGACTCCCTAACATGCTGTAACAAGAAAATTTACCAAAAAGCGTCTCTTGTAGCTTTCAACGAGCTCTTTGGGATCACGCCGGGTTTTTTTGTAAGCTAAATTTTTGTTCATCTCCTACACAATTGATATAAATTCACATGAGTAATATGTTCATAATTGATATAACAATACATACATTCATGTTTTAAAACTTCGAATCGCTTCTTGAGGAAGTTCAAAAGCATGTCAAAATGTGAAGCTACTAAATTCATACTGTACCTCAAACCATGCTGCCAGTTTAGGTCTGCCTGCAGTGATGTCATACTTCTTCACTTCCAGTGAGAAAGGCTGAAATCTTTCAAGGAATGGAGCATAAGCTATATCCACCTGAAAATTAAGAACAAAACTTAAAACTTTTCCAATGATGGAGAAAACTTCAAACGAATTTAGCAAAAAAGTATGGAAAAACTGACTGGTAAAGCAAAAATGAGAACTAAAATACTAATTGACAGAAAGCAGTTATAGCTACCATATTACCAGACTGAAAGTGCCAAGAAAGAAAGGTCCATCTTCAAATTTGGAAAGAGCAGTTTCAATATAGTCAAATGCAGCACCTGCTTCAACATACGACTACAATTACATTAGCTCCTCAACTTTATTAACATCAAAAGAAGCAAGTAGTCATCTCACCAGCTGCCTCGGTTCTGTCCTCTTTAAATGAAGTAAACACAGATTTATTGAAGGAGTCTGTGTAGGACAGCAACTCTTCTGCAAACTCTCTCTTTGCAGGATCCTATATTTACAGAGTATGAGCTTTTGTATAGCCTAGAGAAGTCAACATGTAGTAACAATGCATTCCTGAAATCTTACATCAGGGAACAGTGAAGGCCCTTCAAAGTGACTGTCAATATATCTAATCAAATCAAGACTCTCTCCTTTGACTTCGTTATTGTGTTCCAGTGACGGCACCTATGTTCAAATTTCATATCAGATACACCTTGGGCAGAAAATGCAACAGTTAATCAAGCGTAATTAGCTCTGTTTTGTCTTTCTACTTTTCTCAATACAAAATGTGTGCGGTTTATCTCATAGTATGATGGCCCAAAAATATATTTATTGACTACTTTTGATATCCAAATAAGTTCCAATAACAAAACAGTGAGGATTCTTAAGCTCCAATGCGAGGGGGTATTCAAATGTTCCATGATATGAAAGCCTTCATTGCAATTTCTTATGGCTCTATTTTATGCTGAGGAACTGTGCTTTCAAATGCATAACAAAAGCATAGGGAAAAATCTTATAATCTAGGAAGCAATAACACATAATCTAATTGCAAAAGCTCACCTTGTTAGGTGGGTAGACTTTCTCCTTGTACCAAGCAGGCCTGTCTTGCAGATCGATAGGAACCAATTGTATATTTTCCTCCAGTCCCTGTTCCCAGCAAACATCAAGGATTAAAGGGAAGATATTGTGGAAAAAACAAGGATAGCTTAAGCACCATCATAGCCAACATAGTAAGATTTGTCCACAAACAAGACAACAATAAAGACTCGTCCACAACTAGAGCAAATATTGGTACCTCAGAAAAAGGTCGTCCATAACCTCATTTACTAGCCCTTGCAGTTAGCCGTCTACTCTCACTCTCAGGCTTAATGTAAAGAGTTCTATTCATTTTTTTTTTGGAAGAAGATTCACAAAGTTCTTTTCTTCTCCGAATTTTTTGTGCAACCATTGAAAATGAGAAAAGAGACCAAATCAAGTGAAACCAGACTGTGAAGTGCCTGTAGAAACAACCTTACAGTTCCGGGCAATCCACGCACGCTGTGCATATGGGCATTGGTAAGATATATACAACCTTCAACAATACAACAAACCCAACATTCCCAATAGTTAGATTGACATAAACAAAATTACAAACCCAAATCATGTAAAATATGTTGTAATGGGTATTGAAACAAAAAGAATTTTGGAATTACAAGAACTTGCAAACTACAAAAGTCAAACCAAAAACTAAATGCAATGAAGCAGTGAAAATCCAGCAATCTATACCAACCTTGTTTTCCCATCGAAGAGTGTAGGTGGGTCTGAGGTAGAAGTGAGAGCTGGTGGCAGAACCTCTTGCCCACTTCCCCATAAGAACAAAAACAAAAACAAATTCTCAGCTTATTTATGAAGTAAAATATGAACACTTTTACAGCTCTAGTTATTGGGTTCTTAGAGACAGAAAAAGGTATAGACTTTAGATTTTTCGCATTTTCGGGGCAACCAAACAGGAGACAAGTAACATACCCAGTTGCCATAGTTGCAGAGAGTGAAGCTCTGGTTTTCTTTCCAAAAGAAGCTTGAAGTCGAAGCTTAGGAGGAGATAGTATGGTGGTGTTTGGAAATTTGGCTATCACTGGTTTCTTAGAGAGAGAGAAAGGGACTGAATTTGACAGGTGTGGCCAAGAGGGCAGAGAGGATGATGAAGTAGAAGCAGCAGTGCCTCTCAAACTCACGTTCAAAATAGCCATTGTGGTTTGGGTTGGTTCGGCTGCTGGTTATGTATTTATTTATGTTAACAGATTTCACAGAATTTTTCAAAGCAGAAACAAAAGACTAAAAAAGAAGGTGGTTTACTTTGGATTCTGAGATACCAATCAGAAAAGGTTTAGCTGGTGGTGTATTTATACCTTATTTTTAGTAAGATGCATCTCAGTCACTGTGTATCTTAACTGTTGGCTTTGTATTTATACGAAGTGAGATCTAGCTCAGTGTAGGGCTTTGACTTGCAGATAGTGATCTCATCTCATGTTCGAACCCATGAGAAAATCCTTTCATTTTTCATTTGTAATTTACATCGCTTATATTTTTATTAAAAAATGAATTTATTATAAGGAAGCACAATGTTCTTCGTTGAGAAATAAAATGCTTCCAGTCTTATATTCTCAAGGCAAGCAGCCTAATTAATTCGTATTAAGTGCTAGCTCTTCTGAAAAATATGTCATGCCCCAATGGCGGGTTAAGTCTGTTTTCTAGTCATTGACTTTCCATCTATACTGAAATTTCTTGTGGCCTTATGTAAAAATAAAACAAATAAAAAAATTCATGAAGCACAGCTATACATCAGAAGAAGGAGAAAAAAGAAAAGATGTAAAAAAAGACCCAAAATTCTGCCTTTAACTCTCCTCTTTGTAAAGAAAACAAAAGCTTTTTGTTTCTTAGTACAAACGAAGAAACCAGGGGCTTGAGTGATAGATCATCTGAAGTTCTGAACCTCCCAATCTAGGTGCTGGCAGGGACACCGCCACCTCCCTTAACTGAAAGCAGAGGCCCATGCCAGTAGCTACGACTGACCAGATGCGAATCCAGGAACAGCACTACCACTGTGATATCATCATGAAAATGTCTCCTCACCCCTCGGTCGATCTTTTTTAAGTCGGAGTATCTCATTTCTCTCTTCTTGGCTGCTTCGTGAAGCGCAGCTTTGACAAGTTTCCTTGCAATACCCTGCACAAACATGGGAAATATTATAGCAGGTCCAGCAGCAACTAGAATAAAAGATGATTTCCAACTAATCTTACAATATAATACATACAAAACAAAACCAATCTACATTTAGATTAATGATTTTGAAGGTTGAAGTTTTATAGTTGAAAATTTCTAGAATGTGCCAGTTTTTCTTAATAATATATGAATTGTAAAACCTATTATTCCGATAGCAAGAGTAAAGGATCTTTCCTGACGTGATTTAGAAACACATCCAATCATAACATACTCAAGTAAATTCAAAAGAAATTTAAAACTTAACATAGGAACCATACATTACGCGGATAGTTCTGGACAATGTCAACTGCCTCTTGACTGCTTAACTGCTCCCATAGGCCATCTGATGCAAATATGAGAAACTGATCTTCAGGGTAGAGTTTTTGGACTAATATTGTTGGCTCAGCTTTAAGGATTGGCTTGTGGAAGGGTTCTGATAGTCTAAACTTTGCCAATAGAGGTTCCTTGTTAAATTCTTGCCGCTTCAGGTAGGCATCGCCAATGGACCTTGAAACCTGCAAGACAAACACATATCTCTAAATTAATGCTTCTCAACTCAGGTTTAGAACTAAAAGTCAAACACATATAAACCCCACTTGTACAATTCCAAATCCATTCCAATAATGGCACCACTCTAGTCGAGAAATACACTATATGTCCATCATCGAAATATTGAGAAAACTAAAGGAAATTAACTGTATGTATACTAAAAAAATCATGTAGCATAGAATTGGTGGAGTCACACAAGAGTCAAAAGGAAAAAGATCACAATGTGTAGGGTAACAGAAAATGACTCATAAGAGATTAAAAGAGATTTAAGAACAGATAAGAAAAAGAATTACCTGTATCAAACCCTTCACGCGCCACACCTTATGCTTTAGTACCACAATCTGTGGATCATCGGGATGCAACAAGCGCAGTTCCTCTCTCACAGATTCTATACTTGCATTGTGTTCGATTGATAACTGAACAGCTTTTACCTGTTTAACGGTCTTTTCCAGTCTTCCTAAAACCACCCGAGAATCTCCCGCATTTGCTATGTATAGCAGCCCACTACATACTACGCCTACCAAACAACATGAACCAACAGAAGCAAGCAGTGGCTTAATTATCCACTGCTTCTTTACTAGAGAGAGGAATTCCTCTTCAGTTGCCAAAAATGCTTTGGTGATAACATCAGCGGACATTCCCTGATTCTCTGATGTGAATTCTGCACCATGAATAGCTGTCAAGTCAGTAAATATATGCATTAGCTATCTAAATATTGGGAGCATCATCTATATAAAATAAGGAAGTTTAATAGTTTCCACAAAAATTGATAACAGCAGGGATGGCTCATACTACTTTTTTATCTTGCAAGACACAAGAAAATACTAATTTCCCAGTTTTTTATTTTACTACTAGTTCCTTATGAGCTACTGCAGAAACATCCAGGCATTAGCCAAAAACTGACCAAAATGCATTAGAATGCGGCATTCTCCCATCACCAAAGTATATAGCAATAGCAGCATAGTTTAGTGTATTGCAATTACCAAAAATTCTGAACAGGTATAATAAGATGAATTTAGGAGATTTGGTATAATAAAAAATATTAATGGTGCAAGTCAAGGAAACAACGCACTCTTAAAATTGTTGAACAAGTGCTCATTTAAAAACCGGGATGCTTCTGGACCTCCATGTCCATCATAAATTCCAACAAATGTTCCATGAGGACCTGATTCGAGCGAGCTCAGTGGCCCTGATTCAAGTTGGCTATGGTCTTCCAACAAATTGTTTGCCTGAATTACCGCCATTGAGAAATCCCCGTTAACATGGTGTCCTGAATCTTTGTACCACAACAAACCATCAAGCCGACCACTCACATCCCCGCCTCTATTATTAGAATTTTCACCCTCAACAGAAGGTTTCCAACACGGTGCCACAAGCTTCATTAGCGTAGTTGATACCATCCCTTACATATTCTCAACCAAATGATCCAGCAATTAAATTATTCATTGAGTATATGTTTGTGAACAAGATCTAATCTTGGTGTTTCCTCTAGCTTCCCTACAATTACAAAATCCAAGTAACAGACTCCACAAATCAAATACTCATTGATGAATGGGGACATTAATCTGCAGGGGTGTAAAACATCTAACGATTTGATGGGTATGTGAATAACCTGCATATAAATTGGAGATAAAGATTAAACTGCAAACACAACCAAAGTCAAAAGTATACCCAAAAAAAAAACAGATTGAAAGGTGCGCAAAACCAGACAACATGAGTTTGGGACGACAATCAAATTGCAAGCAACCTTAAACTCAATAGGTTTTAATTGAAAAAGACATAACAAAATGGGCACGCCCAGAAACAGCAAGAGTTTTCTAGAAAAACAAAAATGCAAACTTTATCGATGAATAGATCATCATACAAACTAAGGGGTATTTCCAGAAAATACATCAACTTCAAAAGTGAGACAAATATCAAAACCATAAATCCAATGTCTATATAGACATATGGGTTTGTAATAAAAATTGCATACCAAATAATTCCATTGCAATGATTAACATTGAAGCATAATATAGAACAAAAACAAGTTCTTTTCTTTAAGCATGAAATGAACAAAATCTCCATACCTTGTATTCAATATGTTGGAGGGATTGTTTTAGCCCTCTGTCTAGGATAATTCATCTGTTGCTGAAAATAACCATTTTTATATGGATTAGACTGAGAACCAATGAAACAGATTTGGAATGTTCTGACAGAAAAAAAAAGGTTGTCAGAAACGTGGAAAGGGTAGATCGAAAGAGTAGAGAGAGAGAGAGAGAGAGGGAGAGAGAGATTGGAAGCAGTAATTGGTTCTCTTTCCTTTTCCTTAATGTTATTTTATTTTCTTTCTTCTAGGGAAAGAGATTATGCATACAATACAACAAACCCCTCGCCCTCGGTTTGAAAAACCATCATAAGGGAGAGAGCTGCTGAGGCCTTTTGGGTTGGATTTTCAGTTTAGGTATTCTAATTTATGGGCTGGGGTTTTGACTTTGACCTGCAACAAACCACCATTTCAGGCAACTTTTGCTCATCTTCCCTTCTCCTTAATATAGTAAACTCTAATAAGTTCTTCTTTAGAATCATTAAAGAATTTTCCCACTTTGCCAATAATATTATGTTTTGGAATTTTTTGGGAATAAAGTTGACAACTTGCTACACTATCTATTGGCCAATCATAATATCTTCCTAATTGACCTTCTAGCTATATTTTATGGTTTTGCTTATGCATACGGTTGTCACTTGCAAATGATCACACTTTGCTTTATTCTTTCCAAAGTAAAATGGTACTTTTCTACTCGGTGAAAATCCAAGCTTGAGTTCTCCCTTTTTTTTTAGTTTTGGCACATAATCTTTTTGATGTTTATGAATGAAGTTTATGTGTTCACAAATTATATAGATCTTTTTCCATGTGGAAGATGAAGATTAATCAGAGGTGTCATACTCATTTTCGTAATCTATATGATACGAACTTGAAATCTACTCTAATCAAATGAAGACAAATTCTACTAGACCGAAGAGTAACTATCAACATTTAGCCATATCAACTATAAATGTTATTATAGATAACTAGGTGCATGCATCATGATTAATTCCATGTTTTGTCTTAACATTAGACACATCGTTTATATCGATGCATCATGCACTCATTGATTAAACTATGAATTCGGCTGTCACTTTATCTACCACTTGGTGAAAATCGAAGCTTCAACTTTTTATTGGGACCTAAGTTTGATGTGTTTGAATGAGTTTGTTGTTGATAGGTCTTCTCTTTTTTGTTTTCATCAGAAGAAAATTTATTGATGAGAAGATGACATGCTTGTATACTTTCTCATTTTTAAACAAATGCTTTGAATCATCTTTCTACATCTTAAATTTATCATATTTTCTCACCACAATCATCTGCATATCCATTAGGCCAATGGGTCTTAGCTTCGTAGAGCTGTTGGCATGTAAGTTAGCAGTCTACGGTTCGATTTCCTATAATTCCATGTGTGTGTGTGAGAATACCCCTTTCTTTTTCTAATAGTGACAAAAAAAACAAACCTAATATCCATTAATCTGCATTTTGTTGAATACAATATTATAATCCTTGGATTAAAATTTATAAAGACGATTTTGATACTTGTTATTGTCATATATGATATTGTTAATGTAGCGTTCAGGTGGGAATTGAAGGTTATCCCAATTGAAATTTAAAATTTTGTTATTAAAAAAAACCATTTGAATTAGACAGAAAAAGAAAAAGCTCTTTAAATATTAAAATCCTTAAAATACAGCAAAGTCTTAAGGACTATATGCCAAAAAAGGGAAAACAACTGGCCGTTAACATTTCCCGCGGACCGTTCAATGCTACCCAACGATGCCGTTTTGTCTGTCCTTACCTAACTCTCGTATCAGTCCACTCCTCCGACACGCCCCTCCGATTCGTTGCCAGTCCGCACGTGTCGTCATCGCCGGCGAGTTAAACATGGCCGCCAACTCACTCCGAGTCGCCGCCGCTCAGATGACCTCTATCAACGACCTCGCCGCCAACTTCGCCACCTGCTCTGGCCTCGTCAAAGTACCCAACTTTACACCTTTTTCAAAAAAAAAAATCAATTTGTTAAATTATTTTTTGTTTTTCAAAGTTTGATTAATTATTGATAATATCATTTTATGATAAGCGAAGGAAGCAGCTGCCGCTGGAGCAAAATTGATATGCTTTCCAGAAAGCTTCTCCTTTATTGGTGCCAAAGATGGGGATAGTCTCAAAATAGCACAACCTTTGGACGGTCCAATTTTGCAACAGTACTGCTCTCTAGCAAGGTATATACTTGGTAATTTTGAAAAAAGAAAGGAACTTTATATCAGACATTTGATTTTTGTGGGTAATTGAAGTGACCCATTGAAGAATTAATTGCAGAGAATCTGGGATTTGGTTGTCTCTTGGAGGGTTCCAAGAAAAGGCGTCTGATGATGAACATTTGTTTAACACCCATGTTGTGGTTGATGATGCTGGGAACATCAGAAGCACTTACAGAAAGATTCACTTGTATGTGAGCTTTCTTTTAAGTTCACTGCTTTGCAATATTTAGTAGCTGAACTTTTTGTGAAAACTGTGGTCATGTTGCAACCTATGTACGTATAGCAAACAAAGTTGTTAAAGTTGATTTGTTGTTGAAGGTTTGATGTGGATATTCCTGGTGGAAGGGCATACAATGAAGGCAGCTTTACAGAACCAGGTAATTTGCTTCCCACATTGTAATGTTCAAATTATATATAAGTATTGGGACGGTTTCATTTACATTGTTTTAATCCTGGCGTTTGAATGTCCTCTTTTAACCATTAACATTTTTTGTACTATTGCTGTTTGTCTGTATTTTCAGGGAAGAATGTTGTTGCAACAGATAGCCCGATTGGACGCTTGGGTTTGACGGTTTGCTATGACCTGAGATTCCCAGAGCTTTACCAGCAGCTCAGGTTCCAACATGAGGCACAGGTACACGTAGATTTTTCTTAGCATTGAAGTGCAATGGGGGTTATTTATCATCCCATATTGGCATCATGCATTACAATCTGCAGGTTCTATTGGTCCCTGCAGCCTTCACAAAAGTAACTGGCCTGGCACACTGGGAGATACTTCTACGTGCTCGTGCAATTGAAACTCAATGCTATGTATGGATTCCATTTGCTTCTTCATTAACATAACCTTTTCATATTTGTTTCTAGGGAACAAATTCGCTGACAATGTCATCTTGGATATGGTACTGTTCTTTGCTGCTACATTTTGGGGATGATTATGTTATTTATGCATTGTTAGGTCATAGCTGCAGCACAAGCTGGACAGCATAATGATAAAAGAGAAAGCCACGGCGAAACTTTAATTATTGATCCATGGGGAGCAGTTGTTGGCAGACTGCCTGGTGAGGACTTATTTTTCTTGTACATTCTAAGCTTCTTGAGATAGCTTTCAGTGGCTGTAGACCATGGCTTCAAGTTTAGTTAATAAAAGGAAATTTTGACCTATAAACCATCAATTTCTTTGTTAATCTCTCAAAGACTCCTATAATGAAGTTCAATTTTTCTTCGAATTTTGTTTTTGAGTTTCCCTTGTTAAACCATGGCAACTATTAACAACCTATAAAAATAGATAATTGAAGGTGTTTTGAGTGTTGTTAATTTGTTCCTTGATAATGTTTGGAAGAAACAGATAAGAGACTTGGTCCTCTGTGTCAACTCATGTTTTAGAAGATCCAGAATGGATCAGATGTATAACTTTACTAGAAAGGTTTTTTGGTTGAGGAGATGTTCAACTTTGAAATACCTTACTATAGGTTGAACTTCACTGTAGCCATTCTTTGAAATACTAGAGTGTGTACCTTTCCTAAGCGTCGAAAATGAAAAATAAGAAACTATAATTTCAAATCTGCTGCTTTATTGTTTGGAACCAGTTCTTAGGCTGGTGCTACTTGTACTAGCCAATGCTGCGACTTAATTTTAACATTTCATTCTCTCTGTCTTAGATCGACTGTCAACAGGGATTGCTATAGCTGATATTGATCTCTCCTTGATCGATTCAGTGAGAGAAAAGATGCCAATCGCCAAGGTATGTTCTTTGTCTAGTTTGAAAAATGAAGTATATTTGTTTTCTTGATCGAATTATGTTGTAATAAACTAATTCATTTTATTTTGTTTGCTATTTCAGCACCGGAAGCCTATTGAGTTCTGGAAATCTGCATCTCTATGATTTGCGAGATGGTTTGCCCTGTGTACCTTATTACTCAAAATGATATCTCAGAGCCATTTTGAACTTCTGTTGCGCCTGCAGATAAAGAATAACGTAGCAAATTGAATATTTAGGATGCTATCATAGTGTCAGTTATGGCCTTTCTCCTTTCACCAATAAACAAACATCAATATCAATGTAGGATCGAACTATACATTCTTCTACTTCAGCATATGGATTGTTGTATTGGACTGGTCTTACTTTAAGAGAAAAAGAATACATTTTTAGAGAGAATATGTTCATCAAACTATATCCTCTGCAAATGGATATGAAGGATCAAGTAATTGGTGCTTTTAAAGAATACATTTTTCTATTTTGCCTCTTGGTGTACACATCAAAACATTAAATTTAAAACCCAAAAAACACAAACCGTAAGATGGAGGGCTGATTTGCAGATATGGGCCTCAGCCAAGTTGGCTAAAGCGGATGTGCTCCCCACTCTGCACCTGAGTTCGGATCCCCCTTCTCGTAGTTTAGATTAGATTAAAGTAGAATATAGCTTGTACACAAAAAGATGGAAGGGCTGGTTTGGCCTCCTAACTCAGTTTTTTTCTCATAGATTTCCTATTCAAAGTTCATTCTTAGTAAGACGTATAAAAGCCTCTTTAAAGATTAAAGACATTGTTGTTCCAATCTTAATTAGGATCGTTTCTTTAATTATTGCTCATAAAGCTGAACCAAATCACGACATGACATAGAAAAATCGATACCAATGTGTCCACACGTGCTAGGATAACTACTTAAATCAGCAGGAAATTCCTGTTCATGTTCCAATTCCAAAAATTTGCCATTGGATTGGTCAGAGGTTAAAAGATGCACTATCCATCGTCGAATGAGACTTAAAGTAGTGGGGAAATGGGAATCTCTTCTTTCTCAAAGCAAATCCATTTACATGCCTTTCTTTAATTTTCCTGTGCAACGTTTCTTTATATCTTCACGGAATCTAACCCAAATTAGAAATCTCTTGTATTATATACAAGTTCCAAACTTTCACGCACTACCTCACCCAAAAACAAATCACAACCAAGAAACCCTGCTGAAGTTTCCAATGAAGAGAATGAGCATTTTAACTGTATTTGCAATTTTCTTCATCATCTCTATGCCAATCAACGCAATGCAACCTAACAACTATGGCTTCCAAGGATCCAAAACAAACTGCACCTACTCCATTGAGATTGAGACAACATGTGCACGATCTGCCGGAACCACGGACCACGTCAGTGTCAGATTCGGGGACTCTGAGGGTAACTTGATCATAGTGAAGCATCTGAACAACCCTAAGCTATTGTATGCTCCCAAAGGTGGTTTGAGACGTAGGGGTTATGGCGGGTTTGGACGATGTGCCAAAGACATGTTTGAGGCCAGTGGACCATGCATGAGCCAGAGAGTGTGCTCTCTATACCTGAAGAGGGTCGGCTCAGACGACTGGAGACCTGGCCGGGTGAAGGTGCTTCATCAACAAGATGGCAGCCGTGTAGTGCCAGTTTCTTATGTGTTCTATTTTAGGACATTTGTTCCAGAAAATGTTTGGTATGGGTTTAATTATTGTTAGTTTTGATGGATTTACTTATTTGTTCTTGTTTAGTCTCTATTTTCGGGTCTTTTGCTGCTTTTTTTGGCTTTGGTTTATGGCAAAGCAAACTGTTAAATGAATTTTCAGAATCTCAGCAACTTCAATCATACCAGAAACCAGAAATAAGAAAAATAGATCCAGGAAATCTCTGGAGTGAAAACGAACAGATTCATTAACCTTCTTGTCAAGAGAAAGAGAATATCTTGATCATGCCAACAAGGGCAAACCAACTATGAACAGCTATAAGGACTGGTAGATTACAGTCAAATCATGATATGTTTCTCACTTCTTGCTCTATCAAGATAAAAGGAAAACGCGGGAAAAGTATACAAATGGGGAAGAAAAAAAAAAACCTATTAGAACTTGGGGAGTATAGGACTATGAACAATGTATTCACCCTATGAGAAAGTCCTGCTCTTTGACAGTTATTGAAGCAAAAAACCTCGCATAGAATCGGGACTGGATAGAAGGTCGAAAGGCTTGTTCCCTATGGTATCTTTCAGGATTGTGATCTGACCTTCCTTTAGAAGTATGTCTTCATCGAGGGTTTCAATCTTCTTCTTCAACATATTAACCTCTGAGTTCAGTAACATGTTCTTCTCGTTGTATTTCTTCACCTCCTCCCACATCATATCTCTCTCCTCTGAAATTTTTGGCAGTATTCCCCTCGTTACTGTTAATTCTTTCGTAGATGCCTGGAGGTCACTTTGAAGCTGGCTTATGTTCTCATCCTTCTTAAGCATCTGCATTATTATGGAAGAAGAAAAAAGAATAATTAACCTATATAAGGCAAATACTAGGCACAACTGGTATAACTTCATAAATAAATTTTTTCATTGCCATTAAAACTGTTATTGGGGCCTGAAAAAAACAATCAAATTCTGAAATGTGTGGCTAATCCTCAAGCAACACCCAATCTTTCCTCCAACCAGCAGACAAATTAGCTTCTTTATGACATAAATTAGAGGCATTATTATGCAACTTCAAGAAATATAAATCAATCGAAAACCCAAAAGAAAATTGACATCAATATAATGGAAAAAAACTGCAACTGTAGTGGAAACAGACCTCATAGGAAATACACATATGCAACATTATACGGCATATCCCATGCAATTGTGATAATGTATTTTCTCATAACAGTCTTTTATGTCTTCATTTGTCCTTGTAAAGCCCTCAACTAGTAACTCATTGGGTTAAAACATCATGTGAAGTAAATATATGAAAATTGTTATTTGTATCTCTTAAAGCACATAATCACATACGTCATATAAACAAACAAAGCACCAGATTCATACATATTATGATCTCTAATATTAAAATTTATATCGTACGTGATATTAAGGATTACCTGCAGTTCAAGGTCCTTCAACTTGTGGGTGACGCAGGAAAGGTTGTCCATTGCATTTTGAACTTCACATCGGAGAATATCATTTCCTCTTACAGCTGCTGCAAGTTCGGCTTGCAATTGCTCAACTTCCAGCTCTTTAGAATATAACTTTTCTCTTAGTAGGCTTGTTAGTAAAGTTTCTGCTTTAAGCTCATATCTCATATCGTCCTAGATAAGTAAGAGTGATAAAACCAAGCATCAATAACTGTGTGTGTGTAGAATACAAACAAAGAAGTCATTCAAAAATAATAACTGAAAAATTCATATTTAGTGTCCTTTCTCTAAGAATAACCACAGAACATAGTCAGCAGCAAGCAACTAACCTCTGGATTTTGATCATTTGGAGAGCCATCAGCATTAATGCACTTAGATGGATATTTTGAAGAGGCCAGACTGGATTTTTCATGCAGCAAAGCAGACATGGTGTGCAAACTTCTTGCTAAACTTTCAGTTCCACGCTTTAAGCCCTGAACTTTCATTTCAGATTCAACAAAAAACTGCCCATCTAAACCATTCTTAGCTTCTGGAAGTTGGCCAGCTTTCCCTCTGGCAAATTCCAGTAAATTTGAACATAACTGGGAGCTCTCGTTTAGGATCGATAACCCTTGATTTTGCAAGCAGCAGATCCGTGTCCACATCTCCTTATCTAGCTTAAAGGTTAAAGCACCATTTTCTTTCCCACTGCCTCTCAACCGGTCTAACAAGTGTATATTCTCATGCCTAAGAGAATCAACTTCAAGCCTATGAGATTCCAACTCCCTTCTCAAGGCCAGCTCTACTCCTGTCAATCTTATCTGCTCCATCTGCAATTTAGAAATATGCTTATCAACCCTCTCCAATGATTGGTTCTTCCTAAATTCCTCACCAAAACCTTCACGCAAGCCATCAATTGTCTTCTCTTGTTCTTTGCAGGTTCTTAATAATCTTGTAATGGACTTCCGCAAATCCTTGCACTCCTTATCCCTCTCTTCAAAACTTTTATGGATGCAAACACGATCTTCCTCTGCTGCTCTATACTTCTCCTGTAAGTCTGAGAGATTATTTTGCAAATCTTGATTCTCCTCTCTCGTTTCCCCCAGCCTTGTTGTAAGGCCCTTAAGCTGGTGTTCTGAATTTGTTATCACACTTCTACTCTCAGTTTCTCTCTCATTAAAGGAAGAAACTTCTCTTTGAAGTGAGACATTTTGCTCTGCAAGCTCTCTAACCCGCTCACGAAGCCTCTGCTCTTCCAACTGATATTTCTCAAGCTTAAGTGACCAGTCAGTTGACCTTCTGTCTAATTCCCTCTCCAATGCTGACTGCAACTCATTCTTCTCCTTCTCTAGTTTTTTGGTTCGTGACTCCAGTTCTCCCTTTGCCAGTCTCAGTTCTTTCTTGGCAGAAGCCCTCTCAGCAATGCGCAACTGTAGGAGGTTTGAAACCTCAAGTGCCAAGTTTATCCTCTGATCAGTCAGGTTTCTAAGTGTCTGCTGAACATTGTACCCACTAAAAAAGCTTTCCTGTTCAAGTTCTTCTGAAAGAAGTATGACATTCTCCTCAGCTTCCTTCAATCTTCTTTCCAATTCCACATCCATGTCTTCTTGAGTCTCATCGGTGTTTAAACCGTCACAATTTTCTCCATAGATAAGTTTCTGCAAGCTTGAGCAGTCATCCCCATGATAATTTTTCTGGGCAACCAGATCTGATCTACCATATATATCCTCGATGGTGACTGGCATATCATGGTCAAACTCCTTTTCATGTGTTGGTTGAATAATATGAGACTGTGAGAGCCTCTCAACAACATTCTTTGCAAGTCTCCGGGGAGATTCATGCCCAAATCCATTTTCTGCCCAGTCTCTGGATGACAAACGAAAACGAGAACTTTTAGCCTCTCTAAATGAATGAGCCCTGGGTGAATTAGGTGCTGTAAACTGAGCTCGCGGAGGACGGAATCCACCACCATTTCCATTCCCACATAAGTTTCTAGAGGAAGAATTGTTTTTCTGTCTGCCCCTTTCCTCCTGCTCTCCATCAATGTAACGGTCCAAAACTTTGGATGAGATATTACTAGAGCAAGTGGAGGAGCTCCCAGACGAATCATGGTGAATTCTAGAGGAGCCGGCAGAACATGGCCTCTCTAGTCCATGTATATTTTGAACAGCTGGAACTTCAAAAGGTTTAGCCTCATGCCTCTCCGGAGTAAGAGTCCTGCAACTGGTACGCATCACAAGCCCAACAAAATTAGCCTCGAGAAGAATTTTTTTTTATTAAAAAAGACTGCAAAATATTGTACTTGCGCTTAGTCAACAAGACATAAGTTGATGCAAAAGCCTCACCAAGATGATTGGCCACATTGTTGATGAGGAACGCTACTTGCAGGACTGCATGGTGATCTACTTTGATATCTTGAAGAAGAAAAATTGTTTTGTGCTGGCTCATTTCCAAGAAAGGCTGCTGATGATAATGACCGGCTCCTTCTAAGACCTGGACTTTTACTAGAGTTCTGGATATCAGTTACTTGCTTTCGAGATTTAGAAAAAAATCCCTTAGGGCTTCGGAAACTATTCTCGGCCATGTCACCAACTTGATTGCCATCTTCTGATGGGTTCTCCCAGTATATCTGCTTATCAGTTGATGGAGAAACATTGTTGTTTCCATTGCTAGAAGCAGAAGATCTGAAAAAGAAGAGCTTCTTCATGTTTGAATCTTCAGCAGAAAATGCTAACTGCAGCACATTAAATCTCTGTACCAGATGGGATCTCTCTAAACCTGAAATAATTTAGGAACAAAAAACATATGATTACCATTAATATTGTTGGGGAGTAGGGATAGGAGAAAAGCAAATGAATCATTGCAAAGATTATCAGTTCAGCAGTGTCCATCTCATAGAAGAAAAGAAACTAAGAAATCAAGCAGCCATGGGCATAATAATCATGACAGAAATATGAACTGGAAAGCAATAACATTGGCTGAATTAAGTTCAAGAAAGCACCTGGATTAAGGCATAGAAAGTGAAAGATATTAATTATTTTATTTGCACAAGCATTTAAAAAAAGAATGTGTCAGAATCCCAAAGGTTAAAATCATTAGTATCTAACACTGGAAAATTTATATGGAGAAACCATAGTTGATGATTACTAATTCTTGCATTTACTGTTTTTCCAATAATAATAAAAGTACAAAAAGAATGTTAGAAATTAGAATCCCAGATGCTGAAACCAAGAAAAATCAGTGACCCAAATAATGACTCCTTGAAAAGAACTATGTTTAGGGGGCGGGGGCGAAAGTGCATCCTACATTTTCTAAGAAACCAAAACTCAGGGGCAAGTCCTAATCTTTTAAACATATATATATATATATATATATATAGAGAGAGAGAGAGAGAGAGAGAGAGAGAGAGAGAGAGAGAGAGAGAGAGAGAGAACAAATGCATTAGAATTCAGTATTTATGGAAGCCATGCATACCCTTCTTCTCCTAGACAAGATTCTTAAGAAGTAACTACGCAGTTTGAAGTAACAATACACCAACAGATGAAATTGCTAAGCCACAGCCTGCAGCCAAAAGAAAGATGAAAGGTAGATAAATAATGAGGAAAGCTTTAATCTAAGAATTTCTCTATGTAGAATCTTAGTCTTGTGCATTAACATCCCTACTCCTACCATTATTTCCAGCAACTAGCTCCGTGCATATAATAAAAAATGGAACACAAGAAGAATTAAATATAAATAAACATATAATAGCATTTTAAAAGATGAGGTCACGTGAGCAGAAGGTGCAATATAGATTTCAGTAACGTTCCTCTGTCGTTGAAAATCACGAAATACATTACCACAGCATATGTGTCAGCAGGTCTGATTCAATCCCACTCTGGGCTTATTAGCTCAGCCAAGCTGGCGTGAAAAGACCACCATAGCCTCGTCACTTTCGTTACCCTTAAACCCTAAGAACCCTAATCTTCCCACACAAGGAGGTAATTTCAAGCCTATAATTAAAAAAAATTGACGATTTCTTTATACAATCTGACGCCAAAAGTATCAAATCATCAAATACTTTTCGCAATTCCACAAAAATCGACGCATTTCGTCATGATCCAAAGAAACCAGATCCAGATATCCAATATAAAAAAGAAACAATAGACTCCATACGATTCCGTATGGTTACTGAGAAAATGAAGGAAAGAAAAGTAACAAGATATTGACTACGTACAATTTCTGCAACCTAAAGCTAAAATCTGATAGAAGAAACGACACAATTACCAAATATCTAACTCCAATCTACACGATTACTTCTTCAGTTCGAGAATTTTCTCTAAACAAGCAACTTAATTCCTGTTTGGCGACTAAGAAAATGAAAGAAAATAATGATACAAACAGACGGATTACTCACACACTTCCAGTGATTTCATGACCAAGAAATAAAGAAAAGCATCAGCCATGTCTCGACAACTTTTCTTTTACTAAAAAATTGAACACCAGAGAAAATGAACTCTCACCAAATGAAATTCCCTCTCAATTTCCCCAACTTTCTCGGTAACCAAACAGCAAAAAGAAAGTAAAAGGAAAAAAATAAGAAAGACTCAGAAATTCCTTACTCTGCTTTTTCTTCCCAAAAGGTCAAAAAAATTCAGTCCACGGAGAGAAGCCAGCAGCGGAGCAAATAATCCAATCCAACAACGACTCAAAAACGGAAATTCAAAACGTGAAAAATCTAGAGAATTTAATTCTGAATATCTTTGGAGTTACTTACTTGCTAAAACATGCTGGTCCGTTTTAGGATACGCATTGGCTCAGGAAAATTCAAAATTCAAAATAAAATAAAATGGCTTCCAACTCAGGAACCCGAATTCTATGGGAAAAAAGAGCCAGAGGAGAGAGAGAGAGAGAGAGAGAGAGAGAGAGAGAGAGAGAGAGTGAGAGAGTGAGTCTTACTCAAAACGGCGTTAGAGGCCGGCGTTTCGACCGTTAAGCTCCAAACGGCGAGTTTTGATTCTGCGACTGTGGCAGACAAAATTGGGCGCTCTCAATGATGTTGAGTGAACAAATAAAAGAGAGGGAGAGGGAGAGTGCGTCAAATGATTTGTAAATGCCCCTCAACCAATAGAATTATTTTTTGGTTATAAGATTGGAGGGCAAATTAGTCCGAAAGCGAAACTTTTAAAATTTTGTCGTCTGCGGAAACAGCGGGGGAGGAGCGGTGTCTGATAGCGCGCAAATCAGGTGATATCAGGTACAAGTGAGATCGAAAATCTATGCAATTATGTTTTGCCACGTTGTCAAGTAGGTGAACTGCTTAAGCTTGGTTATTGACCCGTTAAAGAATTCACAAAAGTTGACACAAAATCATTTTATTAGTGGAAGACTTGATTGCTTGTATGGTCAAAATTATATTATACGGTAATATAACACGTTAGATTGTCTGATGAGGTAATGTTTCAAGCAAAATTTCTACTAAAGTGACGTCATTTTGTTTTGTATTAATCGTTTAAATTTTGTGAACATAGTTGATAGTTTTCTCCTTGAAATAAGATGAATGATAATGTTGCAGGAGGACAAATATCATTGCAGTTTTACACTTTTTCAAACAGTCACACAGCAGGCAAAAGTTGGCAACCCTTGTCCCTCAAGATTGTCTGTATAAATATATATTGCATGGTGACACTAAACAATATTATTGTATTGAATGTTAAGGCCTCTTTTTAGGCGGGGGGGAGTAATATATTGGGTTCTTTCCATGAATGAATTGAATGTATAACTTCAAACTCAAGCCATTCTTAGACTAAAGTGGAAACCCAAATCAAAGCCTGCCATTAACAAAATTTTCTTTTTTTTCTTTTTAAACAAAAAAAGAAAAGAAAAAGAAAGATAAAGTAAAAAGGCCGTAGGAACTCAATACATAAAACTGAGATTCAAAGATTATCCATCCGAAAGCTTATCAGCGTGTACCTTCATTTATTATAGGTCATGATGCACATCATTATAGGTCATTTTAGCCTTTTCACATTAGAACATGTTTTTCTAATGATCGATAACAAGGTGGATGCATTGCACATATAGATAGAGAGTGAAATGTTGTAAAACGAGCTTGTTGTCGTTCAAGTGGTGAAAAACATTTACTCATAGACTTGATGTTTAGTGTTGGATTTTTACTCTCACCTAATATTATGTTATGCGAATAGTTATATGCATATACACATTTTTATATTTTTTCGTATTAACTTTAATATAAACACTATTATGATGACCCTTGAGAAAATGCACTGGAGGGATATGGATAACCTTCATCTTTGGGTTTTGCTTTTTGGGCTAGGAGTATCCTCGCTTGAATTGGGCCTATATTAATGAAGTATTTCCTCACGAAAAAAAGAAAAGAAGTTGAGACCGTTATAGAAAAGCCCACGAAATCGCAACGCGGTCGTTTTATGTCTCCCACTTTTAGTTCCACTGCAATCAACTTTCTCTTCTCTTCCCTCATCTGCCTTTGTCCTCACTCTTTCCTCTCTCTGTAATTTCTCAACTCCCACACTCAAATCTCCAATCAATCCTTCTTCTACTTTCTCGATGGAGATGGATTCGCTTCCCAACGGCTCTGCCACGTCACCGGGCCCAAGCCCAGGCCCGACCGCCGCGGCCGCTCCGTCATCGAAGCTGAGCCACCTGTCGGAGTCCCTGAAGCTCGAGCACCAGTTCCTCAGAGTCCCCTTCGAGCACTACAAGAAGACGATCCGAGCCAACCACCGCGTTGTCGAGAGGGAGATGTCCGCCGTTATTAACGGCGTCTCCGAAGCAGCCGACCGCGACGACATGTCTTCTGACGACGCCGTTAATCATCTTAGTTCTCTTGTCTCCAGGTTGCAAGGGCTCAAACGAAAGGTATTGCATTTCTAAACCATACCTTAGCTTTTCTTGTTTCCCTGTTTGGTTGGTGAGGGAGTAGGAGGGCGGAAACAATTGGAATTCGATGAATTCGAGAATTTAGAATCCAGTTTTCTGTTGCTTTCCTCAGGTTTTTCTCGGAAACCAAACTGAGGTTAATTTGAAATATGCTAACTTGCTTAGCTTGGCAATGAGGGAGCTTGAGTACTGAACCATTGAAATTCCTCGATCTGAATTGACGTTTAGCTTATCCAGATTGGATATTTGTGTTTGTTCATTACTTTATATTTAATATCGAGTAATTGAATTTGGCAACTGATCGATATGTCTTCTTGTGGTTTAGTTGGAGGAAGGGAGTAGGACAGAGCACTTGCAGGCGCAGAGGTGCCGGGCTCGGCTTGACCATTTAGAATCGGCAGATGTGGAGAGTTTGTCTGATTGGAATAACACACGCTTGAATCGGATCCTAGTGGACTACATGTTGCGGATGTCTTATTATGACACTGCAGCAAAACTGGCGGAAAGCAGAAATATTCAGGTATTTTTTATTTCCTGTCCCAGATTAGGCGAAATTACATATTGCTCTGTCAACATTAATTGTGAATTCATTGAAGGTTTGAATATCATGAATTATTGTAGTTTAAATGTATTGGGATCAAAGAACTTGGAAAGGGTGACAATGTTATCATATTTCTGTTATCATCATGTTCATCATCCAGTAATGTGCACTACTTTAGACTTTGAAGAGGGCGATTCATCTTCACTTTTTCTAACCATGGACATAAATTATTTTATTGAATTCAATGAAGGAAGTATTCAGCTAAATTATAGCTTGGCCAAGAATGTTTTCTGAAAGAAAGAAAAAGAGTGAAATTATAGGTTGGCCCAATGGTTTAATAGTTCACAAAGTTTATTCAAGTGAAGAAAAGCAGCTTATTGATTTGATAATGGCTTCCTCTCCTCAGAAGATCTGCCAAGGTTCACTGGCATGTTAGAATGCCTTCTCTCTTATTGCTTGAGCAGATTGCAGAATTTTCCCATATTTTCAGATTATAAATGCTGGGAACTTGATTAGTTTCTTATGTGTCAGGATCTTGTTGATATTGATGTATTCCAAGAAGCAAAAAAGGTTATAGAAGCTCTTCAGAATAAGGAGGTAGGTCCTGCCCTAGCCTGGTGTGCCGAGAACAAGTCAAGGTTGAAGAAATCCAAGGTATGTACTTGCAGGAATGGGAGGGGAGGGAAGCTTGCTATTAAATGGTGGGTTAGATGACTTTGCTAATATCTGTAAAATCATCTGTTCTGTTGCTTGTTTTTGAAAAAAAGTAGCATAGGAATATTCTTTACATAAGCTTAAGATGATGATCGTTTCATCTTATTTGTTCTTGGACTACATACTAGGAGATGAAAGTAATAGGAAAATGACTTTTCTTTCATAGATTCTTAGTCATTTTGCTGATATATGGATGTGAAAGATCCCCCATAGTGGTAACTGCATTGCTTCCAATTTCCAAATGTATGTTGATTCTGCTAAATTTCTGATAACTGCTTGTGAAGTTAAATGTGCAATGATTGGATAGTTAATTGTAATATTGGGTTTCTGGTGCAAGCAAACTAAGAGTCTCCCCATTCTGAATGATGAATGCTGTGTATTTAAGCTAGATGCAATGGCATACTTAATCTCGTAATGTCAATTTCTGATACAATGTTCTTGAAATTCATTTATTTGAGTTGGTACCTTGAAATGCTTCTTACCTCAAATTAGATAGCTGGGAAAATGTTCCTGTTGACTGTTATACCAATTGAATTGCAGTTATTACTGCACTGCATAGAAAAATTGGTATTAGCATGTCTAATGCTGATTGCTTTGATGGCAGAGTAAATTCGAGTTTCAGCTGCGACTTCAAGAGTTTATAGAGTTGGTTCGAGCTGAAAATAACTTGCGAGCTATCACATATGCTCAGAAATACCTTGCACCATGGGGAACTACTCATATGAAAGAATTGCAGCGGGTCTTTGTAACAGTAGCTTATAAGAGTACTACTGAATGTGCTACATACAAGGTGACTACTTTAATGCGTTGCCAGCATTATCAGTTTCTACTTATCTGAACTAAAGTTAACTGTGCTATTCAATTCTGTTGGACCAGGCATACAGACATTTAAGGGAAATAAAGTAAACAATAAACAAAAAAAGGCTTTTGAGACCATGGTCTCTCTGTTTTCCCCCATTCTTTTGTGGGAATCAACTGGACTAAATTGTTCACTAGAGTAGAAATATGCTGTATGGTACCCATGTTTAGTTGAACTTACCATATAGGAGAGATGTTTTGTTGACCACAAGCCACAAGCCACAAGCCACAAGCCAGCACATGTCTGTCTGTATCGTCTCTTTGTGATGGTAATAAGTACCTTTTGGGATACGTTTCTCACACATTAATTTTTATGTGTCCGTTGGTTATCCAGCCTTCAGCATACCTACAAGGAATCCTAAGATGTCACTTGAGTTCTTGTGTAACAATTGATATACAGGCCTAGGTTTTCAAGAATAGTTAATTCAATATTTCTGCCATCTCCTTGTGGGGATATATATTTTGAACTATACATTTTGGTGAGATTTTTTGCTTTAGTGGTTTTATTTCATCTTGGGAACTGTATATTACAGGTTAATCTCTGGTATGTTATTTCAATTTTGCTTTGGTTGCTTATGCTTTCCAGGTGTTATTTGAGCCAAAGCAATGGGACTACCTGGTTGACCAATTCAAACAGGAATTTTGCAAGTTATATGGCATGACTCTTGAGCCTTTGCTGAATATTTATCTGCAAGCAGGCCTGTCTGCTCTGAAAACCCCGTATCCATTAACAGTAGTTATTTATCGGTTACGTTATGAAAATGTAGTATTATCTCCCATTTTTTGCTAACTTAGGGGTTGTAAGTTATAATTTTCAGTCATCAGGTGGTCATAACGGTGGTTGACAAACCAATGCTGTATCTCCCTTGATTGGCATTTGGGTACTTCTCATTCACCTTTAGCATGTGAGTGCATGCATTATAGCTGCTAATTGTATTCAGATATGTTGTTTAGCCTTGACCTGAATCAGATACTGTTACGACGATGATTGCACCAAGGAGGATCCACTATCACAGGAGGGTTTCCGGAAACTAGCCCAGCCATTACCTTATTCTAAGCAGCATCACTCGAAGCTTGTTTGCTACATAACTAAGGAACTAATGGACACAGAGAACCCACCACAAGTCTTGCCCAATGGCTATGTCTACAGCTCAAAGGTTCGTATGCATTTTACTAGTATTGGACGATCTTGGCTATTTAGTCTGGAATATGTACTTATTTTATGTTTTGGCAGGCTCTTGAAGAAATGGCCAGGAAGAATGACGGAAAGATTACTTGTCCAAGGACAGGTTTGGTCTGCAATTACACAGATCTGGTGAAGGCATATATATCATAAATTAAATCTACATAAGCCTGTTCAATTATTCAAGTTTATTATCAATTCGTACTGGGCTTTGTAACTGTTAGAATGTCCTGTGCGTACTGTACATAAATCTCTTACTGCTGGATTTGGCACAAATTCCGGTGTAAGAACTTGCCCTGGGAAAATTATGGTCATTGCTCAACCTGGCATTACCATTGGGAACTTGAACATGTATATATGCAAAATTACATTTTACAGTTTATTATCAAGTTCTTGACCAAAAGCTATTCTACGTTGCTTTTATTGGATTTATTAGCTTTCTTCGACGTGTACAATATGCGAGTGTGGAGAAGTATAGTATGGGGCTTAGGGTTCAGTTTCAAGTTTCAATGAAAGCGAGAATGATGCATTTGCTAATTTGACAAGCAGCAGTATATGAAAATGAGCCAAGTTGCTGTATCTTTTGTTAGTATTTTGTTAGTTTTGGGGGTACCCGTTGACCTATAAAATGCAAGTCATTTCAAGGTCATGCAATCATGTTGAGATATTCAAACCGCGATTAGCGAGGGATTTTCCCCTAATCACACAACAAAATAATGGTCCGTAAACCAAATCCATATGTATTTAATTGGCATGTGTGAATGGAGCTAAAACCAATCTCCCAGAATGTGGTAAAATTGTTTTTAAAATCAGAGTCTAGAAGTTTGTTTGGATTGCCTGGAATCTGGATCGTCAAAACGCTATTAACAACTATGAAGTTTTAATTAAATAACAATTTGCATGTTACACCTGAGGTTTAGTATTATTATTTAGATTAATTTCATCAACCAGAAAATTAATCTTTGATTTCTTGGTCACCTAGCCACAATTATTGTTTACAATGAAGTTGCCTCTCATTGGCTACACTAGTGGGAAGAATTTGCTCATGAATTAACTACGTTATGAACAAAATTGCTTTTAGTTGTTGAGAAAGAAGTAAACTATTAAGAAAAAAGGACTTGGCACCTCAACCAATGTGAAGGTAAAAAGTTCCATATTGGAAAGTTGAGAAACCTAGTAAGAACTTATAAGGAGTTGGGCTACTCTCATTGCCGATTGGTTATGTTCGCATTCTCACAACCAAAAAAAAGATATGTAGACTTGAATTTTTTTTCTTGCCAAGCACAGTATGGAAAATGTTTTTAATTTTTAATTTATGACAACTAATACCGCGATTTATGAATTCAAACAAGTTAGCAGAATGAAATATTATTTTATTGTAACTTGATAAATGTGAACTAGTGCGTGATTATAAGTATTTATTTGAAGTCAATTCTATTAATTGTGGATTAATGCGCATCTACATATATCTACCATTGTTATTATAACTTGATTTCAGTTGTAGAAAATTTGAGATCTCCAATTTGGTTTCGAAAGGGATTTGCTCCATCATTTGCAAACTCCAGACTTCTAGCTAGCAAGATTCAGCTTCTGCAAAACAAACACAAAAAAAGGAAGGAAAAAGGAGTTCGAGTTCTGCATGGCGGCTACCGGTGAAGAGAACGTTGCAAGGTTAGTTTCCACAACTTAAAGTACATGCACCATTTTCATTTTTCCTTTCTTAAATAAATGTTCTATCAAACAATAGGACCTGCATATCATATACGGCTGTGTTGCAATTTAACGACTGCCAAATATTTAATAATATACATATAGAGTTATAGTTATTCTCCCATTCGGAAGTACGCAAATATTTCACATGCTTATAAAGAAAGTTCTTACATTATCAAACTCTCTCTCTTACCCAGCAGTTTAGCGGATGGTCCGAATTCAAACACGATAACGGAAAATCCTGCTCCGCCCGAAGATTTACAAAAATCATGTCTAAAGTGGAATTTCATATTTATAACATCATGTGTGTTTGCCGTTTTATTGGATCCTTTGTTCCTCTACATTCCCATCCTCAACGATCATATCAAGTGTCTGAAGTTGGACAACAACTTAAAGATTACAGCTCTCATCTTACGATCGGTCACAGATCTATTTTATATAGCCAATATTATTTTTCAAGTTTGTAGATTTGAAAATTGTTCACCTTTGATCAAGCGATTTCTTCCCGAAAGTTGCTCCTCCAAGTTAATAGCATCACTCATCAAAAGCTTTCGTGAGTTATTACCTGAAGTAAGCAACGAAGTTCCAAAACCAAGTATAACTAAAGAGATATGGGAGTCGTCCATCATAGTTGACATTTTAGCTATTCTTCCTCTTCCACAGGTACGAACAAAAGCCTTCGCTTTGATATATTGCACCCCAATATATGAAATGTGATACAGGACAGGCAAATATCTAAATTAATTCAATATTTTGTCTCACGATATGTTAACAGTTGATATTAACATTGCAATGTGTCCTGGCCAGGTAGTAATTCTCATTTTCTTTTCAAAATGAGGGCCTCAAGATCTTTCAAGAAGCTCATGAACTTTCTTGTTATGGTGCAATATGTACCACGAGTTCTTCGCATCTACCTGTCATGCAAGAAATCTAAAAAACCTTTCAAAGGACAGATTGCATTATGGGTTAAAGGTGTACTCAATTTTTTTTTGTACATTCTTGCTAGTCATGTAAGTTTCAATTTCATCATAATTTTAATTTTGAAAAGTTAATCTACTTTAAATTAATGTCGAACAAACATTGTTTTCTTATTTGAAATAAGTGACAGTCTAATTATTCTAAATTAATCTAATTTACGGGGATGAAGATTCGAACTTGAAGAGGGTGGACTCAATGTCTTAGTCAACTGGCCTAACCCACATATGCTGGACTAGCATTATTTGATATCTTATTTCTTGATAAAAGTTTAGGTTCATAGTACTCAACCTCATGTGAATAAAAAAAACATGTATATACACACACACAAACATGGTGCAACCGTGCAATATGACCATCATGACAACAACAGCAATAGGAGGTGCACACTTCATATTGAATTATACTTGCAAATACAATGACCTTCCTTATAATTTAACTTCTGTGAGAACTAATATCGGGAGGCAAATCCTCCCAAAATTTGACAACATTAATCATTTAATAACATATGGAAATTTCTTTTTATGAGAACTTATTAGTGTTGTTGAAAATTTTCTTAAAAGTTCAATCTAACTAGCTTGTTGGTTTCTTTAGGTACTTGGGGCTTTTTGGTACTTTTTTGCTATTCAACGAATGACAAGTTGCTGGCAACATGCATGTCGATATGAAAATGGATGCGACCCTACTTCTTTTGACTGTAATGATCATCATACGTTGAGAAATATTACGGTTCTAAATGATTTATGCTCTATTAATCCATCAAATACAGCTCTATTTGATTTTGGTATATATCTAAATGTCCTTCAGTCGGGTATATTGTGGTCAACAAACTATCCCCTGAAGTTTTTTAATAGTTTTAGTTGGGGCCTGCGGAATTTGAGGTTTGTATACATATGACACCCTTTGATCATGCAGGATGAATTATAATTACAAATGTAACTAAAAATACGATTATTTTTTTAATGTGTTGTGTCCATTTCATTTTTTCAGTTCTCTTGCTTCAAATCTCCAGCCAAGTACCAATACATGGGAAATCCTGTTTGTGACTTTTATATCTGTAATCGGCTTGCTACTATTCGTATATCTCATTGGGAATTTGCAGGTTGGTGCGGTGAATCTTTATATAAAATTGCTTTCTTTAAGCTTATTAAATCTCCTGATGCTTCTTTTTTACGCATCTTTGTATAAAATAAATAAATTAGAATTAATGAACTGAACCTTGTTGTTGTGAAATAGACCTATGTGCTGTTAGATACAGAAAGATTGGAGTCGCACAGACGCAAGATGAAAATTGAACAGAAGTTGACAGAAAAAGTAGGCCCAGATGTAGAAAAATGGTTATTTGAAAATGGCATCCCCCTGAGTACAAAGCCGAAGGTCATGTCAAAGGTACGACAAGAACTTGAAGAAAACTCCGATATTGATGTAAAAAAGGAAATCCTCTCTATTCTTCCCCAGAAACTTCAAAACTACATAGAAAGTTGCACGCCCTTGAGTAGGCTGAGGAAGGTACGTAGGCCTCATGCAAGTCTGGCCACATCAACACTCAACGGATTCTCAAATAATAATTCTAATGGCGGAGTCACATTGCAACAAAATGACAATTCCGAGGTACGTGATTGTTAAAATTGAAAGTGCAAGGATTAACATGCCTTAAGAGTACAACTGCATGGTACCAAACTAAAATTAACCATTCATTTTTTCACCACAAATATATGATTACTAGAAATGCTCTTTACGTTAACATTGGAGAAGCTCTCCTATATGCAACACAAACCCTTCCACAATGATTGGTTATGCACTTATTAGATTTTTAATTGCTGGTTCCATTTCTTAAATATTGTATCTAAACGTAGGTACCACTACTTCAAAACATGGACGAACAAGTTTTGAGAGAAATCTCTAAGCATCTTAAGCCCAAGAGGTATAAAAATGAAATCATTATTAGAGAGGGTCAACCACTTGAAATGATGCTTTTCATCGTCGATGGACGTGTAATTATTGAAAAGACAGATTGTTCTCGTAAGTTGGAGCGATGCGCAGGAGATTTTTATGGAGAGAAACTTCTAGTTTGGCCATCATGGATGTCCGGGGCAAGACCCATAGCAACCGAGTCTGTTTCAGCTAGTTATAAGGTTGAGGCCCTTGTTCTCTTGGCCAGCGACATGGCTAGTATAGGCACTAAATTCAGGTCACATTTCAACAAGTTGGAAATGAGTCATCTAACGGATTCTGAGTGGGAGCTTTTGACTTGTGACAAGGTGGCTATGCTACAACAAGTAAGTTCCTCTCTCAGAAACACATATCTATACATTTTTTTGTACAAGTGATATGTATAGAGGGAGGGGGAAATCCAACCTAGAACCTCGTGAGTATGTTAACCACTTGAACAACAAGCTGCTTGCGACATATCTATACAATAATATTACTTATTTGATCAAATATATAATTTTCTCTTTAAGATTGTTAAATTAATGGATCTACCCTAGGTGCCAAAGCTTCGAGCTATGGATAAACAAGTATTGAAAGCAATGGCTGAGCATCTTCTATCGGTTTGCCATGGACGCGATTTCAATATCATTCAAGAGAACCGACCGCTTAGTATGATGTTCTTCGTCACGAGGGGAGAGGTGATGATAAAAAATAATGAGAAGGGTCGTGCACCTTTTTTTGGAGAAGAACTTGTTGAGTGGGTACTGGATGAGTCTTTTCCTGAGATGCTACCCTTGTCCTCCTGTACAGCTACAGTAGTCTCAAACGATGCTGAAATCCTCTATCTAAAGGCAGAAGCCTTGAAGAATTTTGCCTCTAACTTTAAGTCGCATTTCAGCAAGATCGCCTCGCCCTCAGATCTTTTTACTTTTGTTCGGTTGACTAGGTTAAAGAAAGTAAGTTGCTCCATCTCTATCATGAAATAACTATTTAAAACTTAATGTACAATATTTTTAGATTTGCTTTTTAGATTTTTCTTAATTAACAGTATCATATCTATCTAACTCTAGGTGAAAATATTTCAAGAAATGGACAAACAAGTGTTGGAAGCAATCTCCAAGCTTCTTAAGCCCAAGGCCTACTGTACTGCCAACGCCTATATTATTCGAGAGAACGAACCACTTGAAATGATGTTCTTTGTGGTGCAGGGAGTTGTATCCATCAAAAGCGATACCACCATCGAAGGGTCAGAAACCCGTGAAATGGGAGGTTTCTATGGGGAAGAACTTGTACATTGGGTTACAACTTGGGCATCACACAGCTCCTTTCCTGCCGAACTACCTTTGGCAACTGGTTCTGCGCTACGCGGCCCCCGTCCTGTTAAAATCCTTGCTCTCACAGCCGACGACTTGAAGAGTGTAGTCTCTGATTTCAAGTCCAAGTTGTTCACAAGGGAGACTCAGATCACCCTCCCTCCATACTTGCCGTCGGAGCCTTTGACTGGGGATCTGTTGACTATGCTAAAGAAAGTAAGTTCCTATATGTGTGTGTGTATATATATATATTAATTAATGTTTATACTTAATTCTCTCTTCTTTTGTTTAAACAAATAATATGGTATCTAATTAATCTAGGTGGAAAGGCTTAAGCATATGGATGAGCAAGTGTTGAAAGAAATAAGTGAGCATCTTAGGGTAGAAAAGTATCAAGATCAGTACATTATTAGATTGAATGAGTCAGTGGAAAAGATGTTCTTCATCGTGAGGGGAGTTGTGGCAGTGACAAACGAGTACTGGACAGAACACCGCAATGAAGCAGAACGTTCAAATCACAGTGGAGATGACCTTATAGATTATTGGGTGCGATCTAAAGATACCACCTTTCCTAAGGAGTTGCCCATCTCTGCTTTAAGTTTTCGGGCAATCGGTGAAGTTAAAGTTCTGGTTCTTATGGCCAACGACTTGGCTAGGGTTCAGCCTTGTCGAATTCGTAGCAAAACCTTTCTTCCAAGAAACCGAAGTCTGCAAGTCTGATTGAATTAATTGGCAAATGCAATTGCAATTATGAACTCTTAATCAAATTTTATTAACTACTTTTTGTTGAATTCGGTGTCATTTTTAGTCAATTAATTAGCAAATTATGCTTGAAATCTTTTGTGCCTTTTGTGATTGTAGTATGCATCTGATCATCCGCTTGTTTGGAAAAGTTGCTAAGTTGACTATTTGTAATTAACTAAAACTTTGGTTTGAGAGGACGAATTTATTATAAAAGACTCTTGGAAGTCCAGATCTACTGTTGATGCTATAACTTAACATTTCTTATCCGAGTCTATAATTTTTTTATTAAAAAAATAAAAAAATACTGCTGGGCTCCTGACAAATATATACATAACTATATGGGTGTTTACACTTGATTTATTATTTTTAAGGTGTTAGTCAATTATATTATATGATTTCTTGGTCTTTCATATGCGTTTATAATTTATATGGGTTACTGCGGGCACAAGTCTTGCTGCCAATTGCCTCTCATTGGGATAGCAGGATGAGTTTTTTTGTTTTTTAATGCGAGGTAGCAGGATGAGTTGCTAAGTTGACTTGCTTTGCTTTGATTTATTTTTTTTATCTTGAGGGGAAGTTCATTATAGATTATTGTTTTAATTTGAAATTTATTATAGATTACTGTTTTCCCTTCCAACTGTCCTGTTTAAGGTCTTAGTCAATTGGACACTTCTCACATCACCTTTAGCACGTGAGTGTATGCATTGCAGCTGCTAATTGTATTCCGATATGCTGTTTTGCCTTACCTAGTGCAAGTAGCTTGTCTCCTTATAAGCTCATGCTAAGTCTCTTAGTTTTTCAATATACTCTGAACACTGCCCAATGGCTATGTCTACAGCCTCAACCTGGCATTACTATGGGAACTTGAACATGTACATATGCAAAATTACGTTTTGCAGTTTATTATCAAGTTCTTGACCAAAACCTATTCAACACTGCTTTTATCCAAGTTATTAGCTTTTCTTCAACATGTACGATAATGCGAGTGTGGAGAAGTAGGGGGCTTAGGGTTCAGTTTCAAGTTTCAATGAAAGCAAGAATGATACATTTTCAAGTTTCAAGTTTTTAGATAATCATTCAAAGATCATCTCTACAAAAAAAATCACTTGAATATGATATCATTTGACTACTCAATTGAGTTATTGAAATTTTAGTAATTTATTGAAGCACCGTGTTAATTGATTTTATATTAAACAATTAGATGTCGAAACGGTTTTTGATTTGTCTAATTTTTTGCAAGAATGATAAGTTAATATAGACTTAAAAATACATTGTTTGAATCATTGAATTTTTTTTCTTCGTAGGGTACCCTAAAATGTATCCCTCAAATAAAATTAAGGAACCATGATAAGAACCATCTATTTTTTAGGTATTCATTAATTCAAACCTCATCATAACAAAAACTTACTTGAATTCGAAAATCAATTGAACACTCAATCAAATGGTTGTCATTCTTGAACCACCATATTAATCTAATTTGTTGTTCACACTGAAATATTTTAATAATTTTTAATTTCTTTAATTTTTTACAAAATAACCTATAATTAGATACTTAAAAAATAAACGGTTCATAAATAAAATTTGTAATCAGCCCCACAATGTGTCATTAGGAAGGACTTATCATTACTTGCTCCCCCATACCATGAAAACCTTATCCATGGAAATTCATTTTCCCTTATTTCGTACCTGCAGTAATTCCACAACAAATAATACATTCAGGACAACTTGGACGAGTGCTGACTCACTTGCTGCCAAAAAAAAGGGCTCGCCTTTTCATGCCCATGAAGATGAAGATGAAGATGAGGATGGCGACTCGCAATTTTAAAAAACAATTGTCTACTGATATGATTTTAAAACGTCCATGTCTTTGTCGCTGTGTAAACTATCGTACTTTTTGGAGGAAGAGTAGTAGGGGACTAAGAAAAGACTTGGGGACCCCAACCAAAAGAAGAAATTGGGGACAGGGTTGATCAAATGTCAACACTAAATCTCTTACGGATCTATTTTATATAGCAATTATTGTTGATCTAAACCAGTGTTAATTATTTTTCCCAATCTCATTGTTTTGCGTTAGTGTATGTATATAATTTGTTAGAGTTTCAATTGAGAGATTTTTTTAAATACGGTTATTTGAGGGATATTCTTGTGGGAAAAACTCATTATTTTTTCATGATCAGAATCGTCAATTTTTTAGGTATTCATTCAAACTTCATCCTAGTAAAAAATAACTTAAATTTAAAAATCAATTGAACACTCAATCAAATGGTTGTCATTTAGTGTTTTCTTGAAGCAACATATTCATCTAATTTGTTGTTCACAATTAAATATCTTAATAATTTTTAATTTCTTCAATTTTTTACAAAAAAAAATCTATAATTAGATACTTAAAAAATAAACGGTTCACAAATAAAATTTGTAATCAACCCCACAATGTGTCATTAGGAAGGACTTATCATTACTTGCTCCCCCATTACAATGAAAACTTTATCCATGGAAATTCATTTTCCCTTATTTCGTGCCTGCATTAATTCCACAACAAATAATACATTCAGGACAACTTGGACGAGCGCTCACTCACTTGCTGCCAAAAAAGGGCCCTCCTTTCCTGCCCATGGAGCCCAAGTGCATTCAAGAAGATTCAAAACGTGGCAGAAATCAGTCCACAGAAACCAAATAGCATCTCCATATATCTACCATTCTCATAAACTTGATTTCAGTTGTAAAAATTTTGAGATTTAAAAGGGGTTTGCTCCATCATTTGCAAATTCCACTAGCAAGATCAGATTCAGTTTCTGGAAAAAGAAAAAAAGACCAAAAAATAAAGGTTTGAGTTTTGCATGGCTTCCGCTAGCAAGATCAGATTCAGTTGCTGGAAAAATAAAGGTGATATAGAGAATGGTGGGGAACCCAGGGAAGAGTCCACTTGCTTGAACGTCAAAAAGAGGCATTTATTTGGAGCAGAAAACCAGGAAGGTAAAGGCCGTCAATCGGAAGCTAAGATGGTTCGGCCAAAAGAACATGTGTTAGATGCTGCTAGGTTAGTTTCTATATATACGTACAAATTTCACAATGCATGCACCAAATTCAACTTTTTTACTTTTTAAAAAAATAAATAAATGTTTTTAATTATATTATTCTTACTGATTTAATAAAATTCTATCGTCTTTTATAAAAAAATAATGTAAAGTCGCCGCCGCCGTCACCGCTACAGATACAGAACAGTTTAACTTTGTTGTTTTGAGGACATGCTAAAGTCATTGCGTTGCAATAATATAATAATAGTATAACACTGCCAAATCTTTAATACTATCCTATATGCGTAATTTTATGTTCTTTGTATCTTGGCCAGCAGAACAGATTATCCAAATTCAAAACTTGCAGCACGGTTGACTAAAATATTTATAACATCATGTGTGTTTGGCGTTTTCCTGGATCCTTTGTTCCTCTACATTCCTCTCCTCAACCAAGATTTGAAGTGTCTGAGGTTGGACAACACCATAAAGATTATCGCTCTCGTCTTGCGATCGTTCACTGAATCTATTTATGTAGGCAGAATTATTCTGCAAATTTGTAGATGGACATGTGCACCTTCGATCAAGCAATTTTCACGGAAAAAATGCGCCTGCAAGTTAATGGAATCACCCATCAAAAGCTTTTGTGATTTATTACCTGAAGTAACTGAACTTCATCGGAAGGAAAATCTAATACCAAGTATAAAAGAGGAGATATGGAAGTCGTCCATCATAGTTGACATTTTAGCTATTCTTCCTCTTCCACAGGTATGAAGAAAGGCCCTTTCATATCTAGACTCTAGATCGAGTATTTAATTGCTTTTCCAATCTCACTGTTTAGTTTTTTCTTTTGGTCATAAATCTCACTATTTTTATTTGCATGCAGTGATATATATATATATATATATAGTTATTCTTATATCTAATATATATAATTTCACTATAAAAGCATAGGAGATTTTGCTCCAGATATAGTGGCTGAAAAACAATCACAACAAGACTAGGACTCTATGATGTACGACTAAATAATGACATGTTTGAAATTAGGACAGGAAACATCTTAATATTAATTCACTTAATAATGGTAGGGACACCAAAAATTTTGATCCCAAAATAACCTGGTACATGCCACGTCATCAAGTTTAAGAAAACTTTGATGACATGGTTTTCTTAATTAATTTGTGTTAAAAGTCAAAAAGATTTTTTTATAATTCACCAAAAGAGCAAGGGCAACCACAAAATTCAATGAAAGAAAAAGGGTCACTGTTTTACCAACCAAAAAGTCCCAACCCACATAGATTATTTATAATGATGCGAAAACCAAGTGATCAACACTTCGGTGTCTCTAACCATTTCAACCAAATTAGATAAGATAACATTATGACTATGTTTGATTGAATCGAAGAAGAATACATGTATCATGAAGACTGGGCGTTTCTTCTATCTTGATTTCAACCAAATAAATTAGGGTTTAATTTCAATTCGAACGCTAAACTTTTATCCTTAAGGCATATTTGTTGATGCACTCTTAAATTTAATAATTATATATCTTAATCTTATTAAGTTTTTGCAATCTGGTTTAAGCATTAACTTCACTAGAGAAATTTCCGTTAACCCACGTGGCAGGTTTGTATCTCACTTATTCACTTCTTTTAATGCTAGTTGAGGGGTATTTTCACTACAAGAAAATTACCCTTTTGCGACCAAACTATACGCGACCAAAACTTATTTTTGGTTGCTGATAGGGTGATTCGGCGACCATATTTCCAAAGTTGGTCGCCAATAGTTTTCTTAAGATTTCCAAACATCAAATTTCAACAGGGGATAATTAGCCACGAAATATGTAAGAATTGGCAACCAAATTTTTTGGTCGCAATGTTGGAACATACGACGACTTCGTATTTTTGGTCGCCAAGTACAAGGCGGGAGATGAAAGAGTGGGCGGGGAAATCATGCGACAAAAAATGTGGTCGCTGATTACTATAATGTTGGTCGCGCCGAAAGTATTTTGTCCCGCTTAAAGTTTTAGTAGCCCGCCCCAACTTTTTTTTTCTCTTTTTTTTTGCTTGAGAGCCTTTTTTTCATCAAATTTCATTCCGCAATCTATTATTTTCCAGATCCCTCTCTCATCCCTAACCCTAACGTTCTCTCTCTCTCTCTCTCTCTCTCCCTCAATTCTCTGGCCCTTTCTAAACCCAAACCCTCTAGCGTTCTATCCCATCTAGAAACCATCTTCGTTCCCAACACTCTCACGCCTACACTCTTGAGGGTCCCTGTCTCTCTCGCACGCTTTTATTTTTCAAGATTTAGCGGAAAATTCAATTTGAAAACTGATGGTGCTTCGTTCCCAAACACTCAAGGTAACCTCTCTCTCTCTCTCTCTCTCGCTCTCTCTCTCTCTCTCTCTCTCTCACTCTTATATTTTCAAACAATGATTAATTTAATTTTTGCAGAAATCTGGGTTTCGTTTTGTCTCCATCTCCCTCTTCTTTCCGAAAACCCTCTCATGGCTGCACTCTTAAGGTAACCTCTCCTCTATATTTCAAAGAGTGCTTAATTTAATTGGAGAACAAGTGGGTGTGCAAACCGACAACATAAAAGTATGACATGGGTCATCTCTTCTTGGGTGGTCGTAGATTCTTTGTCTGCCCTGCATCTTAAACCATTCCTCTGTATGCTAGCTTTTTTTAATTGAATGAATAGATCTAACCTCATCTCCTCCTTCATTCAGTTGAGGTCTTTCCCTGTTTTTTTTTTTTTTTTGGGTGCAATTCAATTGGGGGGGTTCTTATATTTTTGGGTGGTTTTTCAATTAAGTGTTCGAATTGGTTGTGTTTTCCTTTATATTATTCAAACTTTGTCTTTACTTACCATCCCAACCTTTTTTTTCTTTTTTTCTAATCTTACCTTTTATCTCTATCACTCCACCTTTATTTACACCCTATGTACCCATTCATCATCTTTCTCCTTATAATCTCCTCAATTAATCTTATTACTCTCATTTCTAAAAAATCCACACCCTACTCTACTTTTTTTTTTTACCCCATTCTCCTCTTTTTTCTCCTACCTTTTTTTTTTTTTCTCTCCTTTCCTCCTCTTTTCCTTTTTTTTTTTCTTCTTTGTATTTCTTCCCCTACTCTGTTTTCCTTTTCCACTTTTTTCACTTCCCTTTCTTTTTCCCTTCATTTCACTTCCTTTTTCTTCCCTTTTCCCCCCACTCCCCCTTTCCCCTCCCCTTTTCTTTTCATTTTCATTTTCCCCCCTCCCCCCCTTTCTTCCCCTTCCTTCTTGAGTAAGTGTGAGTGGTAGAGAGCCCCCCCACCCCCGTTGTCTATTTTGTTCTTGGATATCTTGTGTCCACTCCCTTCTCCTTTTCTGCGTTCACCTTCCTATGGATCCTGCCAGTGTTCGGTAGGAGCAGGTGTCTCGTGGGTGGTTTTTTTGTTGAACGTGAGTGTTTGTGCAAATTAGAGGCAGAGGCAGGTGTGCGTGTTGGGCGCTTGTTATGTTGGGGGTGTAGGTGTTCTATGGGCCCTGATTTGGAAAAGGGTAGTCTAGTGAAGGAAAGTGATTTCTAAACTGGAGTTTTTAGGAAATTGGGAGTATTCATTAACGAAAGAGGATATATCTCATTTTGCTAAAAATGGTTACATTAGCCTAGTGAACTATTTAACCAGTGTGTCGTTTAAGATAAACAAGGTTGATTTTTTCCTTGATTTCAGTGTAATATGGTACTCCATTTATGTGTGTGTAATGTGCGGATTAATATAATAAGGAAAAAGAAAGCTTTGTAGGAACTGAGTCTTCCAGGTTAAGGTTGTGATTGATACAAAATGATGGCCATCTAGTAATCACAGTGCGAGTTTAGTGATTTAATTGAAGGTCGTGTTGTGCTTTGATTACAAAGGATCTGCATTGGCAGTGCAGGGGAGCTAGAGTTTTCGTTGTAGAGAGGTATAAAGTCTTCAGGGCTTGTGATTGCATGGTTTTCATTTTTAACTTGCTACTGCCCTGGTCCACCAACTAATTTGGCTTTTGAGCAATTAGATATATCATTGTCCTATTTTTTATTAAGTTTGCACTAAAAGAAATCATACTTTAAATTAAAGGGTCCTAAACGAAATACGCATAGCGCTGCAAAGAGGATTCTGCACTATTGGTTATGTGATTAGTTACTTTAGCTTATAATGTGGTTAGAACAATGGCATTTGGAGCTAAACTTATTGGGGTAGTACTGTTTTTGCATGTCAGATTTTTTTGAGGGGAAGGATTTGGTTTGGGGTTTGGACAGAGGGACCATGGAGATAGAGAACATTTTGCATGAACTTAGTTTCCATTTAAGGTGTGGATATACTTTGGATTTATATTTATGTTTTTAATGGATTTGTTCTATTACATTGGTTGTCAATGTTTTCCTTCTTATTTGTGTAATTGATGATTTGATTTCGTTATTATCACAAAGTATGCTTAGACAGTCGATATGAGAGGTATGAAAAATGAATTCAATTTTTTAAGTTGGTTTGTTGATGACTAGCAATCGTTTTCTTATGTCGAAACTCTTTTTTGATGGCTATTTAGTTAAGATTGTGAATTTCAGCTTTGCTCTCTCTCTCTCTCTCTCTCTCTCTCTTATATATATATTTAATTTAATTTTCTTGGTTTTGGCATCTTCTTGACCATTGACATTTCCTTATTTTGTTTCTTTTGTAAAGGAAGATGATGAGTTTGAGAAGGTCAAGTAAACAATTGGTAGTGTTTGGAATTCCACGTATTAGATCACAGCCCCTATCCCACAGGTGTTAAAGATCATGACTACAAAACTTGGGGATACAAAAGGCATAGTATACATGTATTTTGTTTTGTTCAAAATTGTATACAAGCTTGGTAATAGTCTTAGAGTGGAGCTTGGCCTCCAGTCTATAAGTGGAATTTGGATATGTTATGTGTATTTGAATGACTAGTATGCTTGTGTACTTTTGAATGAGAGAAATTTTTATTCATGTAATTTTCTATTGATCTATTTATCTAAATTTATTGTTTTTCGAAATTACAATATGTTAATGAACAAAAGGTTAATATTATCACAAAACATAATATAAATAAAATAATTAAAAACACAAAATATACATATTTTAGCGACCAACTAAGTAAGCTTTAGCGACCAAATCTGGTAGTCACTAAACACTGTTGGCGATGAACCTATCTATTTGTTCGTCCATTCCTTCCTCAGTTCGCGGCAAAATTTTGGTATTTAGCGGGAAGCTCTTTATAGGCGACCAACGATTGTAAGGCGACGAATACCAATTGGTTGGCTATTAAAGGTGGAAGAAATTTTTTTTTTTTTTTTTTTTTTTTTTTTTTGTCACTTTACTTGCAGCCACGAGCCCTTAGCGACCAAGGTAACGACGATGAAATTAATTTTGTCGCTAAAAGGGTTTTGGCGACGAAATTGACAGCTTTTAGCGACCAAAAGTGGTGGTCGCCAAAAGGGTTTCCTAAAAGAAAAAAAAAAAAAAAAAAAAAAAAAAAAAAAAAAAAAAAAAAAAAAAAAAAAAAAAAAAAAAAAAAAAAAAAAAAAAAAAAAAAAAAAAAAAAAAAAAAAAAAAAAAAAAAAAAAAAAAAAAAAAAAAAAAAAAAAAAAAAAAAAAAAAAAAAAAAAAAAAAAAAAAAAAAAAAAAAAAAAAAAAAAAAAAAAAAAAAAAAAAAAAAAAAAAAAAAAAAAAAAAAAAAAAAAAAAAAAAAAAAAAAAAAAAAAAAAAAAAAAAAAAAAAAAAAAAAAAAAAAAAAAAAAAAAAAAAAAAAAAAAAAAAAAAAAAAAAAAAAAAAAAAAAAAAAAAAAAAAAAAAAAAAAAAAAAAAAAAAAAAAAAAAAAAAAAAAAAAAAAAAAAAAAAAGATTGATTTAATTTAATTGTGCAGACGAAATTGGGGTTCGTGTGTCTCCATATCACTCTGTCTTCCGAAAAAACCACTCTCATGGCCTGCCAACTCTTAAGGACCCCTCTCACTCTTAATTTCAAAGAGTGTTAATTAATTGGAGAACAAGGGGTGGGCAAACCGAAACATAAAAAGGTATGAAATGGGTCATCTTCTTCTTGGGGTGGGTCGAGATTCTTGTCTCCTTGCATCTAAACCATTCCTTTGTATAGTGCTGCTTTTTTAAGTGAATGAAATCAGATTAAACCTCATCTCCTTCCACTTATTCAGTTGAGTGGTTCGCTGTTTTTTTTTTTTTTTTGGGGGAATTCAATTGGTGGGGGTGCTTATATTTTTGGGGGGTTTTCAATTAAGTTGTTTCGAATTGGTTGTGTTTCCCTTTATTATTATTCAAAAATTGGGGGTACTTACAAGGACAAAAATTGTTTTTAAGAGGTTTTTTAATATGACCGTTTTGAGCTGAGATATTCACTAAACAGTTTATGGTTACACATAGGAGCCAAGGTTCAAGCACTCTGTTAATCATTGAGTTAAGAGCAGCCAGTAAAATGTGTATTGACGCTAAGGCTTAATAAAAAAGGGCCCACACAAACAATACTAGAGGTGCTAGTTTTTTTTAACACCATTCGAGATGGAGATATCAATAACTATGGTTGGTGCTGTAGAATTGGAATTAATGTACTGTTGTCAGGTTGTGAGTTCTTTGTGGTATATGCAAATTAAGTTGTGACTTGTGGCAAATTTGCCTTTGCAGTGATGATTGACCTGGGAGATGTATTCAATTTTAAGTTCTGTTAGCTTGTGGACTAATGCCAAATTTACAATTTTACACTGGAGTTTAGCTGGAAGGTTTGCATAAACTTTTTAATCCCAAAATTTGGTAGTTAAACAATTTTCTACTTGCAAGTGGATCTAGTGGGGTATCTGTGTATTTGAGATAAAGTAAATAATATTTCAAATTCCTACCACCACATATGGTACTAGAGTAGGTGGGAATTAGTTTGTGTGAAAATTAGGAGGGCAGAGGCATGGGAATGATTTGGAAAAGGGAGTGAATAATGAAAGTGATTTATAAACTGATTTTTTAAGAAATTGGGAGTATTTTCATTAACGAAAAGAGATATATTCATTTTGCTTAAAAAATTTGTCCCGTATCCTATTTGGAAACTATTTAACCAGTGTGTAGTTTGAAGATAAACAAGGTTGAGTCTTTTTCCTCTTTATTTCAGGTAATATGGTACTCCAATTTATGTGTTTGTAAATGTGCAGGATTAACTATAATAAGAAAAAGAAATCTTGTTAGGAAACTGAGGTCTTCCAGTTAAGGTTGTGATTGATTACAAAATGATGGCAAATCTAGTAATCACAGTGATGATTATAGTGATTTAGATTGATAAGGTAGTGTTTTGTGTTTGACTTAACAAATGATATGCATTGGCATTGCAGGTGGAGCTAGGGTTCTCTTTGTAGGAAGTGTTATTAAAGTCTTAAGGTGCTTTATTGAATCGTGTTTTCATTTTACCGGTACTGCCCCTTTGGTCCACAACATAATTTTTCTGTTTGGGAGCAATTAGATAATATTGTCCTTATGTTTTATTAATTTTTAACACTAAAAAAGAATCATAATTTAAATTAAGCTGGTCCTAAACCAAAATACCCGCATAGCTCTGCCAAGGACTTCTGCACTATTGTTGTTATTGTTATTAGTTCGCTTTTCTTATAATGTGTTTAGACAATGTCATTTAGGAGTCTACCTTTATTGGGTAGTATTTGTTTTTGCATGTCAAATTTTTTTTTGAGTGGAAGGATTTGGTTTGGGTTTTTGACAGAGGACCATGTATATAGACCCTCTTCTTCTCTACACTTAGTTCCACTTTTAAGGTGTGAGGTACTTTGGATTTTAGATTTATGTTTTCTAATGGATTTGTTCTCTTTACATTGGGTATTTCGTACTGTTTTTCCTTCTTTATTTTTGGTAATTGAGATTTGATTTCTGTTATTACACAAAGGATGCTTAGACAAGTCCGATATATGAGAGGTATGAAAAAATGCACTTCTAAATTTTTTTCATGGTATATGATGACCCGTAATCGTTTTTTATGCTGAGCCAATTCTTTTTTTTTATTGTTGTTTAGTAAGATTTTATTTTCAGCTTTGCTTCTCTCTCCTCTCTCTCATCCTCTCTCCTCTGCTTCTCTATATATAGCATAGATATTATTTTATTTTCTTTGCGTTTTTGCATCTTTTGACCCTTGCCATTTCCTATTTGTTTTCTTTGTACAGGATGTTGTTTGAGCGATTTGGGAGGTCAGAGCAAACAATTGGCAGTGTTTTTGGGAATTCCACATATTCGACACAGCCCCTATCCCAGGGGTTTAAAGATCTGGACTATAAAATGGGCTACAAAAAGGCATATCTCATGTATTTTGGTTTTGTTCCAATCGTATACAGGCTTGGGAATAAGTCTTAGAGTGGAGAAATAACTGAATTGCGCAACTTGGTTTACCAAGGGGCAAAAATATATGGAACTTTGCCCCCCAGTCTTTCAGTGAATTTTTGCTATGTTTATGTGTACTTGACTGGACGGAGACACTTGTTTACTTTGTGCATGAGAGAACCTTTTATTCATTATTTCTATTGATCTATTTTATCTAAATTTATAGTGTTTTCGAAATTTCCAATATGTGTAATGAACAAAAGGTTATATTTTATCACAAAACAGAATATAAATAAAATAAATTAAAACACAAAATATCATAAATTTTTAGCGACCAACTAAGTAAGCTTTAGCAACCAAATCTGGTAGTCACCAAAAAACTATCGGCGACGAACCAATCTATTTGGTCGTCGAATCCATCCTTAGTTCGCCGCAAATTTTGGATATTTTTCCGCGGAACCTACTTTATATAGCGCGACAACTGATTATTGTAAGGCGACGAAACCAATTGGGTCGCAGAAAGGTTTTGGCGACGAAAAATTGTTTTCCGTCGCCTTTTGTCACTTTACTTTCAGCCACGAGCTTTAGGCGACCAAGATAGCGACGAAATTATTTTCGTCGCTAAAGGGATTTTGGCGACGAAATCTCAACTTTTAGCGACCAAAGGTGGTGGTCGCCAAAAGGGTTTTTTCCTTGTAGTTTTGGACAATTGATCTCAAATGGGTTTGGGCGGGATTTTTTGTGTCAAATGGGTTTGGGTGAGAAGACATCAATTGTTCGAAAATACCCTTTAATTGGCATCAAAAGAAGCGAATAGGTGGGATCTACCCTTGACACGTAGGCAATTTACATAAATTTTGACAGTAAATTTAATTAATGTTGGAACCAAATTGCAAAAAATTAATAAGATTAGGGTACATAACTGTTAAAATTACGAGTGGAAGGGCAAACATGCCTTAAGGGTGAAAGTTTAGGATATCAAATTGATACTAACCCATAAATATCTCTGTTTTGCCCATTTATGTTTGAGTGATTTTGTAAAACTGAGAAAAGTATTGGAAGATTGATTTGGTTGATGAAAGGTAGACATCTTGGCGAAGAAAAGGTACTGTATGCAGTAGGTTCTTGTCAGTTAGTTTTTTTGTTTGGCTTCTTAGATATAGGTCCAAAATGATTAGCTGTCATTGGGTTTTGGTCCACGTGTTTTAAGTTTTAGATGTAGGTCATTTGACATTTATTACTTACTTTGGTGTCAATTTTATCCTTTGAGTTAAATAAGGAAACACATTGAAAATTTAAATTTAATGCATTATTTCCTTGTAATTGAATTTCATAATTGAATTTTTGGAATATTTCCTTGATAATATTCCTAATATATGGATAAAATAAAATTTAATATACCAATTGATCATACAAGCATCCCCATGAAATTATGTACCTGACATCCAGGTAAATAGTGTTATTGTTAGCAACGTAAAAAACTTAGTGAAAATCTGTGTACCTATAAGTTAGAACATAAATTAGAAGACTACTATATTCAGAACAAAAATAGACAAATAAATTGTATTTTATCAACAAGGTGGTGATTTTCCCACTCCCTTTTATCCACTACGCTCCTTTTTGTTTTTAAATACTTTTTACTATAACATAAAAGGGATGTAAGTAAACAAAAGATGAGTGAAAACATACATTTAAATATATAAAAAGGAGGTGTAAGTGGATAAAGTGAGAGTGGGAAAATCAGTACCCTATCTACAAAAAAATGACTAATTATTGATATAAAAGACTATTACCCAATCAGTCATAAGGGTCAACATTAGAAAAAAAATTATTAAATAAAAATAAAAAAAAAAAAAAAAAAATAAAGCATTAGAAAATATATTTAAAATTAAGTATACTATGTGGCACAAAGTCAAAGGACTTTGATCAAAGTCACCAAATCCGAGGATTAACCCAACTCCTCAATGGGAATTCGAATCTATATCAACCTTTCCCCTAAAACAGGTATGAGTTTTGAACTAATTAATAAATCCATATCATTAAGCGATGATATGGCATTGCCATGATATGACTTGGAATCCAATTTCCTTGTCACTTGATACACAAATTTAGTATCTCTAGCATTACCCTAATTTAATATTTTTGTCTCACGATATGTTGTTAGTAGTCAATATTAACATTGCAATGTGTCCAGGTGGCAATTGTCATTCTCTTTCCAAAGAGGAGGCTCTCAGGATCTTTCGGGATGCATATTATAAACTTCTTGTTATGGGGCAATATTTACCACGAGTTCTTCGTATCTACCTATCATGCAAGAAGGCTAAAAAACCTTTCAAAGGACAAATCCCATTATGGGTTAAAGGTTTACTCAATCTTTTCCTCTACGTTCTGGCTAGTCATGTAAGTTTCACTTTTATCATAATTTATTTAATTTTAAAAATTTCATTTTCTTTAAATAAAGGATCATATTTGTCTCATTTTCTTCTAAGTAGGAACTCCTACTTTCCTGCTAATTACAATCGGACATGTATGCAAAAGAAACAATTTTTGGGTTTTTGATGAATTATTTTGCATATTTATGCCAAACTATGATTTGATGGAGAAAGTAATGTCTCATTGTAGAGGCAAACAATATCCTTAAGTAATGCTGAACTAGCATTTGTATAATATCACTTTATTTGAGGGACACCTTATAAGTTCCACTTAGATCTTAATTCACCATTCAAATAGTTTATTTTTTACATTTTTATTTGAGGGACCATCGTGACAACAACAAAAATAGGAGGTCCATACTTCGTATCGAATTATACATGCAAACACAATAACAGTTTTAGTAACTTGGGTGAGAACCAATATTGTGAGGCAAATATCCTCACAAAAATTGTCAGCATCAATTTTGTAACAAATTTGAAAATTTGTTTTCATGAAAACTTATTAGCGTCATTTAAAATTTTCTAAAAAAATTCAATCTAATAAGCTTGTTGATTTCTTTAGGTGCTTGGTGCTTTTTGGTACTTTTTTGCTGCTCAACAAATAATAAGTTGCTGGAAACATGCGTGTCAACATGGAAATGGATGTGGCGCTACTACATTGGATTGTCTGATCACCAAACGTTGAGAAATATTACGGTTCTAAATAATTTCTGCCCTATAGATCCACCAAATGCAACTCTCTTTGATTTTGGTATATACCTAAATGTCCTTCAGTCGGGTGCATTGTGGTCAACAGACTATCCCCTGAAGTTTTTGAACAGTTTTTGTTGGGGCCTGCGAAATTTGAGGTTTGTACATGTGAAACCCTTTGATAATACATATTGAGTTATAATTACAAATAAATAAAAATCTAAATTTGCAATCTAGAGAATTTGTTTCCAAAAAAATAGTCAATTAACTTTTTTCTTTCCTTCTATAAGATGGTTTGTAATTTTTATATCTTGTTTATGAGACCCAACGTATACATTGATGCTGTTTTTAACTAGAGGATACGTTGAACTCTATATTTATAATAAAGTTGAGATTTTGATATATATGTATTCTGATCCATTTCATGTTTGCAGTTCTCTTGCTTCAAATCTCGAACCGAGTTTCTATACATGGAAATCGCCTTTGTAGCTTTTATATCTATAATCGGCTGATACTGTTTGTATATCTCATTGGAAATTTGCAGGTTGGTGCGGTGTATATAAAAAAGTTCTCCTTAAGCTTAAAGCTCCTGATTTGATTTTTTTTTCCCTCTCATTTGAGTACCCATCTATCTCTCTCTCTCTCCTCTCTCTCTCTCTCTCTCTCTCTTTCTCTCTCTCTCTCTCTCTCTCTCTCTCTATATATATATATATTATATATATATACACACACACACACCACACTAGCCCCTTGCCACACACCAATTGATTTTTTATTTATTCAAAATTAAGAAAGAGAATCAACCAAAAAGAAAAAGAAAGAAAAGACAAGTTGTGTTCTATGAAAATAGGACTCCATTTTCTTACGTTGGTTTTTATTTTAAATTTTTTAATATGAAAAAATATTAATGTACTATATTATCCTTATTTAATTAAAAGTTTCAATGCTTAATAAATTCATTAACTAAGAGCAATTAATGGTATTTTAAATGTTTTACCATTATATGCTTCTTCTTTTTTCTTTTGGATTAATCTATTAATTCTTTGCATTTTGCTTTATATATATAGATACAAATATATATAATTTTCTATAACAATTATAACTTAGAATTAATGAACTGAACCTTGTTGTTGTGAAATAGACCTATGTGCTTATAGATACTCAAAGATTAGAGGAGCAGAGACGCAAGGATAAACTTGAGAAGAAGATTAAAGAAAATGACCGAAAAGTTGAAAAATGGTTATCTTTACGTGGCATCCCCCTTATTAAAAAGCAGAAGATCATGGAAGCGATAAAAAAAGAGCTTGAAGAAAACTCGGATTTAAATGCGGTTAGGGAAATCCTCTCTAATATTTCCGACGAAGAAATCGAAAGTTACAGCCCGTTGAGTAGGCTGGGGAAGGTACGTTCATCCAAGCGCATCGTATTTAATTTTTCACCACCATTATTTGTATCCAATGATATATATTAGATTTTTAATTGCTGGTTATTTTTCTCAAATCTGTATGTAATCTAATACCAGGTGCCACTACTTGAAGACATGGACAAAGGAGTTTTGAGAGAAATCTCTAAGAAGCTTGAGCCTGAGAAGTATACTAGTGGAAAAATCATTATTGAAAAGGATAAAACACTTGAAAAGATGCTTTTCATCGTGGCCGGAAGTGTAACCATTGAAAAGACAGATGGTTCTCGGCTGAAACTAGACGCAGGAAACTTTTATGGAGAGAAACTTCTAGTTTCGCCATCGTGGACCTCCTCTGGTGATGCAAAACCCATAAACGATGAGTCTGTTGTGGCCTTTGATGATGTTCAAGCCCTTGTTCTCTATGCCACAGACATGGAGACCTTGGGCTCTGGTTCCAAGCGGTTTATAACCGAGTTGCGCTTGGTGGTTACTGTTCTTCCGAAAGTAAGCTCCTCTCTATTTGGAAGGCGTATAAAAGATGAACAATTTGATTCTCACCTTCCATCCTAGCTAGCTACTAATATACAATGATGTTACTTTATTTGATTTATATACTGTTTTCTTCATGTTCGTCAAATTAATAATGTGTCAAATATCCTAGGTGCCAAAGCTTCAGAATATGGATGAACAAGTATTGAAAGCAATGTCTAAGCTTCATTCGCAGAAGAAATATAAACGCAACGACTGTATTGTTCGAGAGGGCCAACCACTTAATATGATGTTCTTCGTCACGAGCGGAAAGGTAACGAAAAATGAGACCCATACGGAAGCAAATTTTTTTGGAGAAGAACTTGTTGAGTGGGTACTGGATGAGTTTTTTCCTACCATATTACCCTTATCGACCTGCACGGTTAGGGTAGAATCAAATGATGCTCGAGTCCTCATTCTCAAGGCCGACCACCGCTTGAAGAGTGTAGCCTCTGAATTCGAGCCGCAATTCAAAAGCATCGCCTCTCCCTCAGATGTCCGGTTGACTTGGCTAAAGAAAGTAAGTTGCTCCATCTGCATGCACAACTCTCTCTCTCTCTCTCTCTCTCTCTCTCTCTCTCTATATATATATATATATATATATATATGTCTCTCTCTCTCTCTCTCTCTATATATATATATATATATATATATATGTATATCCAACCATACTTTCGATAGTGGAGATGAATGCTAATATAATTTTTGGGTTATTCGTTTATTATTCTTTGAATTTTAACCCGATTTGCATTTGAGTCTCTCAATTTTCAAAATCATTCTCATAGTCCTTCAATTTTAGTTTTGGTAGGATAAATGGTCATACTGTCAATTTTGTTGACTTTTTTTGTTAAATGCAGCGGTAAAATAGTATTTTTGTATTATTTTTAATTTCAAATTTCTAAATATTCCTTTCACCCAAAAAATAAAATTAAAATTTTTTTTTTCCCATCCATAGTCAAACTAAAAATTAAAAATTAGTTCTTATTCCTAAAAACTTGATTTAAAAAAAATATTTTATTCATATTTTAATCAATTTAAAATAAAAAAAATAAAAATACATTTTACCCCTACATTTAACAAAAAAGTTAACAAAATTGACGGCAAGATCATTTGTCCTAACGAAACTAAAGTTGACGGATCACGGGAACGATTTTGGAAATTGAGGGACTCAAATGTAAATCAGTTCTAAATTTAGGAACTAATAAAACGAATAACCCTATAACTTTTTCACTTAAAAAAAAATATTACTCTCTTTTATGTGATTCGTAAATGTGTAGGCCAAATAGCAGCACGGCTTAAAATCTGTGTTATATTGTGTCAAAATATGTCCTTCCATGTTGACTTATATAAATACATATGTAAGAATATTTAAAACTAAATGCAGAAGACACATCCAATTAAAACCATTATATATCATCCTAGCTAGCCAGTACTAACTTTTAGAAGATTTGTTTTATATTTTTCTTAAGTGACAATGTCACATCTATCTAATTTTAGGTGGAAATCTTTCAACAAATGGAGGAACAAGTGTCGGAAACAATATCCAAGCGTCTTAAACCCATGAACTTCAATGTTGCCAATCGCCATATTCTTCAAGAGAAAAAACCACTTAAAATGATGTTCTTCGTCATCCGAGGAGTTGTATTAATTGAAAGCGATAGTGCTATGGACGTGAACGTGACAAAAACCTGTGAATTGGGAAATTTCTATGGAGAAGAACTTGTACATTGGATTACAACTTGGGTATCACACCAGTCCTTTCCTACCAAACTACCTTTGTCACCTGGTTCTGCGCTATGCGGCGTGCTTGGTAGTCCTGTCCAAATCCTTTCTCTCACAGCCGACGACTTGATGAGTGTAGTCTCTGAATTCAGGTCGAAATTCACCACGGAAACCGCCCTCCCTACAGATTCTGATCAGCCTCGGGACTGGTTGACCATCCTAAAGAATGTAAGTTCCTCTGGATGAAGAGAACCAGACCTCTCTCTCTCTCTCTCTCTCTCTCTCCTCTCTCTCTCTCTCTCTCTCTCTCTCTCTATATATATATATATATATATATTAATCATAGTATTTCTAATTTGTAGGTGGAAAGGCTTGAGACTATGGATGAGGAAGTTTTGAAAGAAATATGTGGGTATCTTGAGCTCAGAACTTGTGAAGATGCGTACATTATTCAAAAGGATAAACCAATCGAAATGATGTTCTTCATCATGAGCGGAGTTGTGTCAGTGACAGACGGGAGGTCGAAACATTACCGCAATAAAGGAGGACGTCCAAATCACAGTGGAGTTGACCTCATAGAACATTGGCTACAATCTAAATCTACCGGCGTTCCTGCCGAATTACCCACCTCTCCTTTTAGTTTTTGGGCCATCGGTGAAGTTAAAGTTCTGGTTCTTAAGGCCGACGACTTGGCAAAGGTTCAGCCTGGTGATCAAATTCGTTAGTATTATGTGCAACTAATGAATTGTCTTTGTATTATATTCCTGCTTATGTACATACGTAGTTTCCTTGTCTGAAGCTTGTTTGTTTGTAAGTTGTTTGGATTTCCAGTTAATGAACGATTGATCAAATGATGCTAGAGTTGAGATCCTGTTCTGCTTTTTGTGATTGTTGGATGCATATACGCACTGATCCGCTCCGCTTCTTAGGAAGAGTTGCTAAGTTCTGCTTTGAGAGAATAAATAATTTATACTACAAAAGGACTTTGATACATGTGATTTATATTTATTATTATTTTTTAAGGTGTTAGTCAATAAGCAACAAGAAAATTATATATGTTGAGAGAATCTCTGTTTTCTTGGTCTTTCATTTGTGTTTATAATATGACATGATGACGGTTGCTCGGTTACCCTTGGCAATCGAGTCCGCTGAGGCAACAGGTGATGTTGAAGCCCTTGCTCTCATGGCTAGCGACGTCGCGAGTGTGGTCTTTAAATTCGGAAGGCAATATATGTTTGAGGATAACCACTTCAAGAAAATTTTAGGTTATCTGCAAATGTAGAACATTTAGTGCGAAAGAAGTTGAGGAGGCAACAAACAATTACCATGTAAGTAGGATCATTGGTGAAGGAGGCTCTAGAACTGTTTTCAAAGGACTGCTACCAGATAAAACAGTGGTTGCGGTGAAGAAATCCAGAATTAGTGGTAGCATTTTTGATAATCCATACGCAGTTAATGAGGTAGGTGTTGCTTCTCAGACCAATCACATAAATTTGGTGAGGTTCTTAGGTTGTTTCAAAGCACAAACACCTGCACTGGTTTTTGAGTAGATTCCCAATGGCACTCTTTAATGAGCACATTCATGAAAAAGAAGGCAAAGGATGTTCACTGCTTTCTCTGGAGTTATGACTGAAGATAGCGGCAGAAATTGCAGGATCAGTAGCTTACTTGCACTCCATGGAAATCATACATGGATATGTGAAGACAACAAATCGTTCCATCCATGATCATGAATTTCGTCTGTCAACTTCTGTGCAAGGGACACTCTTTGACCTTGATTTATATCATATTCAACCCCGAAAATCATTCCTAGGTCTATATACCCACCCATTGTTCATAATTGGTGTCTCTGTCTTTTATAATTAAATACAATTATATTTTTATAATTTATACTTTTTAAGTGAAAATGTTCATAATTGGTGTTGTTAGTTAGTATATTAGCTGTATTTCGTTAGATTGTTAAGTCTTGGTTATTGAGATATATAAGTTATAACACTGATGAGACTACGATTGTAAAGATTCTGTGAAATCAATATACAGAGCATATCATTTTCTTGAATCTTCTTCTTTCTTAGCTTTCTCAATTCTTAAGCTTCCTCTTCTAAACTGTTAACAGAGTGTAGTCTCTAATTTCAAGTCCAAGTTGTTCACAAGGGAGACTCAGATCACCCTCCCTCGGAGCCTCTGACTCAGGATCTGTTGACTATGCTAAAGAATGTAAGTTCCCCTATATATATACTTAATTCTCTCTTCTTTTGCTTAAGCAAATAATATGGTATCTAATTAATCTAGGTGGAAAGGCTTAAGCATATGTGGATGAGCAAGTGTTGAAAGAAATAAGTGAGCATTTTAGGGCAGAAAAGTATCAAGATGAGTACATTATTGGATTGAATGAGCCAATGGAAAAGATGTTCTTGATCGTGAGGGGAGTTGTGGCAGTGACAAACGAGTACTGGACACAATACCGCAGTGAAGCATATAACGTTCAAATCACAGTGAAGATGACCTTATAGATTATTGGTCGTGATCTGAAGATGCTGCCTTTCCTGAGTAGTTCTCCATCTCTACTTTAAGTTTTCAGGCCATCAGTGAAGTTGAAGTTCTGGTTCTTATGGCCAACGACTTGGCTAGGGTTCAGCCTCGTCGAATTCATAGTAAAACCTTTCTTCTAAGAAACCGAAGTCTGCAAGTCGGATTGAATTAATTGCCAAATGCAATTGCAATTATGAACTTTTAATCAAAATTTATTCATTACTTTTTCTTGAATTCGCTGTCATTTGTAGTCAATTAATTAGCTAGCAACAGCAAATTATGCTTGAAATCTTCTGTGCTTTTGTGATTGCAGTATGTATTGGTAACAATATGTATCTGATGATCATTTGCTTGTTTGGAAGAGTTGCTAAGTTGACTATTGGTAATTAACTAAAACTTTTGCTTTGGTTTGAAAGGACGAATTTATTATAAAAAGACTCGGGGAAGTTTATTATAGATTATTGTTTTAATATGAAATTTATTATAGATTACTGTTTTCCCTTCCAACTGTCATGTTTAAGGTCTTAGTCAATTAGCAACCTGCAAACGTTTGAATTCTTAATTATTTGCCTTTTGTCTTCTTTGGTGTTCCTTGGATGCCTATCAATGTTTTCCTAGTCCCACATTAATTCATGGAACTACATAAAATATGGTTTTTGACATAATTGCACACTATCAATATAGAAAAATCAAAATCCAGACTCATAGTATAATCAAACATTCAAAACATTACAACAGTGAGAGTAATTTGGCACACTTTTATGATCTCACGTGACACTGATTCAAACTAACCAATTAGATATCATTCAAATAGCGTCATTCTCTTAATCGTTAATTGGGTCAAATTTGATTCAACGGTTAATTTGGTCCAATTTAATCCAAACGGTTAATTTAGAACACTTGAGATATCATTCGGATAGTCTCATTCTCATATATTAATTAGTGAAGGTCTATACCAATAGCCTTTTTTTTTTTTTTTTTTTTTTTTTTTTTGTTGTGGGACACACCAATACCAACCTTTCCCTCCTCTGCTTGTCCTCTGTTTTTTTTAACCCCTCTGTTTGTCCTCTGTTTTTTTTTCTCTGTCAAACCAAACAATGTTGCTCCCTTTATTGGCATTTGGACACTTCTCATTCACCTTTAGCACGTGACGTGAGTGCATGCATTGTAGCTGCTAATTGTATTCCTATATGCTAACTGTTTTGCCTTACCTAGGGAAAGTATCCCGATTCCTTATAAGCTCATACTAAGTCTCTTAGTTTTTCAATATACTCTAAACATTTCCCAATGGCTATGTCTACAGCTCTGAGGTTCGCATGCATTTTACTTGTATCAGACAATCTTGGCTATTCAGATTGGAAATATTCTGAACTTATTTTATGTTTTGGCGGGCTCTTGAAGAAATGAAAGATTACTTGTCCAAGGACAGGTTTGGTCTGCAATTACACAGATCCGGTGAAGGCATAAATATTATAAATTAAATCTACATATTGTGGCCTGTTCAATATTATTCAAGTTTATTATCAATTTGTACCGGGCTTTGTAACTTTAGAATGTCCTGTGCTCTCTGTGCATAAATTCCTTACTGCTGGATTTGTCACAAACTCTAAACATTCCCCAACCTTACTCTTGGGAACTTGAACATGTATATATGCAAAATTATATGTTTTACAGTTCTTGACCAATTCATACCTATTCAACATTTGTTTCTATTGAATTTATTTAATAAAAATCCAAGTTAGCTTTTCTTCTATGCGTACGATATAACGAGTGGGGGAAGTAGGGCGCTTAGGGTTTAGTTTCAAATTTCAACAAAAGCAAGAATGATACGTTTTACAGTTTGATTTACCTGTGGATGAAGATGAATCAAGTTGATGTATATTTTGTTTACCTGAAATGAATAGCCTTAAGTTGGCGGTACTCGATGACCTATAAAATATGTCATTTCAAAGTCATGCAATCGTGTTGAGATGTTCAAACCGCGATTAGTGAGGGATTTTCCCCTAATCACAACAAAACATGACAACTAGTACAGCAATCACTATTTTTGTTTTGGCCAAGCATTTGAAAATGTTTTTATTTTTATTTTTTTAACAATACATTTTTTAGTATAACAACTAGTACTGCAATCAATGAATTCAAACAACTTGCCAGGATGAAATATTATTATATTTTCAACCACTGCATGGGTTGAAGTCAATTCTATTAACTGCTGGTTATTGCATCTACTTGTATCTACCATTCTTATAACTTGACTTCATCAGTTGTAGAAAATTTGAGATCTCAAATTTGGTTCCATAAGGTATCGTTTGCAAATTCCAGAATTCTTTCAAGTTATTCAGTTTCTGCCCAAAAAAGAAAAAGAAAAAGAAAGAAGAGTTTGAGTTGTGCATGGCGGCTACGGAAGTGAACGTTGCGAGGTTAGTTTCTCCAACGTTAACATGCAACATTTTCATTTTTTCCCTTTCTTAAACAAAACTTCTGTCAAACAATAGGGCTTATAAAGAAAGAAGTTCTTTACTTATCAAATTTCTTCCGTCTCTCTCTTAATAAAGATTTTGTTACTTGGGAACCTTAACTGTTTTCTTCTTTTTGTCTTGCTCAGCAGTGCAGATGACCCGAATTCAAAGATGATAACGGAAAATTCTGCCCCGAAATATGTACAAAAGTGGAATTTCATGTTTATAACATCATGTGTGTTTGCCGTTTCACTGGATCCTTTGTTCCTCTACGTTCCTATCCTTAACTACGATATGAAGTGTCTGAGGTTGGACAACAACTTGAAGATTACAGCTCTTGTCTCACGATCGGTCACAGATCTGTTTTATATAGCAAATATTGTCTTTCAAGTTTACAGATATAAGATTTGTTCAAACTTAATCAAACTATTTCTTCCCGGAAGTTGGTCGTCCAAGTTAGCTGAACTAAGGAAGATATGGCAGTCATACATCATAGTTGACATTTTAGCTATTCTTCCTCTTCCACAGGTATGAGAAGCCCTTTCATCTAGACTAGAGTTAATTATTTTTCCAATCTCACTGTTTTTGTCTGCGTGCTATTATATATATAAATAATTATTCTCTCATTTGAATGTTCGCTCATTATTACTGTGTGGATGTCGCTCATTATTACTATGTGGATGTCAATGTAAATATAGACAAAGCAGGAATAGGTAGTATAAAATACATGGTGTACGCACGGTAGTAATATTGCATATAGGAGAATTTATGTGTGTGTGTATATATATATATTAATTTCAGTATAAAAGCATAAGAGATTAGGACCACCTACGATAATACTGACCAATGAAATGTGATATTGACCCCAAAAAGTATAAAATATGAAATGTGATATTGACCCCAACAAGTATAAAATCTAAATGCAATGTTGTATTTGAAATTAGGACAGTCAATATTTTATCTCACGATATTATTGCAATGTGTACTCCAGGTGATAATTCTCATTTTCTTTTCAAAAATGAGGGCCTCAAGATCTTTAAGGAAGCTTATGAACTTTCTTGTTATGGTGCAATATGTACCACGAGTTCTTCGCATCTACTTATCATGCAAGAAATCCAAAAAACCTTTCAAAGGACATACTGCATTATGGGTTAAAGGTTTACTCAATTTTTTCCTCTACATCCTTGCTAGTCATGTAAGTTTCAACATCATAAATCATTTAAAAACATTTGAAAATTTCTTTTGATGAGAACTTATTAGCGTTATTTAAAATTTTCTCATAGCTAACTTGTTGAGTTCTTTAGGTACTTGGAGCTTTTTGGTACTTTTTTGCCGTTCAACGAATTACAAGTTGCTGGCAACATGTATGCCAATATGAAAATGGATGTGGCCCTAGTAATTTTAATTGTCATGATCACCATACATTGAGAAATATTACGGTTCTAGATGATTTATGCCCTATAAATTCATCAAATACAACTCTCTTTGATTTTGGTATATATCTAAGTGTCCTTCAGTCGGGTATATTGTGGTCAACAAACTATCCGCTGAAGTTTTCGAACAGTTTTTGTTGGGGCTTGCGGAATTTGAGGTTTGTACATGTGAAACCCTTTTGATCTTTGCAGATTGAGCTATACTATTACAAATAATAAAAGTCCAAATTTGTATCTTATGTATAGTGATCCATTTCATTTCGCAGTTCTCTTGCTTCAAATCTTGAGCCGAGCTCCAATACATGGGAAATCCTCTTTGTGGCTTGTATTTCTATAATCGGCTTGCTACTATTTGTGTATCTCATTGGGAATTTGCAGGTTTGGTGCTGTGAATATTTTTATATATAAAGTTTTCTTTAAGCTTAAAGCTCCTCATGATTTTTTATTTTCTCATTTGAGTATGGCTGGCTTTTGGGATACATAAAAATGCAGAATTAATGAGGCTTAACCTTGTTGTTGTGAAATAGACATATGTGCTGTTAGATACTGAAAGATTAGAGTCGCACAGACGCAAGATGAGACTTGAACGGAAGATGAAAGCGAAAGGCCGAGATGTAGAATTATGGTTATCTAAACATGGCACTCCCCTGCGTAGAAAGCCGGATATCATGGAAAAGGTACGATTAGAACTTGAAGAAAACTGGGATATTGATGTGGATCAGGAAATCCTCTCTATTCTTCCCCGGGAACTTCAAGACTACATCGAAACTTGCAAGCCCTTGAGTAGGCTGAAGAACGTAGAGGTTCGTACAAACTCATCGCTTTAGTATATATAGCCTGGCCATATTTAATTTTTCACAACAATTATCCATCCTAGCTTAATTACTTATTAGATTTCTAATTGGTGGTTACTTTTATTAAACACTGCATCTAAACCTAGGTGCCACCATTTCGAAACATGGATGAACAAGTTTTGATAGAAATCTCAAAGCATCTTAAGCCCAAGAGGTATACTAATAATCAAATCATTATTAAAGAGGATCAACCACTTGAAATGATGCTTTTTGTCGTGGACGGACGTGTAATCATTAAAAAGAAAGATTGTTCCAGTAAGTTCCAACGACGTGCAGGACATCTGTATGGAGAGAAACTTCTAGTTTGGCCATCATGGACGTCCTTCCATGAGGGGACAAGACCTATAGCAACCGAGTCTGTTCAGGCCATTGATGATGTTGAAGCCCTTGTTCTCTTGGCCAGCGACATGGTCAGTATAGGCTCTAGATTCAGGTCAGATTTCGATAAGTTGAAGATGAGTCTCAGTCAGAGTCAACAAACGGATTCGCATTGGGAGCTTTTGACTTGTGACAATGTGACTATGCTACAACAAGTAAGTTCCTCTCTCCGGAGGAAGACATATATCTATACAGATACAGTAATAATGATGTTACTTATTCGATTTATATATTTTTTTCTCTTTATATTTGTTAAAATATCTTACTCTAGGTGCCGAAGCTTCGAACCATGGATAAACAAGTGTTGAAAGCAATGTCTGAACATCTTCAATCGAACGTCTATGAACAAAACGTCAACATTGTTCAAGAGTACCGACCACTTAGCATGATGTTCTTCGTCACGAGGGGAAAGGTAATAAATGGTGAGACCGGTCGTGCAGGAAATATTTTTGGAGAAGAACTTGTTGAGTGGGTACTGGATAAGTCTTTTCCTGAGATACTACCCTTGTCGACCTGTACTGCTAAAGTAGTCTCAAACGATGCTGAATTCCTCGTTCTAACGGCAGAAGTCTTGAAATGTTTAGCCTCTGATAACTTCGTGTCACATTTCAGCAAGATCGCCTCTCCGTCAGATCTTTTTACTTTTGTTCGGTTGACTAGGCTAAAGAAAGTAAGTTGCTCCATCTCTCTATTTGGAACTTAATGAAGAACACATCCAACTAAACCCATGATCATCCTATAGCTAGCACTATCTTTTAGAATTCCTTCATAGTCTTCTTAATTAACAATTTATGTCTATTCTAGGTGGAAATATTTCGACATATGGACAAACAAGTGTTGGAAGCAATTTCTGAGCGTCTTGATGTCAAGAACTACCCTTTTGCAAACACCTACATTATTGGAGAGAACGAACCACTTAAAATGATGTTCTTCGTCGTGCGGGGAGTTGTAACTATTAAAAATAATAGTACTATTGAAAGGCCAAAAACCTGTGAAATGGGAGGTTTTTATGGAGAAGAACTTGCACATTGGGTAACAACTTGGGTATCACATAGCTCCTTTCCTGCCAAACTACCTTTGTCAACTGGTTCTGCGCTACGCGGCCCCCGTGGTGGTACTGTTGAAATCCTTGCTCTCAGTGCCGACGACTTGAAGAGTGTAGTCTCAAAATTCAGATCGAATTTCACCAGGGAGAGCACCCTCCTTGCATATTCTGAGTTGGAGCCTTTGACTCGGGACCCATTGACGATACTAAAGAATGTAAGTTACTAAACATACGTGCAAACTGTGATTTGTAGAAATGTAGAATATCTTCTTACATATATCAACTTATTCTATTTTAATTGATGATATATTACTTATATTCTAATTCTCTGTCTTTGCTTGAACAAACATGGTAACCAATCCTAGGTGGAAAGACTTAAGACTATGGATGAGAAAGTGTTGAAAGAAATATGTGGGCATCTTGAGCTTAAAAAGTATGAAGATGAAGACATTATTCAACTGAATGAACCAATGGAAATGATGTTCTTCATCATGAGGGGAGTTGTTGCGGTGACAAATGAGTACTGGAAACATTACCGCAATGAAGCAGAACGTACAAATCACAGTGGAGACGACCTTATAGAATATTGGGCACGATCTAAATATACCGTATTTTCTGCCGAGTTGCCCTTATCTCCTTTTAGTTTTCGAGCCATCGGTGAAGTTGAAGTTCTGGTTCTTATGGCCAACGACTTGGCTAAGGTTCAGCCTCGTCAAAGTGCAACTATAATCGATGGTTCAATTATTCAAGTTTATTAGCAAATTTTGTTCTGGGCTTTGTGAGTGTTAGAATGCCATGTGCTCTCTGTACATGAAATCCTTCCCTGTCCAAACGCACCGCATATCTCCTTCTTTCCTCAACTTGGTGTTACTAATTTATTTTTATACAAACGATATTAAAAAAAAAGGGGGATTTGAATACAAGATTCAAGTGCATGAGTAACTGCCCTTATAACAATGTCACATTCCGGGATCACCGTAGAACGATATTGTTTGCTTTGGGCGTTTGCCCTCACGGTTTTGTTTCTGGGAACTCACGAGCAACTTCCCAATGGATCACCCATCTTGGGATTGCTTTAGTCCAAACTCGCTTAACTTTGGAGTTCCCATGACTCCAAAGCCAGTGAGCTCCCAAAAGGCCTCGTGCTAGATGGAAATGGGTATGTACATATAAGGTACATCACCTAATCTTTGTTGGTCGATGTGGGATGTTACAAACAATGACTTACTTGTTTGGATCAAAATCAAATCCCATGAAAACAATTGCCAATGCTCAAGCTAGCCCTATGAGAGGATGGATGTGAGGTATGTGATTAGTTGGATCGTTAGCAACAATTTTTGAGGGTTAAGTTAGGATTTTTGTTGTTGTTTTCAATTGATGAAATAAATTTCTGCAACTTTTTTTTGTTTACATAAATAGTACTAGACCTCTCCTGTTCAATTTTTTTATATTATCAACGAGAGAGAGAGAGAGAGAGAGAGAGAGAGAGAGAGAGAGAGAGAGAGAGAATTGAAATTAGAGTTATATCTTTAACATAAGAAATACTATTAAACCAAAGAGTTACTTGGACCTTTTCAATCTCTAATTTACACACCCTTGCACTGGATGCATACCCAAGGATACTTGGCTTGAAATAGCAAAAACTCTTCTTCCTTTTTAATTGAAATAGCAACAATTTATAGTCGAGTTGTTGACCAAAACGTATTCTAAACTCTTTTTTAATTTGAGGAACTAAACTTTTATATTGAATTAGTTGAAAGATGTGTAAGATGCTTTTCAGCAGGAGAGTCTCAAATCCAAAATTAGAGTTCTATGGCCAACGCTTGTATACAAGGGGCCCAAATTTGATGGAGCACAGTGGTGAAGCCCACTAGACCACGTGATGGCTGGCCCCTTTTTTGTTTTCTTTGATTCAATGCGGGGCCCGCCACTATACAATTGTCGCACACTTGAATTGTCTCTCTCATTAGCGAACGGTCATGGTTATTGGACTGTTGCAATCCAACGGTACAAATTCAAAATTTTCATTTTATTTTAATTAAAAAAACTTAGTGTCTATTTCCAATCCGACGACCTTGATTGAGTCTAATGAATTTAACGGTAAAAAGAATATCCAAGGCCAAAAGGTTGATATTAGTTCATTTATATCATATTCAACCCCGAAAATCATTCCTGTTCATAATTCGTGCCTCGGTCTTTTATAATCAAATACAATTATGTTTTTATAATTTATAACTTTTTAAGTGAAAATGTTCATAAAACTAAATTTTAAAAAATGTAAACAAAGATTAATTCCATAAAAGTGCATACAAAAATTTGAGATTAAGACACAATACGAGTTTATTGGAGTTGAGTACAAGTCAGTCTTTACGAGTCTCGTCCCCTTTAAAAGTAAAGTTTGAATAATAAGTTACCAAAATAAATATATTATTAAGGCACAATACGCGTCCCTTCTAAATTAATATGAAGTTGTAATGATGATGATGATTTGCACCAACTTCCCAAATAATGTGGTAAAATTGTATTTTAAAATTGCGAGTCGCCATCTTCATCTACATCTTCATTTGTGGTGATTTTGACATTGTCTACTGATGTCATTTTAAAACGTCCATGTCTTTGTCGTTGCGTTTGTCCTTCTCCTCAGTTTGTTTGGGCTCAATGGTTAAATAATACATTGAATAGATAAGGTGCACTTTAAGTTTTCTGAATGAGGTTAATTATTATTATTATTGTTATTTTCAGAAGATGTTCGGAATCTTTGATTTTTCGTTCACTTTAGCCACAATTATTAGCCACAATTATTGTTCACAGTCAGCCGCCTGTGATTCACTGTACTTGGTCAAGGTTTATCAAATGTCTGCTACACTAAGTCTCTCACATTTCTATTTTATATAGCAATTATTGTTGATCTAAGCTCCAGTGTTAATTATTTTTCCCAAATCTCATTGTGTTGCGTTAGTGTACGTATATAATATGTTGGAGTTTCAATTGAGAGATTCTTTCAAGTACAGTTATTTGAGGGACATTTTTGTGGAACAACTCATATTATTTTTCCATGATCATAATTATAAAATGTTTAGGTATTCATTCAAACTCCATCCTAACAAAAAATCACTTGAATTCGAAAATCAATTGAACACTCAATCAAATGATTGTCATTTTAGTATTTTCTTCAAACACCATATATTATCTAATTTGTCGTTTGCAGTTAAATATCTTAATGATTTTTAATTTCTTCAATTTTTATACAAAAATAATCTATAATTAGATACTTAAAAAATAAACGGTTCATAAATAAAATTTGTAATCGACCCCACAATGTGTCGTTAGGGAGGATATATCATTACTTGCTCCCCCAACCATGAAAACTTTATCCATGGAAATTCATTTTCCTTATTCCGTACCTGCATTAATTCCACAACAAATAATACATTCAGGACAACTTGGACAAGTGCTCACTCACTTTGCCATAAAAAAAAAAAAAAAAAAAAAAAAAAAAAAAAAAAAGCTCTCTTTTCATGCCCATGGAGCCCAGGTGCTTTAAAGAAGATTCAAAACGAGAGCATCTGCCATTCTCATAACTTGACTTCAGTTTGCTCCCATTCCAAATTTGCAAATTCCAGTCAGATCAAGATTCAGATTCAGAAAAAAAAAAAAAAAAAAAAAAAAAAAAAAAAAAAAAAAATTGAGTTTTATATGGCTTCCGCTCCCGGTGATTTAGAGAAAGCTGAAGCAAGGTTTGTTTCTCTATATACGTAGAGTTTCAAATGCATGCCCCTTTCCTTTCTTACAAAAATAAATGTTTTTAATTATATTCTTATTGATCTAATGAAATTCTGTTGTTTTTTTAAAATAAAAAATAATGTAAAATCGCTGCTGCCGCCGTCGCTGCTATACAGATACAGAACAGTTTAACCTTTTGTTGTTTTGAGGACATGCTAAAGTCATTGCATTGCAATAATATTAATAATAGTATAATCACAGCCAAATCTTTAATTCTATCCTGTATGGGTAATTTTATGTTCTTTGTGTCTTGGCCAGCAGAACAGATTATCCAAATTCAAACCAGACAACGGAAAATTCTGCCACGAGAGATGTAGATGTGAAAAAATCAGAAAATGCAGCTCGGTTGACTAAAATATTTATAACATCATGTGTGCTTGGCGTTTTCCTAGATCCTTTGTTCCTCTACATTCCTCTACTCAACCACGATTTGAAGTGTCTGAGGTTGGATAACACCATAAAGATTATCGCTCTCGTCTCGAGATTGTTCACTGATCTATTTTATGTAGGCAGAATTATTTTGCAAGTTTGTAGATTTGAAAATTGTTCGCCTTTCATCAATCGAATTCTTCCCGAAAGTTGCTCCTCCAAGTTAATAACATCACTCATCAAATGCTTTCGTGAGTTATTACCTGAAGTAACTGAAGTTCATGAGAAGGAATATCTGATACCAAGTATAACAAAGGAGATACGGGAGTCGTCCATCATAGTTGACATTTTAGCTATTCTTCCTCTTCCACAGGTATGAACAAAAGCCCTTTGATATCTAGACTCTAGATCCAGTAGTTAATTGCTTTTCCAATCCCACTGTTTTTGTTTTTTCTTTACTTTTTCTTTTTCTTTTTGCTTTTCAAATCTCACTGTTTTTGTTTGCATGCAATGCCATATATAAATTGGAAATTCCTCAAATAAGCTTATTTAAGGCACACTTTTGTATGACCCATTTTGTATTGTATTTCACTAATCCAAACTATGTATTTTGTAAATATTCATTCAAAGATCATCATCTCTACAAAAATTTACTTGAATCCGATATCATTTGATCACTCAATTAAAATATTAAAAAATTTGTACTTTCTTGAAGCACCGTGTTCATTGATTTTGTAGGACATAATTGGATGTCGAAACGGTTTTTGATTTGTCTAATTTTTTGCAAAGATGATCTATGGATGTAGACTTAAAAAATAGATAGTTTGGATCGTTGAAAAAAATTTCGTATGGGACCCTAAATGGTGTCACCATAAAGATTCAAAGACTTTATAGATTATTATAATGATACGAGACCAAGTGAGTACCCATTTCAACCAAATTAGATAACATTCTGACCAGTGGCGGAGTCAGGATTTCACATTAGAGGAATCTTTTATAAAATTTGTCTTCTCTTCATAATTATCATGAATTTCATATTTTAAATTGATTAAATATTAATTGTATCATCTACACTATTAAAGACTTAAAAATTCATCATTTATATTCCAACATAGAAAATAAATGGGGAACAAAAATGAGTTCATAAAGCGCAATATTAAGTTACCCAGCTCATACATGAAAAAAAAAAATTCACAAAATTTTAAATAAAATGTTAAAACATTAGGAGATTTTAGTGCAAATATCATAAACTAACCTAGAAAATTTAAGGGAGATGAGTAGAAGGGAGATCAAGTCATTTTATGGTTTATATGTATACAAAAAGAACATAATATATAAGTAAATATCTTAAAACTAATTTAATATATTATAATATTATATATCATATATAATATACAAATAAAAGAGGTAAAAATGGAATGGGGTCTGGGACCACACTGGTCCAATACTGGCTTCGCCCCTGATTCTGACTATGTTTGATTGAATCGAAGAAGAATACCTCTATCATGAAGACTGGGCATCATCTCTACTATTTTGATTTCAACCAAATAAAACTAGGGTTAATTTCAATTAGAATGCTAAACTTTCACCCTTAAGGCTGTTTGTCTAGCACTCTCAATTTTAACAATTATATATCCTAATCTTATTACTTTTTGCAATTTGGTTTATGCATTAACTTCACAAGCGAAATTTCCGTTAATTGCCCACGTGACGGACTTGTGACCTACTTATTCACTTCTTTCAATGCTATTTGAAGGGTATTCCAGACAATTGATGTCAAATGGGTTTGGGTGGGATTTTTTGTGTCAAATGGGTTTGGGAGAGAAGACACCAATTGCCCAATAATACCCTTCAATTGGCATTAAAAGAAGCGAATATGTGAGACCTACCCTTGCCACGTAGGCAATTAACAAAAAATTTGACTATAAAGTTAATGTTGGAACCATATTTTAAAAAAAAAAGAAAAAGATTAGGGTACATAATTGTTAAAATTGCAAGTGCAAACATGCCTTAAGGGTGAAAGTTCAGGATACTAAATTGAAAGTAACCCATAAATCTGTCTATTTGGCCCATTCATATTTGACTGATTTTGTAAAACTGAGAAAAATATCAGAAAATTGATTTGGTTGACGAAAGGCAGACATCTTGGCAAAGAAAAAGGTACTGTGTTGCAGTGGGTTCTTGTCAGTTAGGAGTTTTTTTTCCCCCTAAAAAATCATTATGACTTTTGAACTAATTAATAAATCTATATCACTAAGTGATGATATGACATTGCCATGTCACTTGGGATCCAATTGTCAGGTCACTTGATACACAAATTTAGTATCTCTAGCATTACCCTAATTTAATATTTTGTCTCACGATATGTTGTTAATAGTCGATATTAACATTGCAATGTGTCCAGGTGGCAATTCTCATTTTCTTTCCAAAGATGAGGGTCTCAGGATCTTTCGGGAAGCGTATTATGAACTTTCTTGTTATGGTGCAATATGTACCACGAGTTCTTCGCATCTACCTATCATGCAAGAAAGCTAGAAAACCTTTCAAAGGACATATCCCATTATGGCTTAAAGGTTTACTCAATCTTTTCCTCTACATTCTCGCTAGTAATGTAAGTTTCACTTTTATCATAATTTATTTAATTTTAAAAAGTTCGCTTTCTTTAAATAAAGGATCATATTTTTGTCAAATGTTCAATCTAGCAAGCTTGTTGTTTCTTTAGGTGCTTGGAGCTTTTTGGTACTTTTTGCTGCTCAACAAATGATAAGTTGCTGGGAACATGCGTGTGGATATGGAAATGGATGTGGCGCTACTACATTTAATTGTCATGATCACCAAACGTCGAGAAATATTACAGTTCTAAATAATTTATGCCCTATAGATCCACCAAATGCAACTCTCTTTGATTTTGGTATATACCTAAATGTCCTTCAGTCGGGTGCATTGTGGTCAACAGACTATCCCCTGAAGTTTTTGAACAGTTTTTGTTGGGGCCTGCGAAATTTGAGGTTTGTACATGTGAAACCAACATATACATTGATGCTGTTTTTTAACTAGAGAAATGGTTTTAGATTTCCTTACATTGAGCAATTGAGATTTGTATATATTTATGTATTCTGATCCATTTCATGTTTGCAGTTCTCTTGCTTCAAATCTCCAACCGAGTTTCTATACATGGGAAATCGCCTTTGTAGCTTTTATATCTATAATCGGCTTGATACTGTTTGTATATCTCATTGGAAATTTGCAGGTTGGTGCGGTGTATATAAAAAGTTCTCCTTAAGCTTAAAGCTCCTGATTTGATTTTTCTTCTTCTCTCATTTGAGTACCCATCTCTCTCTCTCTCTCTCTCTCTCTCTCTCTCTCTCTCTCTCTCTCTCTCTCTCCCTCTCTCTCTCTCTCTCGGGAGCCAGAAAGCTTCAATTGAGGGAAACTCTATTACAGGATCCATTTGCATTATATATATATTAGTCCCTTGTCACACACTTGTGCCTTTTACTTTATATATATATATATAGATATAGATATATATAATTTTCTGTAACAATTATAAAATAGAATTAATGAACTGAACCTTCTTGTTGTGAAATAGACCTATGTGCTTATAGATACTCAAAGTTTAGAGTCGCACAGACGCGAGAATAAACTTAAACGGAAGATGAAAGAAAATGACCGAAAAGTAGAACAATGGTTATCTGGTCATGGCATCCCCCTTAGTAGAAAGCAGAAGATCATGGAAGAGATACACAGAGAGCTTGTAGAACACTCGGAATTTGATGTGGTTAGGGAAATCCTCTCTATTCTTCCCCACGAAGAAATCAAAAGTTGCAGCCCGTTGAGTAGGTTGAGGAAGGTAGGTTCATCATCATATTTAATTTTTCACGACCATTATTCGTATCCAATGATATATATATATATATATATATATTAAATTTTTAATTGCTGGTTATTTTTCTCAAATATTGTATGTAATCTAATCCCAGGTGCCACTACTTAAAGACATGGACGAAGGAGTTTTGGTAGAAATCTCTGAGAAGCTTCATCCCGAGAAGTATACTCCTGGACAAATCATTATAAAAAAGGATGAAACACTTCAAATGATGCTTTTCATCGTGGACGGACATGTAAACATTGAAAAGACAGATGCTTCTCTGCTGGAAGATCTAGGCGCAGGAGATTTTTATGGGCAGGAACTTCTAGTTTCGCCATTGTGGACCTCCTCTAGTGATGCAAAGCCCATAAACGAGTCTGTTCGGGCCATTGATGATGTTCAAGCCCTTGTTCTCTCTGCCACAGACATGGCGACCTTGGGCTTCAGTTCCAGGCGGTCTATCAACGAGTTGCGCATGGTGGTAAATATTCTTCAGAAAGTAAGCTCCTCTCTATTTAGATGACGTATATACAATGATGTTACTTATTTGATTTATATAATGTTCTCTTTATGTTTGAGAAATTAATAATGTGTCAAATCCTAGGTGCCAAAACTTGAAACTATGGATAAACAAGTATTGAAAGCAATGTCTCATCAGCTTTCTTCGGTTAGCTATAAACGCGAGGACTGTATTGTTCGAGAGAACCAACCAGTTGGTATGATGTTCTTCGTTACGAGGGGAGAGGTAACAAAAAATGAGAACCCTCCCGAAGCAAATTTTATTGGAGAAGAACTTCTTGATTGGGTACGGGATGAGTCTTTTCCTACCATATTACCCTTGTCGACCTGCACTGTTAAAGTAGTCTCAGATGATGCTGAAGTCCTCATACTGAAGGCCAAGAGCTTGAAGAGTGTAGTCTCTAGGTTCATGTTGCCTTTCAGCAATTTTGCCTCTCCCTCAGATGTCCGGTTGACTTGGCTAAAAAAAGTAAGTTGCTCCATCTGCAGTACTATATATATATATATATATATATATATATCAAGCAAAGTAATTAGAACTCAATGAAGAAGGCACATCCAATTAAAACCATTATGGATCATCCTAGCTAGCCAGTACTAAATTTTAGAAGATGCTTTATATTTTCTTAACTGACAATGTCACATCTATCTAATTTTAGGTGGAAATCTTTCAACAAATGGAGGAACAAGTGTTGGAAGCAATATCCAAGTGCCTTAAGCCCATGAACTTCAATGTTGCCAAGCGCCATATTCTTCAAGAGAAAAAACCACTTAAAATGATGTTCTTCGTCATGCGAGGAGTTGTATCAATTGAAAGCGATAGTGCTATGGACGTGAACGTTAAAAAAACCTGTGAAATAGGAAGTTTCTACGGAGAAGAACTTGTACAATGGGTTACAACTTGGGTATCACACAAGCCCTTTCCTGCCAAACTACCTTTATCACCTTGTTCTGCGCTATGCGGCGTGCTTGGTGGTTCTGTCGAAATCCTTGCTCTCAAAGCCGACGACTTGAAGAGTGTAGTCTCTGATCAATTCAGGTCGAAATTCAGCACGGAAACCGCCCTCCCTACAGAATTTGATCAGCCTCGAGAACCGTTGACCATCCTAAAGAATGTAAGTTCCTCTGGATGAAGAGAACCAGACCTATAATGTATCCTATATATTTTAATCATAATTCTAATTTCTCCTTTGCCTTAAATTAATGTGGTCTCCAATAATATCCTAGGTGGAAAGCGTAAAGACTATGGATGAGGAAGTGTTGAAAGAAATATGCGACCATCTTACCAAAAAAACGTATAAAGATGAGTACATTATTCGGAAGGATAAACGAATGGAAATGATGTTCTTCATCGTCGGCGGAGTTGTGTCGGTGACAAACGAGAGCTCGAAACATTACCGCAGAGAAGGAGAACGTCCAAATCACAGTGGAGATGAGCTTTTACAACATTGGATGCAATCTAAAAGTACGAAAGCTAACGTTCCTGCCGAATTTCCCCCCTCTCCTTTTAGTTTTTGGGCCATCGGTGAAGTTGAAGTTCTGATTCTTAAGGCCGAAGACTTGGCAAAGGTTCAGCTTCGTGATCGAATTGGTTAGTATTATTATGTATGTGCAACTAATTAATTATTTTTTGTGTGTGGTGTGCATACAGTAAAGGCATGTGTGTAGTAATAAGATGTTATTTTCCCATGCCATAACCTCGAGCTTTAATTTCTTTTCGCTATAATTGAACCCAGGCCAGTCTTTTTCATGTAAAATTATTTTCCCATGCCATACCTCGTCCTGAAGAAATGGCAAGGACGAGTGATGGTACAATTACTTGTCCAAGGCTACATGTTTGGTTTGAATTAAACAAATCTGATGAAGGCATATGTGTGTGTATATGTATATATGTCTATACGTATATTTATGTATGCAGCCCCACCTCAGTCGTGACCTTTGTTGGAAAAGATAGGGAGGTGGGGTAATTAATTGTACATTATTGTGTGAAGGTGTTGTGGTATGCACTCTTTTTTCTTAACCAAATTTTTCTCTCTTCTGGTGATTGTTTATTAGAAAAGAATTATTCTTTTTTATTTTTGGTCGAAAATCATATTATTAAAAGAAGCCCGGGAAAAGTAACAAAAGTTGGTATCAAATTACTAAAAATAATAATTTTTTTTAGAGGGGTATCAAATTACTAATTAGGGAAGAAGACCAGAACTCTAGAAGCTAACTTCAACATTTTTTTGTTTAATTATCCAAGGCTTAGGCTTGAATTCAATATGTTTTTCATGGACCTTGCCAAAATCGAAATTATCATTACATAGGTGGCTAGCTAGCAACAAGACAATCAATTATATGTCGGCCACCATCATACGATACGAGTTCGGCTTTAATTTCGATTTGATTTTGCATCTCACGGGAACTAGTGGAACCAAACAATTCATCATGTTCACGTCTGACATGAAGAAGTTGAGTGTTTGAAGGTGACCCAAGAAAGTGGTCTCGGTCTCTTTGGGAGATGGAGATGGAAAGAAATTCAACTTAGCCTGTCCCTTAGCAGCTGAATAATCCCATGCCATAACCTCGAGCTTTAATTTCTTTTCGCTATAATTGAACGCAGGCCAGTCTTTTTCATGTAAAATTATTTTTTCTTAAATTGAGGCTGAATCATTAGTACCGTTGGATTATATCTAACGGCAGGTGGCCACTAAGTTCCCTGCACCTTGATGAACGAAACTATATTGAAGAAATTTCACTTTCTAAGCACATGACAGACATTGACAACAGTAAAGTGTTATGCAGCATAAAAATAAAACAATAAAGCTAAAGTGTTCTGACATGCTTTTGTTTCACGAGGTACTCACTCCAGTTGAAACAAAATACATTGTTAGGAACAAGCCAAATTAGCAACAAAATGCCTCTCGCGCTAATCGAAGTAGTTGCAAAATTAACTATTGGTTGGAAAGACGAAGGAAATGGTTACAAAAAGACTTGGGTTGGGGACAAGAATAGACTAAAAGTCTAGATCTAATGTGAATGCTACAGTTAAAAATGTTTGTTTATGACAACTAGTAGTTACTGCTGCAATTAGTTGAAACCACTTGCCAAAATGTTGATAACTAAGATAAAAAAACTTATCACATGAAATTCAAAATCAATATAAACTTTATATATAAAATTATAAACTTACCTGATGAAATTCATAATAAGGTTCATAGCCAATATATTGCAAATCTGTATATGAACAATATGTTGTACCATACTCTCAGGTTAAATTAGACCAGTTTCTAGATTTGGCTTCAAAGGTTCATTTGCAAATATTTATAACTTGGGTGTTAGCACGCGGTTATATTTGGATTGTACCATTCTTTTGGACGAAGGAATTGAAAATTATGTACAATTCTAAAATGATGGATTTAGATCTCTGTCATTTAAATTTTTGACAATTAATATTTTAGTGTTTAGATTTATGTATGTTGAATTTTGTAAATGACAAAAAATTACAAGGACAATAGGAATGATCAAATGACACCTTTTTTCACGAAAATCTCTACCTTGAATCCTAACAAATTTTTTGACAACAGTAGAATAATATTTTAACAAATTTACAATATCGGGATACTTCATTATTAAAATTAAAAACACTGGAATAAATATATACAACTTTAAGATACCAAACTGAAATTTATCCCAAAAATAATATTAACATAATAATATTGATAGCCTCGAGCAATAATTAATTCTACAACTAATACAATTGCTCACTGGCATTTTTTGTTGTCAAAATAGCTCGTGGAAACCCGGTGCATTCAAGAAGATTCAAAACGTGGCTGAAGACAGCCCCCAACAGCATCTACCATTCTACTATAACTTTCACTATTTTTTAAATATTTTCATTGGTCTTATGATAAATTTATAACTTGACTTCAGTTGTAGAGAATTTAAGATTTAAAGGGGATTTGCTCCATCCTTGCAAATTCCAGACAACTGAAGCAACTGTAGAGAAGATGGAAGAGAAAGCTGAAGCAACTGTTGCAGACAACTGGAAAGAGAAAGCTGCAAGGTTAGTTTCTATATATACGTATGCATGCAAATTTCACATTCTTGACTGTGAAGAAAGTTGTTAAAGTACGTATTAAACTTTTTCTTCTGTCTCTCTTAAATCCGAATAAGAATTTTGTTACTTGGGTTCCTTTCCTTAAATGTTCTGTTCAATCCGACAGGCGGTGGAATTTTCTTGGTGTCCCGCTCAGCATTAGCTATGATCCAAATTTAAATGCAGCAAGGTTGAACAACATATTTATATTTTCCTGTGTGCTTGGCGTTTTACTGGATCCTTTGTTCCTCTACATTCCCATGCTCAACCAAGATATCAAGTGTATGAAGTTGGACAACACCTTAATGATTGCAGCTCTTGTCTCACGATCGTTCACTGATCTATTCTATATAGGCAGAATTATTTTTCAAGTTCGCAGAATTACTTTGCAAGTTTGCAGATTTAAAACCTGCCCAGCTTTTATGAATCTATTTCTTCCGGAAAGTTCCTCCTCCGAGTTAAATCAATTAAGGAATGAATACTTGCCAAAGTCAAGTATAGCTAAGAAGATATGGCAGTCGTCTATCATAGTTGACATTTTAGCTATTCTTCCTCTTCCACAGGTATGAACAAAAGCCCTTGCTTTGATCTGGACCAGTACTCTAGATCGAGTTAATTGCTTTTCCAAGGCCCGCCTCATGGGATCCAAGTTGAGAGAGACAAATTTTTTTTTTCTTCTTTTTTTCTTTTTGTTTGGTAATTCACTGTTTTTTGTTTGCATGCAATGCTATTTCAATATATAAGAGATTTTGCTCCAAATAGTCGATATTAACATTGCTATGTTTCCAGGTGGTAATTCTCTTTTTCTTTCTGAAAATGAGGGGAGGATCTTTCGGGAAGCATATTATGAACATTCTTATTATGGTGCAATATGTACCACGAGTTCTTCGCATCTATCTATCATGCAAAAAAGCTAAAAAACCTTTCAAAGGACATATGGCATTATGGGTTAAAGGTTTACTCAATTTTTTTCTTTACATTCTGGCTAGTCATGTAAGTTTCACTTTTATCATAATTTATTTTAATTTCAAAACATTACTTTACTTTACATAAGGAAAATACTTGTCTCTTTTTCATGCAAGTAAGAACTTCTATTTTCCTGCTAATCACAATCTAACATGTATGCAAATAAAATATCATTTTATATTTTTTTATAAATTATTTTTGCATATATGTCAAACTGTGTTTGATAGTAATGTCTCATGTTGGGAAGGAGACAAACTGTGTTTGAAATTTTATTTTCATAAAAATTTATTAGCATCATTTAAAATTTTCTCAAAAGTTCATTCTAACTAGCTTGTGGTTTTTTTAGGTACTTGGAGCTTTTTGGTACTTTTTTGCTGTGCAGCGACTAATAAGTTGTTGGGAACATGCATGTCGATATGAAAATGGATGTGGCACTAGTACTTTTGACTGTCATGATCACCATGCGTTGAGAAATATTACTGTTCTAAATGATTTATGCCCTATAAATCCACAAAATTCAACTCTCTTTGATTTTGGTATATATCTAAATATCCTTCAGTCAGGTGTTTTGTGGTCAACAAACTATCCCCTCAAGTATTTGAACAGTTTTTGTTGGGGCCTGCGAAATTTGAGGTTTGTACATGCGAGACCCTTTGATCTTACAGATTGGGTTATAATTACAAATAAATAAACATCTAAATTTGCAATCTGGAGGATTTTGTTATTTTAAAAAAAAAAATAGTAATCAACTGGCCTTCGAAGTGCTGGTAGTTCTCTCTACTTGATTGTAACAAAGTATCTTTGCATAGTATTTTGATTAATTACCCAAAGAAAGTTATTAATAAGTACATAATCACAATGTGTTCCATGTAAAGATGAATACAATTAACTTTTTTCTTTCTTTCTAGGATGGTTGTAATTTATATGCCCTACATGGACAAAATGCTGGGTCCGGAACTAGAGAGATGGTCTTAGATTTCTTTACATTGAACGCATTATAGTCATTCTATAATGAGGGCAAATTGGTTAGTTTGATTCAACGGTCAAAAGATAGGACCTCATTTAAAAACCTTAGACAAGCTCTCAGTATAGAATCTTGTATCTTTATAACTTTTGATTTGTATATCTTATGTATTCTGATCCATTTCATTTCTGCAGTTCTCTTGCTTCAAATCTCCAGCCGAGTTTCAATACATGGGAAATCCTCTTTGTGGCTTTTATATCTATAATCGGCTTGCTCCTATTTGTATATCTCATTGGAAATTTGCAGGTTGGTGCGCTGAATACCCATCTATATATATATTTATGTGTGTCTTCTTTTTTTTGTGGTCAATGTGTGTGTGTGTCTATATATATAAATTAGAATCAATGAACTGAACCTCTTGTTGTGAAATAGACCTATGTGCAGTTAGATACAGAAAGGTTAGAGTCGCACAGACGCAAGATGAAAATTGAAATGAAGATGAAAGTAAAAGGCCAAGAAGTAGAATCATGGTTATCTAAAAATGGCATCCCCCTGCATAATATGCGGGTGATCATGGAAAAGGTACGACAAGAACTTGAAGAAAACTGGGATATTGATGTGGTTCAGGAAATCCTCTCTGTTCTTACCCCAAAATATATCAAAAGTTGCACCCCGTTCAGAAGGCTGCAGAAGGTAGGTTCAGAAGCTAGTTTATACAATATATATATATATATATATACCTACACATTTGTTTTCAACGATCGGAACCATCTATATTTTAAGCCTACATTCATAGATCATCCATATATTTCCAATATGCATTAATGATTTTTTTATTTATAATATATTTTTGTTATTTCCAATATGTACTAATGTTAAAAATGTGTGTCCCCGATCCTATATATATTAGATTTTTAATTGCTGATTATTTTTCTCAAATATTATATCTATTTCTAGGTGCCACTACTTAAAGACATGGACGAAGGAGTTTTGAGAGAAATCTCTGAGAAGCTTAAGCCCAAGAAGTATACTCCTGACCAAATCATTATTAAGAAGGATCAAACACTTGAAATGATGTTTTTCATCGTGGACGGACGTGTAACCATTGAAAAGGCAAATTCTCAGTTGCAATTAGGCGCAGGAGATCTCTATGGAGAGGAACTTCTAGTTTCGCCATTGTGGACTTCCTCTGGTGATGCAAAACCCATAAATGAGTCTGTTCGGGCCATTGATGATGTTCAAGCCCTTGTTCTCTCTGCCACAGACATGGCGACCTTGGGCTTTAGTTCCAGGCGGTCTATCAACGAGTTGCGCATGGTGGTAACTATTCTTCAGAAAGTAAGCTCCTTTCTATTTAGAAGACGTATATACAATGATGTTACTTACTTGATTTATATAATGTTCTCTTCATGTTTGAGAAATTAATAATGTGTCAAATCCTAGGTGCCAAAACTTGAAACTATGGATAAACAAGTATTGAAAGCAATGTCTCATCATCTTTCTCTGGTTAGCTATAAACATGACGACTATATTGTTCGAGAGAACCAACCAGTTAGTATGATGTTCTTCGTCACGAGGGGAGAGGTAACAAAAAATGAGAACCCTCTCGAAGAAAATTTTATTGGAGAAGAACTTCTTGAGTGGGTACTGGATAAGTCTTTTCCTACCATATTACCCTTGTCGACCTGCACTGTTAGAGTAGTCTCAAATGATGCTGAAGTCCTCATTTTGAAGGCTAGGATCTTGAAGAGTGTAGTCTCTAAGTTCATGAAGCATTTCAGCGATTTCGCCTCTCCCTCAGATATTCGGTTGACGTGGCTAAAAAAAGTAAGTTTCTCCATCTGCAGTACTAACTTTTAATGAAGAAAACACATCCAATTAAAACCATTATATATCATCCTAGCTACCCAGTACTAACTTTTAGAAGATTTGCTTTGTATTTTTCTTGACTGACAATGTCGCATGCATCTATCTAATTTTAGGTGGAAATCTTTCAAAACATGGAGGAACAAGTGTTAGAAGCAATCTTGCAGTGTCTTAAGCCCATGAACTTCAATGTTGCCAAGCGCCATATTCTTCAAGAGAAAAAACCACTTAAAATGATGTTCTTCGTCATCCGAGGAGTTGTATTAATTGAAAGCGATAGTGCTATGGACGTGAACATTAAAAAAACCTGTGAAATAGGAAGTTTCTATGGAGAAGAACTTGTACATTGGGTTACAACTTGGGTATCACACAAGTCCCTTCCTCCCAAACTACCTTTATCACCTTGTTCCGCGCTATGCGGCGTGCTTGGTGGTCCTGTCGAAATCCTTGCTCTCAAAGCCGACGACTTGAAGAGTATAGTATCTGAATTCAGGTCGAAATTCAGCACGGAAACCGCCTTCCCTACAGAATCTGATCAGCCTCGAGAACCGTTGACCATCCTAAAGAATGTAAGTTCCTCTGGATGAAGAGAACCAGACCTATAATATATCCTATATATTTTAATCATAATTATAATTTCTCCTTTGCCTTAAATTAATATGGTCTCCAATAATATCCTAGGTGGAAAGCCTTGAGACTATGGATGAGGAAGTGTTGAAAGAAATATGCAAACATCTTACCGAAAGAACATATAAAGATGAGTACATTATTCTGAAGGATAAACAAATGGAAATGATGTTCTTCATTGTCAGCGGAGTTGTGTCAGTGACAAACGAGAGCTCCAAACATTACCGCAGAGAAGGAGAACGTCCAAATCACAGTGGAGATGAGCTTATACAACATTGGATGCAATCTAAAAGTACGAAAGCTAACGTTCCTGCTGAATTGCCCCCTTCTCCTTTTAGTTTTTGGGCCATCGGTGAAGTTGAAGTTCTGGTTCTTAAGGCCGAAGACTTGGCAAGGGTTCAGCTTGGTGATCGAATTGGTTAGTATTATTATATGCATGTGCAACTAATTAATTATTATTATTTGGGTGAGGTGTGCATATAATAAAGGCATGTGTGTAGTAATAAGATGTTATTTTCCCATCCGCGGCTACATGCATGCTTATTTACATACGTACTTTCGTTGTCTGATTGCTAGTATTTGATGATCTTGGTGCCAGGTTCTTGAAGAAATGGCAAGGAAGAGTGATGGCACGATTACTTGTCCAAGGACAGGTTTGCAATTAAACAAATATTGTGAAGGCATGTGTGTGTGTATATAAATATGTGTGTGTGTGATCGAGTGAAACTTAAGCTCGCTCCGGGTCAACTCACAATTTTGCCAAATCCCAAAATTTTGAGCCAAGCTGGACCCGTCCCGGCCCATGATGATCCCAGAGTCTGGAAGCCAATAACTTTCCAGAGCCTAGATCTAGTCCCGATGCTTGCTAGGTTTAACATATTTTTTTAAAGTTGGAATTAAAAATGCTTTTCATGAGAACTAGCAAGTACTGCAATTTGCCAAAATTAAATTTGCTTTGTTTTGGGAGACGAACGAATCTAGTCAACAAGACTTGGTGGGGACATGACCGGATTCTATTCTCAATGCTAACATAACAATTTATTTATTTATCCAATTCTAGAATTAAAAGTTTTTTATTGTGACAACTAGTTGGCACTGACTGGAATTTATAAAACCAAACAAGCTACCAAAATAAAATTTAATGTATTTATTTATATTAAGAAGGGCAATTTCAACTTCATAAATACTATTAAACTAATAATAACTAGTTGGCAGAATAAAATTTACTTTTGTTTAATTGTTTGCGGCCTTCTCTTCTCAACTTCTTGTGCATGCGAATTTTTACTCAAACCTCAGTTTCGGTAAAAACTATTTGCAGTTTTGTGATTTTTGAAACTGCAAAATGCGGTCGATTACCGCGAATTAGCGGTTTAAAACCGCAAGTTCTCAAGCATTCACAAAAATATAAATTCACAACCTAAATAAATAAATACACAACCTCAATTTCTTAAGCATATATAAATTCACAATCTCCTCAACTTCTCAAGCATTCACAACCTAAGAAAATTAAAGTTACAATTCCAAGCATTTCAATTAAAGTTAAACTTCTCAAGCATTTCAATTCCAAATCCTTTAAAGTTACAAACCAAAAAGAAAATGCAAAGCAAAATGAATTAAAGTTACAACAAAAAAGAAAAATCCAATTCAAAGTTAATTAAAGTTACAAACTAAAAGGAAAATGCAATGCACCAATGTTACAAACTCAAGTGTTGGTGGTGAGTGGCTTTGAAGAACCTCGTTGTGTTGTTTGAGCACCAATGTTATCTACAAATAAAACAACATAGTTTAGTACATTTTATTACAAGAAGAAGCATAAATAACATTAGCATAAATAAACTAATTACTTACAAGTTGTCATATGTTTCATTTCCTTGTAGAATTCAACATCATCATCCGTGCGGCTATACTTTGCGATTTGCGGTAACCGCAAGTTTTGAAAATCAAATACCGCAACCGCACCCGCAAATGCGGTTCGGTTTACCGCGATTGCGGTTTCATTGCGGTAAATTATCGGTTGGTTTTTTCGTTTTTTCGATTTAAAATGCCACCCCTAGTAAAAACTGGTACAGGTTTAGTGGAAACCATGGTCTTGTAATTTGTATGTTCCAATCTTCTAGTTACTGTCGGGGTCATCTATATAATAGATACGGATGTTGGCATAAGACCTTAATAAAAACATTAAAAGCATCAAAATCCGGATTCATAGGTTTTTTTTACTGACCAAATGCAGTTAAGTATCAGTTTCTTTCAAATGTTAAAATACATTTTAAATTCTAATCACCCTCTCTCAGTGTCGCTTGTATCAAAACATTTTAAACTCTAATCTGCGTCTCCTATTAGTTAAAAAAACATAGCTCTAAGATTCACATTATAACAACAATAAAGTATTCTGGCAATGAGGCACCCACTTAAATCGAAACACAATACAATTAATTACATAGTTAGGAACAAACCAATTAGCAACAAGATGCCTCTCGCGCCAATTGGATTGGAGTAGTTGTAAAATTAGAGTTATTTACATTAATACCCTCTGAGGTTTTTGGTATTTTCATAAAACCCCTTGAGGTTTCAAAAATTACACAAACACTCTATGAAATTTAAAATTGTTTTCACAAAACTTCTTTTCGTTGATTGTTCGTCTAAAAAATGATTATTTCATAAAAGAAAACTTATGCAAATGACAAACTTAACCTCTATGAATGCATGTGCAATCTAATCTCAAAGGCTAACTTTATTTGTTGGATAATGTTTTTATATATATAAAATCATCAATTTTTAGACAAAAAATTAATGGAAGGAAGTTTTGTGAAAAAAAATTTAAAACCTCAGAGAATTTTGTGATAGAGATCAGTATTACCGCACCGAAAACAGCACTAAGTATTGGTGTAAACAACTCTGCAAAATTAACTAACGGAAATAAACTATTTGCTTTGGTTGGAAAGACGAGGGAATTTATTACAAAAAGATACTTACTTGGGGACCAGACTAGAAGTCTAGATGTATTATCAATTGTTTCCATGACAAGAGTTAAAAATGTTTTTTTTTTTTGACAACTAGCGATCTTTTAGTACTGCAATTCATAAATTCAAACAACTTGCCAATATGTTGATAATTAAGAAAAAAGACACATGTCTAATGAAATTTTATTCAATATATAAACTATATATATAAAAAAATGTGGACTGCATATCTGTGTATGAACGATGTGTTGTATACTTTTAAGGTTGAATTAGGTCCGTTCCTAGATTTGATTCAAAAGGCTCTCCTGAATCGATCTACATGTGACGACCCACGTTATAGTGTATTGGAATCATGTTGAAAAGTACAAATGGCAACATGAAGATTTATTATTTTTATGGTATTACTTCGATTAGATAAGCTACTTTAATTTATTTGATTTATTATTTTTAAGGTAGATAGATTTATTTGATAAAACAAGGTAGATAGATTTTCTAGTTTATTATTTTTAAAGGTATAATCAAATAGCAGTTTACTATGAAGATTTAATCAAATAACAATTTGGGCGTTTGCACGTGGTTTATCATTTTAACGTCTACCGCAAGTTGACTTAATAAACTAATTTGCTTTGGTTGGTGACATGTGGCGCATTTAGGAGTGTTTCTGGAATGGCTAAAAGCGCTTTCTGACAATGAATAAACTTTTGACAACTTTTGACAACGTTTAATAGAAAAGGTTAGAAGCGTTTATAGGCCATAAAAATGCTTTCTAGATAAACACCTGCCATGTACTTCCCGAGTGCTTTTCTAGGACACTTTGATTTCTTATGAAAATTTCAACTAGTTTATAATAAAAGAAATTTTGATGGAAGCGCTTATGAACAAAAGTGCTTCCTAAAGAAGCAATTCCAAATTAGCCCATAATCTTTGTTTACAATAAGTTTGGCAAGATAATTGTATCTCCAATCAGAAGTGCTTACTAGAAGTTCTTTTCTCTCTTCATATTGCAAGATGTCTCTATATTTTAGTAAGAGTTGGATAAGGAGATCATGGTTAAAGTTGAAGTTTTTAACTTCTCTAAATTTTAGTTAAGAAGCTCATTTAAGGAGTTCTTTGAAGATGCTCTCTTATAAATATGAATGTGTTGTACCGTATGTAAACTTGAATTGGATCAGTTCTTAGATTAGGTACGTTTGCAAACTTGAATTAGATACACATCCTCCTCACATACGACCCACGTTACCGTTAACTGAGTTGACTGAAATTGAAACAAGCTAATAATTGTTAATTTTTACAATACATCACTAGCGTCAATCAATTAAGGGTTTTCAGTATCTACCACCAAAAAAAAAAGAAAAAAAAAGAAAAAAAAAGGGAATCAAATTGAAACAAGGTACAATTTTCATTACATCACAAGCAAGCTGGCAATAAGACAATTATATCGGCCATCATCATACGAGTTCGACATTAATTTCGATTTCATTTTGCAAGCTGCTGTCGTCGTATAACTCTGCACGGCCAAAAGATTCATAGTGTTCACGTCTGACATGAAGAAGTTGAGCGTTTGAAGGTGACCCAAGCAACTCGTCCGTCTCTTTGGGAGATGGAGAGAAATTCAACTTAGCCAGTCCCTTAGCAGCTGAATAATCCCATGCCATAACCTCGAGCTTCAAGGCTACTTCTCTCATGGAAGGCCTTTCATTTTGTAACCCTAAACAGCTTTTTGCGAGATCAACCACTTTCTTGGCTGTCTCCAAATTTTCCTCCTTGATTATTTACGATCAAGAATTTGATCCCAGCGACCCTCTTCCACTGAACGAGAAAATAACTTTGCTAGGCCTCTCTGTCCCTTAGGCTTTTCACCACAAAATGCTTTCTGGCTTGTCAGTAGCTCAACTAGGACCACTCCAAAGCTATAGACGTCATTCTTTGTTGACAACTTCCTTGATTTTTTACTTTCAGGGTCTAAGTATCCGGCTAAACCTCTCAGGGTACCTTGTATTTGAGTTTGATCTTGAGGAATCACTTTTGCCTCTCTAAAGTTGGCCAATCTTGCCGTGTAATTCTTATCTAATAGTATTCTTTTTGAATTCACGTTTAGATGTACGATTGATATATTCTTGGAAGTAGAGGAGGAGTGCAAGTATTCTAGTGCAGCTGAGATTTCTACTGCTATCTTCATTCGCAATTGGAATGAGAGTGTTGATGATCCTTCGCTTTTTTCATGAATGTGCTCGTAAAGAGTGCCATTGTTGATGAACTCGCAAACTAGGGTTTCTCCTCCCAGATCTGCACAATAACCTAATAGCCTCACAATATGTCTGTGTTTAATCTGGGAAAGAATAGTCACCTCGTTAACAAAGATTTTAGAGACAATTCTACTAGGTACTTCTGACTTGAACTTCTTTATGGACACCACGCTTTTATCTTGTAGAACTCCTTTGTAAACTATTCCTTTGCCTCCTCTGCGAATGAATCTGCCGCCGTAGAAATCATCTGTCGCCCAAGAAATTTCTCGTGCAGAAAACTTTCTGGGTGCTAACTTGGAAGGTGCATTATTATTATGTATAGCCAGTATGTGTTGTGATGTTGCAATGCGTTTTAGCAACTCGATTATCTTACACGGATAATAACGAAGCTTAGACATACTAAGTATCAAAAGAATTCCAACCAGTATAGTAAAGAAGCTTACACAGATACCTGCAAAAGGGAAATACACACAAAGTCACACTCACTCACAGATATACATATACCTGCTAATCATATGCAATTAAGTAGCTAAATAGTAAGTGGTACATACCCAATGAAATTTTCAGGGAAATGTTCATGCTTTTGACGAAACTCATCAGGGCGGCCAGCCTTTCGTTTCTGTACCCTTTTCCGGAGTAAATTAACCCACCTTCCATTGTTGTAGAGCTTTGAAGCCTCGCACTCATCAATATCTGACAAGAAGCAGGGGAAATTACAAGCCACCAGCTGTCAATAAGCGAAGAGCAGAGTTTATCTTTGGGTTAATAATAGGAGCGAAGACAAGCACAAAAGATTAGTAATTTTTTATGCGATAATTATTATTAATTACTAGCCTCTTGGGCAAGGTAATCGATTTTTTATTTTTTATTTTATTTTATTTTTCCGTATACTTTTGTTAACAGTAATATCATGTCTCTTGGGCAGGGCTCCAACATCTTTTAATAACTGCATGTGACTCCATCATCCTATGCCAACACGCAAAACCTCAAACTTTGGATGACTATGACTGGTAGCTAGGGCTTCAAGGAGCATCCCAATATTTGATCAGAACATCAAGACAAAACTTTAGTATTCGTTTTGTTTTTTGGGTTAACTACCAAAATTGTGGGATTGTTTTAAATACATACCTATTTTATAAGACATTTACAACTTCATACTCAAACTTCCAAAAACTCCAACCCCAAATTACCCAGCCAATACCAGCTGACCCACACAACTACCCTGGCTGCACAAAACAACCAACCAAACCACCACTAACTCTGCTCCCACTGCAGCGCACCCATGGATATATGGAACGTGAGGAGCGGCATCGTCTTGGCTGGAAATTCTGGGGGCATATTGTGGTCTATTGGAAATTCTTGGGGCATAGCGTGTCAAAAGTGAGACCTATTTTTTAATGACAAAGACTTTTACATGGACAAAAAATGCCTTACAAGACGGGTAATGAACTTGAAAGTGATCCATAGTTTAGGGTTCTTATAGTTTTTTTTTTTTTTTTTTTTTTTTTTTTTTTTTTTTTTATTTTTTTGATATACCCCCAAGAGTGTATTTTAGTCTCACTTTGCCCCATGAAACTCATTTTGTCTCACTTTACTCTATTTTTCTTACTTTTTTTATCTCACTTTACTTCATTTTTATTATAAAATATTAATTAAAAATTAAAAATTCAATTTTAAAACTTAAAATTCATAGAAATATTGTAAATAATTAATTTTTAGAAGAAAAAAAAAAGATTTCTTCTCCCCACACCGACCGATTTCTTCTCCCCTTCCACCCCCAACCTGCAAAAAACACAACCTTCCTCCCCTCCCCCCTGCCTCCTTTTCTTCTCCCCCAATTTCCCAACCACCACCTACAGACCCCTCCCCCCTCCTCCCACCCCCTGCCCCGATTTTTTCTCCCCCATTCCCCCACAGACCCCTCCCCTCGCTTCCCATCCCCCAACCCGCAACCCCTCACCCCGCAGAACCCAGATATTTCAGGGGGTATATAAAAAAATAAGCCTTTTTTCTCCAAAAATTTACTGACCTTAAAGAGAGAGAGAGAGAGGAGAGAGAGAGAGAGAGAGAGGAGAGAGAGAGAGAGAGAGTTGAGTTGAGTTGAGAAGAAGAAGAAGATGATGAAGAAGAAACTTGCCATAGCTTCCACGAATGGCTGGCTCCTTAATTAACTGTTTGTTTCTAGTTTCTTCTATTTGATAGGTGCCCCCCACTCTTACATTTTCAAATTCAACGACGATCACGTCATCAATGTCAGCAATCCTTCGTTGGGGATGCTTCTTGGCAGTGGAAATTCCAGTGAAACTAATAGAGGCGACTGTTAAACTTATTTTTTATCTTATAAAGGCAGCAATAGTGATAACTGTTAAACTTATTTGTTATCTTATACCGGCAGCTGCTAAACTTATAAAGGCAGCAATAGTGATAACTGTTAAACTTATTTGTTATCTTATACCGGCAGCTTCTAAACTTATAAAGGCAGCAATAGTGATAACTATTGGAGGCATATATTTTATTTTTTGTCTTATAAAGGCGATAACTATTGGAGGCATATATTTTCTGTCCGAACGGATAGAGTACTGGAGAAAGATATTTGTAATATCATGTGTGATTTCTGTTATAGTCGACCCATTGTTCCTCTACATTCCTATCATCAACCACGATATCAAGTGCATCGACATGGACAAAGAATTGAATATGACAGCTTTTGCTTTGAGAGCAGTCGCAGATTTCTCTTACTTTGTCGACTTACTTGTTCGACTTGATATATGTGAGAAACTTTTCGCCTCAAATTTATTAATTTCATTTCAGAAACTGCTTGATTAATATTCAAACTTAAATTTATTTTTACTGATGCATGAAACTTCTTTTTTCTCAACAATAGCAAAGACCATTTGGCAGTCATCCGTCATAATTGACATTTTAGCTATTCTTCCACTTCCACAGGTAATTATTAAGAGAATCCTTCATTATCATATCCTTCTCACACTAATTAATTTATTTGATTTGACTGCTGGTAGTATAACTTAAACATTGTATTTTGTCACTCACAGGTGGTAATTATCCTTTTCTTTTCTAAAGCGGAGGGCTGGAGATCTTTGAATATAGCGATGCTTATGAATTCTCTTGCTATGGTGCAATATGTGCCACGGATTCTTCGAATCTACTTTTCATGTAAGGAACTTAAAGAGAGCTTCAACGAACGTATTGGACTATGGATTAAAAGCGTGCTCAATTTCCTTCTGTACATCCTTGCTAGTCATGTAAGTTTCAGTCTCTTCATTGTAATTTATGTAAAGGTTGATGCATCATTTTTATGTTTTTTTCTTCATTTTATTTCTTGATCAAAGTTAAGGTTTTTAAATGAATCTACCTTACAGGTCCAGCTACTGAAGTATATTTGAAAAATCATTCTAATGAACTATATATAATTTGTCAATTCTTTAGGTACTCGGAGCTTTTTGGTACTTTTTTGCTATTCAAAGAATGAAGACTTGCTGGCAACTTGCATGTCGAACTGAAATTGGATGTGAACCTCGTAGTTTTGTTTGTGATGACCAGTTCAGAAATACCACATTTCTAAATGACTTATGTCCAATAAACCCACAAAATGAAACGCTCTTTGATTTTGGTATATTTGTTGACGTCCTTAAATCTGATATATCCAAGTCAACAAATCATCCACAAAAATTCTCCAATTGTTTCTGGTGGGGCATACGAAATTTGAGGTTTGTAAATTTGAAGCTCATTGGTCTTGCATATATCTTGCTCTAGCTTTTACTCACAAATAAAATACACTCAACTTTTCTGTTAAAAATTTCAACTGTCATTTCAAAACTCTGTTTTTCCCCAGTTTCTAATTCTCTGTCTTGCTTGAGCACAATGTATACATAGCATCTGGTTTGAGTTCCTAATTATGAACACACTGAATTTAAAAGTAGAGATTGTATCTTATATTGCGATCCATATTTATATTTCAGCTCTCTTGGTTCGAACCTCCAGCCCAGTATCACTACATGGGAGAACCTCTTTGCGGCTTTTGTTTCTATTATTGGCCTGCTACTATTATATATCTCATTGGAAATTTGCAGGTTGGTGTCAAGTATTTATATATGTCATCTTTGTTCTCATTTGAGAATCCATGCTAGTGTTGGCTACCTGCTTTTTTAATTAGGAGGGTCAAATCACTCATTGCCATTTTTCAGTTTGGTCTGAATCATTTATTGCTAGTTACTTTGTCAAAAGGAGGAGAAATGTTTTAGTGTTATATATATATGGTCAGGTAATACTAATCCACATGTTACAATATGAATGAATTAGTAAGATTATGTGGCGGCACGACTGCCACACACCAAAGGCAAGCTGTGAAGATTGCTTTTTCCGAAAAATTTCATCTCCTATTGTTCATCATAGCCTAAAACTCTAATATGTTGTCTTTCCTTGCTGAAGAAGCCTAAAACTCTAACTTCTAGCTAGGTTCAATTCATTACCCTCATATAACAACATTATATATACATTATCCATTATTTGTTACTTATAGATATATTAGAATAAATACTCATGAACTGAACGCAGCTACGTTGTTTTGGATTAATAGATGTACATGCAGTTCGACGCTGCAAGAGAAGAGGCACGTAAAGAACGTGTTAATCAAGAGATGAAAACGGAACAGAGGTTGAAAGAGAAAGATAGAGAGATAGCATTCTGGTTATCTGAGAATGTCAAAATCCCTCAAAATGAGAAGGATAGGGTAAAGTCACAGATCATGAGAACGGTGAAACGCGAACTTGAGGAACTCAGGGGTGGACACGTGGAGGAGATCCTCTCTATTCTTCCCTCTGAACTTCAAAGCTATCTCAATTCCCATATGATGTGGAAAAAGTTAAAGAGAGTAAGTTCCTATGTGAGGCATGCTACCTTGCTAATTAGTTTAATTTTCCTCTCATTATCATTTCTTACGCAGGTTCCAAAGCTTGACTCACTGGACGAACAAGTATTGAAAGCGATCTGGAAGCATTCTAAGACTCTGAAATATGCTGCACAGACCGATATTATTAAAGAGAATGAACCGATTGATAAGATGTTCTTCATCATTGAAGGAATTGTAAAGATTGAAAGTAGTAAGGATCCTTCTGCTGGGCAGCTTGAAGCGGAAGGTTTCTTTGGAGAAGAACTTGTAGATTGGGCAACAATTGCTGTATTTCCCAACTTATTACCCTTGTCGACCAGTAGCGCCAAGGCCACCAAAGATGTCGAAGCCCGTGTTCTCCTGGCCAGCGACTTGTGTGATGTAGTCACTCTTTTCCAGGACCATTTCCGTAAGAGGAAGTGCCCCCCACCGGACCTCGTCAGGGTTTAACTGCGCACCGGCACCTCCCCCACCTCACCGGACAGTGTCAGGTTTTTTTATGTTGCATTAATAATGCACCAAAAATTCTAAAGTATAGCCTTGTCTACCTAGGTTTATTTAATTTCTTTGCAATGGGTGCATAAGCCCAAAATCTTTTAAGCACTAACCAAATCTTTCATCCTCCAACATTGTTTGTCTCCGCTGAAGAAAGATAAAGTCACTACAATATTTGTTGGCTATACATGATAGCTGAAGCCAACTGCATTTGTTGGGCTGGCAGTGGTTAATTCAGTTGCTGACCAACGTGTATATTTAGTTTGTTTGTTTCTAATATGAAATTCCCTAGAATGGCCAACTGATCTGTTTCTTAATACTCAAACACCACAGCAGGATTGAAATACTGTAACAATCTTGTAAGTAAAAATTCCAGAATACGCAGCAGAATAAATTCAAATAAAAACGCAAACAATTGCACAAGGGACACACAATATGTTGATGCAGTAAAAAACCTCAAGATGAGGAAAACAACTGCGGGCACTATGCCAGAGAACAAATCACTACGAGAAAGAATACAAAAAGGTCTTAAAGTCTCAACTCACAAGACTAACGCTCACAAGGCAGACTTGCCTACTCGCCTTTGCTACTCAACCCAACCAGCGATCTTGTCTTCCTTCGTCAACAAGAGATGGCACAACTCTGGACTCGGCTGCTCACACCTCAAGACACGATTGCTGATCACCAACATGCATAATGCTCATGAACTCACACATATATGAAAACATGATGATTTAATCACTCATGGAGGCTAACAAGGAACACCACATGAGTTTTCAATATCAACTCTCAAAAACCTCTCTGCAAATATTTTGTCGTTCCTTCTCTTTTCAACATTGCAGACACCCCAATCAAAATGGCTAAGTTCTTTCTTGTATTACACACTTAAAACTAGGTCAGAGTCCAAAAAAGGCTTTTTGCAAAAATGGGCTTTTTAACAAATAAATTATTTCTTTAAAAGAAATAAAGCCACTTAATTAAAAACCCCGCTGTAAAGACAAAAGAACCATTTTGCTTAAATAAGCACCAAACTAAATAATATAAATGACAGGACCCGCCCTGAATTTCCCGAAACCCGAGACGAATCCTGTGGAAACCCCGGCATCACACCCATGCTGGGCTCACTCACTAAAATATAGCCTCCTTTTTCAAAAAGAGTAAGGGCATGAGACTTTCTGCCAAAAATTTGGCAAAGTCTCCACTGTAAATGGAACATTTCCACAGATTCCAACCTGCATAAAACTCATTTAATATCCAACTGGTAGCATGCACAATGTAATAACATGCAATTCACATAAACGGCCTCGGCCTTCAGACAATTCGTAACCAAACTACCAACAAAGTTCTTAAGCCAAAAATATCTTAAACAGGGCAAAAATAAGTTCAAACACACTTATGAATGCCGATGCAATTCTCATCATCTAACTGAGCAAAGCTTAGCTTGCGGCTGCACCTAGGCACTACCCTAGGGCTGCCTACGTACCCTTACTAATGGATCAAGCCACACGTAGTTCTTTCCTACGAAATTTCCAAAACCATCACACATGCAATCAAATACAAAAATCCCAAACAAACTCTTTTCTTTAAGTCACGACTCACAATCACAGTCCTAATTTATCTCCCAAATACGCACAAAATCTCCCCATACGCTGGAAACATCCAAAGCCACGTATGGGGCCTGTCCGCACGCCGGATAATCCTACGACACGTGGGACCTCATCATCATATCACGGTATATCCCCATATGCCGGTACTACCAACGCCACATATAGGGTCTGTCAACATGCCGGCTACTTTTACGACATGTGCGACCTCACAAGCATAACACAATATCCCCCTATATGCCGGTACTACCAATACCACATATAGGGGTTTGTCAACACGCCGGCTACTCCTACGACACGTGTGACCTCACAAGCATAACACAATATCCCCCCATATACCGGTACTACCAACGCCACATATGGGGTCTGTCAACACGCCGACTACTCCTACGACACGTGTGACCTTATCATCATATCACAATATCTCCCCATACGCCGGAACTACCAACGCCACGTATGGGGCCTATCCGCACGCCGGAAAATCCTACGACACGTGGGACCTCACAATCACATGATGGTACTTACACAGTGAAATCAAACATATTTATATCTTTATAATATATATATATATATATCAATTTCCAATATAAACCTCAACCACAATATAGCATCCGATAATATCTCACTATAATACAATAAATTAATATCATAATCTCACATAATCAACATAACTCAACAACGCTCAAGACCTGTCACTAGGGTCATTATAATCCTCTTAGAAAGGTAAAACTACCTCGGAAGACTCACGGTCAACCAAGGGTCAAACTACCCAAACTTGGTCAAACGGGCCCACGTGGTCCACGACCTCCAAATTCTGATATGAAAGTTCTTATAGGTTCTACAAGGTCTAGGACACATATCCTGCAAATTTGGTCCAGATCGGACTGTCGGATCGCTCATGATCGCACGATCGCACGATTACTAAAACCCTAGCCCTAGGGTTGGCATTTTCGGAGTATCCGGGCCTCCGTTTTATGATCCGTTGAATCTTACACAATCCTAAGGATGTCCACGTTAACATATAATAAAGTCAAGACCATCCAACGGTCCAAACCTATCAAACCCGGATAACGCGTAATAGGCGATATCCGTTCGAGACTCAAACGGTATCCAAATTGAAATCCGAGCACACCTACGCGCTCATGAGGGCCAAGAGATCATCTCGGGATAGAATGCCCCTTTTCTACAGTGCCCACTCCCCGCCACACGGGCCGGCAGCGCGTGGGTGTCAAAAGCGATAACCCATTGCCGGAAAAACCCGAAATCACTACTCAAGACTCCTACCCTAGGTATAACACCCTATTTGGAGTCACTTTTGTTCTTGGGCATACCCTAAAAACTGACCGGAAGTGGTCGGAATCTCATTTCGAAATTCGGCCGAAACCCAATTCTAAAATCAGATAATCTAGGTTACAAATGATGCAATCCTACCCAACCATCTGCTAGATCAGGAAGAAATGATGAATTTCCATATCTGGATCGCCAAAAATGGCGGCTGGACGACGGAGAACGAAGCTGGCGAAAAATCGGCCTGAAATTCCCATTTTCCGACGGCTGGAGCGGCGGCCGATGTCGGGGAGGGGCTGGGTCGTGACGCCGGGGCTGAGCCGATCCTTTTGGCACCAGTCCCTCCGCAACCGTGACCGGTGGCCAGAGTTTCGAAAAGAGAGAGACAGCTGTCGTCGCGAGGAGAGAGAGAGAGAGAGAGAGAGAGAGTGCGCCGGGAGAGAGAGAGAGAGATAAGGGCTTTTCTGACTTTAACAACTCTTTTCACAATATTTACGATTATGCCATTGAGGGTATTTTGATCTTATCTCTCTCGTTACAACTCCGATTCAAGCCCACTACGTGCCTACAGACTCATCTCGCCGTGCTCTACGCAACGGTAAAATCAAAATTTCCAAATTTCTTCCCAGTCAAAAGTCAACTTTAACCTAATAAAATATTCTAGGGGTAAAATGGTCTTTTATCATGTTTAATTAGTAATTAAACATTTATTTAGGACTGGGTCGTTACAATAAAACCATCGTTAAAAACTCATTGATGTCTAACGCTTGATTATGTAAAGCTGAAATCATATATCAGTCTTATAATCTGATAGCCACTTTTGATGATCTTACAAATATGCAAATATGAATGCATGGATGCCAACATACCTTGACATTGTCTCTGAGCCACACTGATCCAGGATAGCTGAATGTCACTTGAAAACTGTAAGTTACACTCGAAGACCTACTCTATATTTTTGTAACAGGAAATTGCCAATATACCAAAAATTAGTCCTAACATAATATTGTTAGATGATTACGTTTCCAATCTTATTTGCCTTTTGTCTTCCTTTGTGTACCTAGGATTCGTAAGACGCCTACCAATAGTTTCCTAGTCTCCCACAATCATTCATGGAAGTCTAAAAAGAGATGGTTTTTGACATAATTGCACAATATCAACACTAGAAAATCAAAATCCAGAAACTCATAGATTTATGACCAAACATTCAAAACATAGTAATTTGACTTAGTTTTCGTTAGGAACAACCAATCAATTATCGGCCATCATCATCAGGCTTCAACACTAATTTGGATTTGATTTAACATGCCCCTGCACTGCAGCGGTTATAATCCCACAATAACCAAAAAATTCCTCAAATCCACGTCTAACCTCAAGAACTTGAGCGTGTGAAGGTAAACCAAGCAAGTTGTCGGCTTTTTTGGGAGATTGAGAAAAATTCAACTTAGCCATTTCCCATAGCAGCTGAATAATGCCATTCCATAAATCGCAACACCTCAAGCTTCGTGGCTACTTCTTTCATGGAAGGCCTTTCGTTTTGTGACCCTAAACAACGTTTTGCCAGACCAGCAACAAGCTTGTTAGTTTCTTTAGGTGCTTGGAGCTTTTTGGTACTTTTTTGCTGCTCGACAAATGATAAATTGCTGGGAACATGCGTGTGGATATGGAAATGGATGTGGCCCTTCTACATTTAATTGTCATGATAAATCCACAAATACAACTCTCTTTGATTTTGTGACTTTTATATCTATAATCGGCTTGATACTGTTTGTATACATAAAAATATTACCTTCACTGAGCTTGATTGCATTTTGTAATTATGAAGTTGATCTTAGCTGCAGTAGTCAACGCAACACTAACTTGAACTAGCATAAATTCTTTGAACTTCATAATACATATGAGATTACATATTTGCCAAGGAAAACAAAAACCATTAGCTAAACAAAACCTAATACCTTGAATTAAAAATGTTTTTCATGAGGACTTGCCAAAATTAAATTTGCTTTGGTTGGGGAGGAGAAGTCTAGATCTAGTCCTCGATGCTAGTTTTAACATATTTTATTAAAGCCCGTGGAATTAAAAATGTTTTTCATGAGCCAAAATTAAATTTGCTTTGTTTTGGGAGACGGACGAATCTAGTCAACAAGACTTGACCAGATTCTATTCTCAATGCTAACATAACTTTTTTTTCAGTCTAGAATTAATATGCTTTTTTTTAATGACAAACTAGCTGGCGCTGGAATTTATAAAACCAAACCACCTACCAAAATGAAATTTTATTTATTTATTTATGTTAAGAAAACTTTATACATATTTCAACAATAGAATGAAAAATACTACTAAATTAATAACTAGTTGGCAAAATAAAATTAACTTTTGTTTAACGAGGTTTAGTGGACAGTAAAAATTGGTACGGTTACGGATATATATAGTGGAAACTACATGGTCTTGTAATTTGTATGTTCCAATCTTCTAGTTACTGTCGGGGTCATCTACATAATTATTCTATTACTTCTCAAGTCCCACATTAAAAACTCAAAGATAACAGTCTAATTGATATGGATTAAGACCTTAATAAAAACATTAAAAGCATCAAAATCCGGATTCATAGGTTTTTTTTTCTTCTGATCAAATGCAATGAAGTATTAGTTTCTTTCAAATATTAAATACATTTTAAATTCTAATCACCCTCCCTCAGTATCGCTTATATCAAAATATTTTAAACTCTTATCCGCCTCTCCTATTAGTTAAAAAAACATAGCTCTAAGATTCACATTATAACAACAATAAAGTATTCTGACATACTTTTATTATCGAGGCACCCACTTAAATTGAAACAAAATACAGCTAATTACAACAAAAAATTAGGAACAAACACATGACTACCAAAAAAAAAAAAAAAAAAAAAAAAAAAAACAAACAATTAGCAACAAGATGCCTCTCGGGCCAATTGGCTTAGGCTTGAATTCAATATGTTTTTCATGAACCTTGCCAAAATGGAAATTCTCATTACATCACTATAGCTAGCAACAAGACAATCAATTATATCGGCCATCGTGGTACGTACAAATTTCGACATTAATTTCGATTTGATTTTGCATCCCGCTAGAACTTGTAGAACCAAATAATTCGTCATGTTAACGTTGATATGAAGAAGTTGAGCGTTTGAAGGTGACCCAAGCAACTGGTCGATCGGTCTATTTGGGAGATGTTGATGGAGAGAAATTCAACTTAGCCAGTCCCAAGCAGCTGAATAATCCCATGCCATAATAACCTGGAGCTTCATGGCTACTTCTCTCATGGAGGGCCTTTCACCTTGCAACCCTAAACAGTTTTTTGCGAGATCAACCACTTTCAAATCCAAGTAAGTGAAAATTATAAATTGTATACCCTTTCAAATCCAAATAAAATTTACAAATTTTAATTTAATTTTATTAAAAAATTATAAATTAATAACAAAATTAATATTTTTGTATATACAAAATAAAAATGAGAGGCATTATTATTACTAATCAATAAGATATCTATATCTATCAATAAAAATTTCTTAAAATAAAAGAGGGGGGCGAGAAGATTTCATTTTATGGTAAAAAATTCATTCATCTCAGTTATTTCACAAGAAGAAAAAGACGAAAACATAGGATCTGCTGAATTTCAAATAGTTAGTTTCACCAATAGGATACGAAGACTTACTTCACATTTAGAATTACACAAAAAAGAATATTTATCTCAGAGAGGTTTACGTAAAATTCTGGGAAAATGCCAACAACTGCTGTCTTATTTGTCAAAGAAAAATAGAATATGTTATAAAGAATTAATTAATCGGTTGGATATTCGGGAGTCAAAAACCCGTTAATTTGAAGAGGCATTTTGAATTATTTGATTTATTAGATCGTGAATTTTAATGAACTTTTTTTCGTTTTTAGCAATTCATGAAAGAATGAATCGAGGAAAAACCGATGAATATACCAGCTACAAGAAAAGACCTCATGATAGTCAATATGGGCCCCCACCACCCATCAATGCATGGTGTTCTTAGACTCATCATTACTCTAGATGGTGAAGATGTTATTGATTGTGAACCAATATTGGGTTATTTACACCGAGGGATGGAAAAAATTGCGGAAAACCAAACAATTATACAATATTTGCCTTAGGTAACACGTTGGGATTATTTAGCTACTATGTTCACAGAAGCAATAACTGTAAATGGACCGGAACAATTGGGAAATATTCAAGTACCTAAAAGAGCTAGCTATATCAGAATAATTATGTTGGAGTTGAGTCGTATAGCTTCTCATCTGTTATGGCTTTGTCCTTTCATGGCGGATATTGGTGCACAAACTCCCTTTTTCTATATTTTCAGAGAAAGAGAATTAGTATATGATCTATTCGAAGCTGCCACCGGTATGAGAATGATGCATAATTATTTTCGTATCGGAGGAGTAGCGGCCGATCTACCTCATGGTTGGATAGATAATTGTTTGGATTTCTGCGATTATTTTTAACAAGAGTTGCTGAATATCAAAACTTATTACACGAAATCCTATTTTTTTTAAAACGAGTCGAGGGAGTAGGCATTATTGGTAGAGAGGAAGTAATAAATTGGGGTTTATCGGGACCAATGCTGCGAGCTTCCAGAATACAATGGGATCTTCGTAAAGTTGATCATTATGAATGTTACGACGAATTTGATTGGGAGGTACAGTGGCAAAAAGAAGGAGATTCATTGGCTCGTTATCTAGTCCGAATTGGTGAAATGATAGAATCTATAAAAATAATTCAACAGGCTCTGGAAGGAATTCCAGGGGGACCCTATGAGAATTTAGAAATACGATACTTTGATAGAGAAAGGGATCTGGAATGGAATGATTTTGAATATTGATTTATTAGTAAAAAGCCTTCTCCTACATTTGAATTGCCAAAACAAGAACTTTATGTGAGAGTCGAAGCCCCAAAGGGAGAGCTGGGAATTTTTCTACCTTGATCAACCACTTTCTTCGCTGGCTCCAAATTTTCTACCTTGATTATTTACCATCAATCTTGGAGAGTCCGGTCCATGAGATCGAGTGAAACTTAACCTCGCTCCGGGTCAACTCACTAGTGCAGCAAAGAATGGCCTGACCCAACTCACGATTGTGCCAAATCCTAAAATTTAGAGTCAAGCTGGACCCGGTCCGGCTCATGATGATGCCAGAGTTTGGGAGATGAACAAATTTATGAGAAGAGAACTAGAAGTCTGGAAGCCAACAACTTCCTGGGCCTAGGTCTAGTATCGATGCTAGTTTTAACATATTTTATTAAAGCCTGGAATTAAAAATGTTTTTCATGAGAAGTAGCAAGCACTGCAATTTATAAAATCACACCAAGACTTGGGGAGACGTACGATTCCAGTCAACAAGACTTGGGGACATGACCAGATTCTATTCTCAATGCTAACATAACCTTTTTAAAAATTAAAAAAAAACAAAATCCAAGTCTAGAATTAAAATGTTTTTTCTAATCATCCTCCTTCGGTATCGTTTGTATCAAAATATTTTAAACTCTAATCCGCCTTTCCTTTTAGTTAAAAAAACATAGCTCTAAGAATCACATTAAAACAACAATAACGTATTCTGACATATTTTTATTTAACGAGACACCCACTTAAATTGAAATCAAATACAATTAATTACATCGTTAGGAACAAACCAATTATAGCAACAAGATGCCTTTCGTGCCAATTGGAGTTGTTGCAAAATTAAAGTTATTTATATTAACACTCCTTCAGGTTTTTGGTGTTTTTAAAGCCCCTTGAGGTTTTAGAAATTATACAATTCCTCTTTGAAGTTTCAAATTGTTTTCACAAAACTCATTTTCATTGATTGTTCGTCCAAAAATTGATTATTTCATAAAAGAAAACTTACGGAAATGACAAAATTAACCTCAATGAATGTATTGTGCAATCTAATCTTAAAGGCTAACTTTGTCTGTTGGATAATTTATATATATATTTAAAAAAAATTAACAATTTTTGGATGAAAAATCATCATAAAGAGGTTTTGTTAAAAATTTAAAACCTCATAGAGTTTTGTGACAGAGATCAGTGCAGTTAGCGCACCGAAAACGGCACTAGGTGCTGATGTAAAAAAATCTGCAAAATTAACTAATGGTAATAAACTATTTGCTTTGGTTGGAAAGACGAAGGAATTAATTACAAAAAGATACTTACTTGGGGACCAGACTAGAAGTCTAGATCTATTATCAATTGTTTCCATGACAAGAGTTAAAAATGTTTGTTTATGACAACTAGCGATCTGTTAGTACTGCAATTCATAAATTCAAACAACTTGCCAAGATGTTGATGATTAAGAAAAAAGCCACTTGTCTAATGAAATTGTAATCAATATAAACTATATATAAAACTTGGTTGCTGCATAATATAAGCTTTTATATAAAATGTGGAGCGCATATCTGTGTATGAACGATGTGTTGTATACTGTAAGGTGAATTAGGTCAGTTCCCAGATTTGATTCAAAAGGCTCTCCTGAATCTTCATTTGCAAATTTTAAAGCGCTTTCTAACAATGAAAAAACGCTTCTGATAACGTTTGGTAGAAAATGTTAGAAGCACTTCTAGGCCATAGAAGTGCTTTCTGGAAAAGCACATACCATGTACTTCTTTAGGAAGCACGCCCAAGTGCTTTTTAGGAAGCAAGTCAATTTCTTAGGAAAATTTCAACTTTTTTATAATAAAAATGCTTTTGCTAGAAGCGTTTATGAGTAGAAGGGTTTTCTAAAAAAGCAGTCCCAAATGAGCTCATAGTCCTTGTTTAAAACTACAAGTTTGGCAAGATAAACCAGAAGTGCTTACTGGAAGTTCTTTTCTCTCTTCATATTGCTAGACGTCTCTATATTTTAGAGATGGTTGAAGTTTATGTTTTTAACTTCTCTAAATTTTAGTTAAGAAGCTCGTTTAAGGAGCTCTTTGGAGATGGTCTCTTGTACATATGAATGTGTTGTACCGTATGTAAACTTGAATTGCATCAGTTCTTAGATTAGGTACGTTTGCAAACTTGAATTACATACACATCCTCCTCACATTATACGACCCACGTTACCGTTAACTAAGTTGACTCGAATTGGAACAAGCTAAAATTTGTTAAGAGTTTTTACAATACATCACTAGCAGCAAAATCAATTAAGGGTTTGCAGTGTCAAAAAAACCAAAACGACTCAAATTGAAACAAGCTACAATTTTTCATTACATCACAATCAATTATATCGATCATCATCATACGAGTTCGATGATTTGATTTGCAAGCTGCTGTCGCCGTATAACTCTGCACGGCCAAAAGATTCATCATGTTCACGTCTGACATGAAGAAGTTGAGCGTTTGAAGGTGACCCATTCAACTCGTCCGTCTCTTTGGGAGATGGAGAGAAATTCAACTTAGCCAGTCCCTTAGCAGCTGAATAATCCCATGCCATAACCTCGAGCTTCATTGCTACTTCTCTCATGGAAGGCCTTTCATTTTGCAAACCTAAGCAGCTTTTTGCGAGATCAACCACTTTCTTGGCTGTCCCCAAATTTTCCTCCTTAATTATTTTACCATCAAGAATTTGATCCCAGCGACCCTCTTCCACTGAACGAGCAAAGAACTGTGCTAGGTCTCTCTGTCCCTCAGGCTTTTCATCACAAAATGCTCTCTGGCTTGTCAGGAGCTCAACTAGGACCACTCCAAAGCTATAAACGTCATTTTTTGCTGACAACTTTTTTGATTTAATACTTTCAGGGTCTAAGTATCCGGGTAAACCTTGCAGGGTACCTTGAGTTTGATCTTGAGGAATCACTTTTGCCTCTCTAAAGTTGGCCAATCTTGCCGTGTAATTATTATCTAATAGTATTCTTTTCGAATTCACATTTAGATGTACGATTGATATATTCTTGGAAGTAGAGGAGGAGGAGTGCAAGTATTCTAGTGCAGCTGCGATTTCTACTGCTATCTTCATTCGCAATTGGAATAGGAGTGTTGATGATCCTTTGCTTTTTTCATGAATATGCTCGTAAAGAGTGCCATTGTTGATGAACTCGCAAACTAGGGTTTCTCCTCCCAGATCTGCACAGTAACCTAAGAGCCTCACAATATGTCTGTGTTTAATCTGAGAAAGAATGGTCACCTCGTTAACAAATATTTTAGAGACAATTCTACTAGGTACGTCTGGCTTGAACTTCTTTATGGACACCGCGCTTTTATCTTGTAGAACTCCTCTGTAAACTATTCCTTTGCCTCCTCTACCAATGATTCTACCGTCATAGAAATAATCTGTCGCCAAAGAAATTTCTCGTGCAGAAAACTTTCTGGGTGCTAACTTGAAAGGTCCATTATTATTATGTACAGCCAATCTGTGTTGTGAGGTTGCAATGCGTTTTAGAAACTCAATTATCTTGCAAATACTAAGTAACAAAAGAATTCCAACCAGTATCATAAAGAAGCTTACACAGATACCTGCAAAAGGGAAATACACACAAACTCACACTCACACACAGATATAGCTGTTAATCATATGCAATTAAGTAGCTAACTAGTAAGTGGTACATACCCAATGAAATTTTCAGGGAAATGTTCATGCTTTTGACGAAACTCGTCAGGCCGGCCAGCCTTTCGTTTATGTACCCTTTTCCAGAGTAAATTAACCCACCTTCCATTGTTGTAGGGCTTTGAAGCCTCGCACTCATCAATATCACCACTTGTCAAAGCGAAGAGCAAAGTTAATCTTTGGTAAATAATAGGAGCGAATACAAGCACAAAAGATTAGTAATTTTTTATGCGATAATTATTATTAATTACTAGCCTCTTGGGCAAGGTATCATGTCTCTTGGGCAGAGCTCCAACATCTTTTAATAACTGCATGTGACTCCATCATCCTATGCCAACACGCAAAACCTCGAACTTTGGATGACTATGACTGGTAGCTAGGGCTTCAAGGAACATCAAGACGAAACTTAAGTACTAGTTTTATTTTTTTGGTTATTTTTAAATACATACCCATTTTGTGACATTTACAACTTCATACTCAAACTTTCAAAAACTCTACAAATTACCCCTATTATTATCCAAACTATTAGAGCATCTCCAATCATGCTCTTTATTTTTAAGTTAAAATTTAGCTAAAAACATACAAAAACTATTTTTGGAGCTCTCTATGAAATTTTAACTCCAATCATACTCTCTAGGGATTCATAAATGTTATTATTACTATTTTTTAATTGGTCCATCTACATAAAACAAATATTTTTAAAAATAGTTAGCATTAATTAAAGATTTAAAATAATCATAAAATAAAGCAGCATTAAATTATATCCTCAGATTTAGGAGCTCTTAGAGGTCTCCATATTTTAGGAGGTGGACAGGAAGTATGGTTAGAATTGTATTTTTCCAAATAATCCCTAAAATTTATCTAAAGAGGTGGTTTAAGAAGTTCATTGTAAATGCTTTTAGTATATCTGCTAAATGGTGATGTGGCAACACAACCACCTCCTCCTCCAAAACCTCCACATCCACCACCACCTCCACAACCACCACCACCATGCTGCCACTACCATCACCACCACCACCTCCACAACAGTCATCCCCACCAACTCCACCTTCATCACCACCACCGCCTCCACCACATCACTACCACTACCACCACATGATTAGTACATAACACTTTTAGTTATTATTCACAGTTACAACAATTTTATATTAAAATTTACCAAACGGTTTTGACACTGTTTTTTGTACAAACAGCACTTTAAAAATATTGTTTACCAAACATGGAGCTGATTTACTATATAGCTAATTATTTTCAAAGCACAGCATAAGCAACTTTTTTAAAAAGTGACAGCAATCTCAAACTGGACCTAATGATGTGGACTTCAAGTGGACTAAAAAATTGATATATAATTCTTTATTTTTTTCAAATAATAAAAAAAAAGTTCAATCATATTAAATAAATAAATTAAAGTGTTTATTTAAAACCAAAAAACCTTTCACCTCCTCACCTCCCTGCCCCCCTAACCTGAGTTACCCAGCAAACAACCACCATGATTGTCCAAATACTGTCGAAGCTGTCACCATTGGACGACCTATTAAAGTCCAAGGCTTTTGTTGGAAAAGCCTTTGTAGTCACTGCATATTGCCCATCTACTGAGGATGGGTGGTGCATTTTAGGTGTTCGATGAATTGCCTCCAAGTTGTGTAATGATCCGCATAATTTTTTTTTAAACATCTAGGCCAAAATGCACTGTTTTGGACTCGTTTCGTGGGCATATTCCAGGCCTGCCTTAATAATAATAAAAGGGGTTTAATTTAAATTTTTAAAACTCCTCGGCTTTTAAAAGGCTTTAAATAGGTTTTTTTTTTTTTTTTTTTTTTTTTTTTTTTACGAAGATTTTAAAAAAATTAAAATTTAAAAGGAAAACTCTTGCATTGATTGCACAACTCCTTATTTAATGGGACTCGGGGAATTATTATATTTATAAAGGCTACATTTTTTCTTCCATATTACAAGAATTTAAATAATCCGAAGTATTCATTTTTTTAAAAAATAAAACTTTTAGTCTTTTAAAATTACACTTTCACTAAAAAATTTCTGAGTCCACCAATGGCTGTCACTTTCCTTCAACAATTTATCATATCACCTCAACCGGTCCTATACCTCTCTCCCTCTCCCTCCAACCGCGACTTACCCAGCCAATACCAGCTGACCCACATAACTACCCCTGGCTGCACAATACAACTACCAAACCACCACGAACTCCCCCACTGCAGCGCAGCCATGGATATTGGGAAAATGAGGGGCGGCATCGTCTTGTCTGTAAATTCTAGGGGCATATCGTGGTCTATTGGAAATTTGGAGGCATAGTGTGTCAAAAGTGGGACCCATTTTTTAATGGCGTGGACAAAAAATGTTTTACAAGATGGGTGTGAACTTGAAAGTGACAATTGGGATTTTTTCTATAACCCTTGTTTTTTTCCATAAAATTTACTGACCTTAATTTCTCTTAGTTGCTTGATTGATCACTCCATTCCTTAAATCATTAAGATTTATTGAGAGAGAGAGAGAGAGAGAGAGAGAGAGAGTTGAGTTGAGTTCTAGATTTGGTTTCAGTTCATTCAAAGGGTGATTAATCTGCTGGATCTTCATCTACAATGCAAATATCCAGAATGCTAGCCAGGCTCATCAGTTTCAGCCAACCATAGCCTAAGCCAATCCCCCTCCTCTCTTGCTCCACATTGTAGAGTAGAAAACCTCCGAATCATGACGTGTATGTCCTTGAACAATTATCCGTTGTGAAGAATATCCAGAAAACAGGACTTCAGGTCTATTATTTAGGAAGGAAATAGTCCAGGGGATACAATATCATCTTAAATAAGTTTGAGTTATGGCAAACCTCGAACTAACTTTAGCTGTAGAGGAAGAAGAAGAAGAAGATGAAGAAACTTCACTTGTGCAGGACTCGGATGAAGAGAATGTTACTGCCAGGTTTCTTCTTTATTTCTAACGACATTTTCTTTTGTTTTCTCTATTCACAACATGAACAGAGTTAGTCATGCCATAGCTTCCACGAATGGCTGGCTCCTTAATTAACTGTTTGTTTCTAATTTCTTCCATTGATAGGTGCCCCCCCACTCTTACATTTTCAAATTCAACGACGATCACATCATCAATGTTGGCAATCCTTTGTTGGGGATGCTTCTTGGCAGTGGAAATTCCTAGAGTTTTTTTTCGTGTTACAGGGAAAGTAATAGAGACGACTGTTAAACTTATTTTTTATCTTATAAAGGCAGCAATGATAACTATTGGAGGCATATATTTTATGTTCAAACAGATAAACTGGAGAATGATATTTGTAATATCATGTGTGATTTCTGTTATAGTCGACCCATTGTTCCTCTACATTCCTATCATCAATCAGGATATCAGTGCATCGACATGGACAAAGCATTGTATAAGACAGCTTTTGCTCTGAGAGCAGTCGCAGATTTCTCTTACTTCGTCGACTTACTTGTTCGACTTATAATATGTGAGAACTTTTAGCCTCAAATTTATTAATTTCATTTCAGAAACTGCTTGATTAATATTCAGTCTTAAATTTATTTTTACTGATGCATGAAACTTCTTTTTTCTAAACAATAGCAAAGACCATTTGGCAGTCATGCATCCTAATTGACATTTTAGCTATTCTTCCACTTCCACAGGTAATTAAGAGAATCCTTAATTATCAAATCCTTCTCACACTAATTAATTTATTTGATTTGACTGCTGGAAGCATAACTAAAACATTGTATTTTGTCGCAGGTGGTAATTATCCTTTTCTTTTCTAAATTGAAGGGCTGGAGATTTTTGAACATAGCGATGCTTATTAATTCTCTTGTTATGGTGCAATATGTGCCACGGATTCTTCGAATCTACTTCGCATGTAAGGAACTTAAAGAGAGTTTCAATGAACGTATTGGACTGTGGATTAAAAGTGTACTCAATTTCCTTCTGTACATCCTTGCTAGTCATGTAAGTTTCAGTCTGTTCATCGTAATTTATGTAAAAGTTGATGCGTCAAATTTTTTTCCTCTTCATTTTATTTCTTGATCAAAGCTGAGGTTCTTAAATGAATCAACCTTACAGATCCAGCTACCGAAGTATATTGACAATTCATTCTAATGAACTATAATTTGTCAATTCTTTAGGTACTCGGAGCTTTTTGGTACTTTTTTGCTATTCAAAGAATGAAGACTTGCTGGCAACTTGCATGTCAACTGAAATTGGATGTGAACCTCGTAGTTTTGTTTGCGATGGCCAGTTCAGAAATGTCACATTTCTAAATGACTTATGTCCAATAAACCCACAAAATGAAACGCTCTTTGATTTTGGAATATTTGTTGACGTCCTTAAATCTGGTATATCCAAGTCAACAAATCATCCACAAAAATTCTCCAATTGTTTTTGGTGGGGCCTGCGAAATTTGAGGTTTGTACATTTGAAGCTCATTGGTCTTGCATACATATCTTGCTATAGCCCGAACTTACAAATAAAATACACTCAACTTTTCTGTTAAAAATTTCAACTGTCATTTCAAACTCTGTTTTTCCCCAGTTTATAATTCTCTGTCTTGCTTCTGCCCAATGTATACATAGCATCTGGTCTGAGTTCTTAATCATGAACACATTGAATTTAAAAGTAGAGATTTGTATCTTATATTTGCGATCCATATTCATATTTTCAGCTCTCTTGGTTCGAACCTCCAGCCCAGTATCACTACATGGGAGAACCTCTTTGCGGCTTTTGTTTCTATTATTGGCCTGCTACTATTTATATATCTCATTGGAAATTTGCAGGTTGGTGTCAAGTATTTATATATGTCGTCTTTGTTCTCATTTGAGCATCCATGCTAGTGTTGGCTACCTGCTTTTTTAATTAGGAGGGACAAATCACTCATTGCGATTTTTCACTTTGGTCTGAATCATTTATTGCTAGTTACTTTGTCAAAAAGAGGAGAAAATGTTTTAGTGTGATATATACATATATATATATATGGTCACTGTTATGTGGTAATATTAATCTACATGTTACAATATGAATGAATTAGTAAGATTATGTGGCGGTGCGACTGCTGTTAGAGTTTTGAATAGGTTGAGAGAGAAGAAAGAATGCAGAGATAAGAGAGAGCAGAGAATGAATCAATTCGTATGTATTTTCTTCTATTGCACTGTTCTGTCTATTTTTTTTTGAATGAGCACGCTATCTGTGAGCTATATGTCTAGCTGGATACAATTACATCACTTTGTATCTCAGCCCTTCATCTATAACTGCTTAATAAAAACATTACACGTGGCTTATAAACCTTTTACTACTAAAGCCTAACACCAGTCATTTTTATTGACTGAGAGAATACACCATTAGCTGACCAGGCTTAATTCCATTTCCTATCAGCTCACTACTTACATTTCAACACTCCCCTTTAAGTTGTGAGCTGATTTCACACCAAGCTTCTCTCTAAGATAGCTGAACCGATCCTTGGCCAAAGCCTTTGTAAAGATATCTGCTAGCTGCTCATTCGTAGGGCAATAGATCAAATCCACAGTTCCTTCTTGCAAAGCATCTTTAATAAAATGATACCTCCGATCAATATGCTTGGTTTTCTGATGGAAAACAGGATTCCTTGTAATGGCAATAGCTGAAATGTTGTCACAGTGGAGAGGTGTAGCTTCTGTTTGAAGTTCTCCAAAGTCTTCTAGGACAAATCTCAACCAAATAGCTTGTGTTGTTGCTTCAGAGGCACTGATGTATTCAGCTTCTGCAGTAGAGAGTGCAACACAATTTTGCTTGACTGAGGCCCAAGCAAACACTCCACTCCCAAAAGAAAAAGCGTATCCAGATGTGCTCTTGCTATCATCCACTGAGCCACTCCAATCGCTGTCACAATAGCCAATTAGAACTGCCCCTTTTCCTTTCACATACTCCAGACCATAATCCAAGGTTCCTTTTACATATCTAAGGACACGTTTTGCTGTTCCAAGGTGTTTGCTAGTGGGACAATGCATAAACCTTGCAAGCAGACTAGCTGCAAACATAATGTCGGGTCTAGTAGCTGTGAGATACAGCAGACTCCCAACAATCCTTCTATATTGCTCTTCACTTGCCAAACCACTCCATCATCCTTACTTAGTTTCTCTGAGGTAACTAGTGGAATAGACACCGGTTTACACTCACTCAAACCAAATCTGTTTAACAGAGTTGTTGCATATTTCTTCTGATGAATGAATATGCTTGTTGGTGTTTGAATGACTCCCATTCCCAAGAAGTGATGCAAGAGCCCCAGATCAGTCATTTCATATTTCTCCTTCATGTCCTTCTTGAAGTCTTCTAACATCTCTTGATCATTTCCAGTGTAGACAATATCATCTACATAAATGGATACTATCAATATGCTTGCTTCACCTCTTGTTTTGACATAAAGAGTAGCTTCACTTTGGCTCTTTGTGAAACCACACTCAGCAAAATAACCATCAATTTCACTATACCAAGCTCTTGGAGCCTGTTTCAAGCCATAGAGAGCTTTGTGCAGCTTGTAAACCTTGCTTTCACTCCCCTTTATCACAAATCCCTCCGGCTGATCTACATACACTTCTTCCTCTAAGACACCATTTAGAAAAGCTGACTTAACATCTAATTGGTACAGCTGCCAACTCTTCTGTGCAGCTAGTGCAATTAGAGTTCGGATTGTGTCTAATCTAGCCACAGGTGCAAACGTTTCATTGTAGTCCACCCCTGGTTTCTGAGAGTATCCTTTAGCTACTAACCTTGCCTTATTTTTCTGAACTGAACCATCCAGATTTAGCTTAGTTTTAAACACCCATTTAACCCCAATCACTGGTTTATCCATATGCCTGTCAACAAGCTCCCATGTATCATTCTTTTCTATCATGTTCAACTCATCTTTCATTGCCTTCATCCATGACTCATCCTTCACAGCTTCTTCAAACTTCTCAGGCTCCATTGTGCACAGATTGCATTGTGCCAAAATATCATCCAACTTCCTCCATTTCAAAGGAGTGTGATCAAAGTTCTGAGTGTCTTCCAATCTGCTGCTTGCCTTGCTTGATCCTCCATAAGAAACTGAGTCTAAAGGTCTGAAACCAGAATTTCTATTTCCTGCAGGTGTCTCAAACACTTCCACTTGAGAATTCCTAGGCTGTTCTTCTTCATTCACCATTATCACAGAATTTTCAGCTGCTTCTTTCCAATTCCAGGTTGCCCCTTCATCAAAAACAACATCTCTTGACAGTATAAGTTTTCTAGTGACAGGATCAAACACCCTATAACCCTTCTCACATGTTGCATATCCAACAAACACTCCCCTTGTGCTTTTGGCATCCAATTTTGTCTATTTTCTTCTGGTTTATGCACAAAACACACACTGCCAAATACCTTCAAATGAGCAACACCTGGTTTTCTTGTGCTATATGCTTCAAAAGGAGTCTTGTCTCTAAGAGCCTTGGTAGGACACCTGTTCAACAGATACACTGCAGTGTGTACCGCTTCTGCCCATAAGTAATAAGGCAACCCCTTTTCATGTAGCATAGCCTTAGCCATCTCCACCACTGTCCTATTCTTCCTTTCTACCACTCCATTCTGCTGGGGTGTGTAAGCCATGGTGAACTGTCTTTGAATTCCTCCATCTTCACACAGTTTATTGAATTCACTAGATGTGAACTCACCCCCTCTATCACTTCGAACACATTTCACTTTGTAACTACTCTGCAACTCCACCATAGACTTGAATTTTCGAAAACAATTTAGTGCATCCGACTTGTATCTCAAGAAGTAGACCCAAGTCATCCTTGTAAAATCGTCTATGAGCAGCATAAAATATTTATTACCTGCCAGGGACTCAGTTTGCATTGGTCCACACAAGTCCATGTGTATTAGCTCAAGGGGTGTACTTGCCCTCCATGCTTGGTTCTTAGGAAACCATTCTCTATGTTGTTTCCCAAACTGACATCCTTCACAGACTCCATCTACAGCTTCCAGATGTGGCAGACCATGCACCATCTCCTTTTCCTTGAGCTGGTTCAGCCCTTTTAAATGTAAATGCCCCATTCTCTTGTGCCAAATCCAGGTAAAGTGAGACACACCAGCTCTTAATGCAACATAGGTATTTGAAGACAAAGACAATGGATAACATCTATTCTTTCTCATTTCCACCTTCATAATAAGGTTTTCCAGTGAAGCATCATCAAAAATACTGCACATATTGCTTCCAAACACCAAATGGTAACCATGTTCATCCATTTGACCCACACTTAACAAGTTCTCTCTCAGACCAGGCAGATACATGACCTCCTTGATAAACTTTGTACCAGAGTTTGTGTCAAGCACTAAAGTGCCCATGCCAGCTATGCTTACAAGCTCCCCTGTTGGCATTTGTACCTTGCCTGTGACACTTGGATTTATGTCAATTAACAGCTCCTTGTTCCCAGTCATATGATTACTGCAGCCACTGTCTACATACCATTCTCCATTTGCACTCTTCTCTGAAATTGCACAATTAGCAAAAAACAGATTTCCTCTAACTTCTACTTGACTTGCATTGTTTGCTTTCTGCACTCCTTTGTTTGCAGTACAATCTCTAGCCCAATGTCCAAATCTATCACACTTATAACACTTAGATTGGCCCTTATATCTACATTCCCCAAAATGGAATTTCGAGCAAACTTTGCATTGAGGCTTCACTCCATCTTGATGCACATATTGTGATCCATTTGAGGTCTGTGCAGCACCAGATTGTTGTGGCTTCTGCCTAGACTCCCATGGTTTATTGTTAGACTTCCAATTCTTCTGAGATTTAGCAGAACCAGTTTGAGAACCATTCTTATTCTGCCCTTTTGTTTCAACTGAGAAAGAACCAAAAGCCTTCTCAGCTGTATCCACATTATGCATATCAAACCGCTGCTCTTGACTCTTCAATATTGCAATAACCTCCTGCAATTCAATAGTCTCCAAACTCTTTGTATTTTCAATCACCAAACAGATAGGATCATAGACTCTACTAAGACTAATTAATACCTTTTGAACCAGCCTCTCGTTTGATAACACTTCTCCAAATGTTTTTATTTGATTTATCAACTCATTCAACCGAGTAAGATATGCAGTTAATTGTTCACCTTCACGCATTCTCATATACTCAAACTCTCTTCTGAGATTCTGAAGTTTCACTGACCTGACTTGATCACCACCGTGATATTCACCATGAAGCAGATTCCACGCCATCTTGGCTGAGTCAGCGTTGGCAATCCGAGGGAAGATCTGGTCAAAAACTGCGTTTTGGATGATGCCCAGAGCCTTCGCGTCCCTCATGAGCACAGCGATCATCTCTGCATCAGGTTCTTCTTCTGATGCCTCTTCAGCCGTTTTCTTCTTCTTCGAATCAGGAGTTGGAATCCCCTTTTCTACCAGACTCCATAGCCCAAGCGATTTGAAAATCGTTGTCATCTTAATCCTCCAGAACTCGTAGTTCTCACCGGAGAAGATCGGGGTTCTTACTTCAGAACTTCCAGATCCAGCCATCTTTTGGTCCGATTCAAGCAATTTCTTCTCAGTTGCTGAGCTGAGCTTCGATTGAGCTCAGTGACCTCACAGATTACGCCCAGATCAAAAGACCCAACCTGGCTCTGAGGCCATGTTAGAGTTTTGAATAGGTTGAGAGAGAAGAAAGAATGCAGAGATAAGAGAGAGCAGAGAATGAATCAATTCGTATGTATTTTCTTCTATTGCACTGTTCTGTCTATTTTTTTTTGAATGAGCACGCTATCTGTGAGCTATATGTCTAGCTGGATACAATTACATCACTTTGTATCTCAGCCCTTCATCTATAACTGCTTAATAAAAACATTACACGTGGCTTATAAACCTTTTACTACTAAAGCCTAACACCAGTCATTTTTATTGACTGAGAGAATACACCATTAGCTGACCAGGCTTAATTCCATTTCCTATCAGCTCACTACTTACATTTCAACAACTGCCACACCAAAGGCAAGCTGTGAAGATCGCTTTTTCCCAAAAATTTCATCTCCTATTGTTCATCATAGATATTAGAATAATTAACGTTACTTATAGATATTAGAATAAATATTCATGAACTGAACGTAGCTACGTTGTTTTGGATTAATAGATGTACATGCAGTTCGACGCTGCAAGAGAAGAGGCACGTAAAGAACGTGTTAATCAAGAGATGAAATTCAAACGGAGGTTGAAAGAGAAAGATAGAGAGATAGCATCCTGGTTATCCGAGAATGTCAACATCTCTCAAAATGAGAAGGATAAGGTAAAGTCACAGATCATGAGAACGGTGAAACACGAACCTGAGGAACTCAGGGGTGGTGACGTGGAGGAGATCCTCTCTATTCTTCCCTCTGAACTTCAAAGCTATCTCAATTCCAATATGATGTGGAAAAAGTTACAGAGAGTAAGTTCCTATTTGATGCATGCTACCTTGCTAATTAGTTTAATTTTCCTCTCATTATCTTTTCTTAAATGCATATATGTATATATCTATTGAATTAATTTACGCAGGTTCCAAAGCTTGACTCACTGGACGAACAAGTACTGAAAGCGATCTGGAAGCATTCTAAGACTGTGAAATATGTTGCAAAGACCGATATTATTAAAGAGAATGGACCGATTGATAAGATGTTCTTCATCATAGAAGGAATTGTAAAGATTGAAAGTAGTAAGGATCCTTCTGCTGCGCAGCTTGAAGCGGGAGGTTTCTTTGGAGAAGAACTTGTAGATTGGGCAACAATTGCTGTATTTCCCAACTTATTACCCTTGTCGACCAGTAGCGCCAAGGCCACCAAAGATGTCAAAGCCCGCGTTCTCCTGGCCAGAGACTTGTGTGATGTAGTCACTCTTTTCCGGGACCAATTCCGTAAGAGGAAGCGCCCCCCACCGGACCTCGTCAGGTTTAACTGCCCACCCCCACCTCACCGGACAGTGTCAGGATTAACTGCCTATAAACCTTGGTAAATCTGCGCCCTACTCTGCACTAATCACATATTGAACCAGCTTATAAATAAATCTTTTTCCTGTTTTTTCTGTTGCATTAATAAAGCACCAAAAATTCTACCGTGTGTAACAAGCAAACGATGGACAAAAGCAACATTATCTGCAGAAATCATAAAGTAGCCTTGTCTACCTAGGTTTTTGTCTCCGCTGAAGAAAGTTAAAGTCACTACTACAATATTTGTTGGCTATATATGATAGCTGAAGCCAACTGGAATTTTTGAGCTGGCAGTGGTTAGTTCAGTTGCTGACCAACGTGTATAGTTAGTTAGTTAGTTAGTTTCTAATATTGTTAGATGGTTAGGCTGTTAAGCAACAGTTTTAGAAGTTCGTTAAGAGCTTAAGAACAAGTGTATAAATACTTTTAAGAAACCTTGTAAAGACTTATAAGGATCACATTATTAGAACTTGAGCGTCTAACCTAAAACTAATTGACAAGATCTTTTAAACGCTATTGCAAAACTTCCATTCCATCCTCCAATTCGGGACACTATCAACATACATGATGCTATTCTCCATTATTATTATTTAGTCAATCCACAATTGCATGTTGCACATGAAATTTCTTGTATATTTCTAGTCACATGATGTAACTAGGACGATGAATGCAGATTACGTTTCCAATCTTATTTGCCTTTTGTCTTCTTTTGTGTACCTAGGATTCGTAAGACGTCTACCAATAGTTTCCTAGTCGCCCACGTTTATTAATGGAAGTCTAAAAAGATATGGTTTTTGACATAATTGCACGATATCAACACTAGAAAATCAAAATCCGGACTCATAGATTTATGACCAAACATTCAAAACATAGTAATTTGACATAGTTTTCGTTAGGAACAAGCCAATCAAGTATCGGCCATCATCATCAGGCTTCGACACTAATTTGGATTTGATTTGGCCCTGCACTGCTGTCGTTTAACTCTGCAGCTGTTATAATCCCACAAGAACCAAAAAATTCATCAAATCCACGTCTAACCTCAAGAAGTTGAGCTTGTGAAGGTGAACCAAGCAAGTTGTCGGTTTTTTTGGGAGATTGAGAAAAATTCAACTTAGCCATTCCCGTAGCAGCTGAATAATGCCATTCCATAAATCGCAACACCTCAAGCTTCGTGGCTACTTCTTTCATGGAAGGCCTTTCGTTTTGTGACCCTAAACAGCGTTTTGCCAGACCAGCAACTTTTTTGGCTGTCCCAAGATTTTCCCCCTTGATTATTTCCCCATCAAGAATTTGATCCAAGCGACTCTCTTCCACCAAGCAAAGAAAGAAGCTTGCAAGGTGTTTGTCTGCCTCAGGCCACTCTTCACAAAACGCCTTTTGGCTTGTTAGTAGCTCCACTAGGACAACGCCAAAGCTAAAGACGTCATTCTTTTCTGACAACGTGTTTGATTGAATACTTTCAGGGTCTAAGTATCCGGATGAGCCTCGCACGGTACCTTCTACAAGAGTACCTTCAAGAACAAATTTTGCCTCTCTGATGTAGGCCAATCTTGCCATGTAATTCTCATCCAATAGTATTCTTTTCGAATTCACGTTTAGATGTATGATTGATGAATTGGAAGTGGAGGAGGAGTGCATGTATGCTAGCGCAGCTGCGATTTCTGCTGCTATCTTCATTCGTAACTCGAATGAGAGTGTTGACTATCCTTCGTTTTTTTTCATGAATGTGCTTGTAAAGAGTGTCATTGTTGATGAAATCGTAAACTAAGATTTGTTGTCTCGAATCTATACAGTAACCTAAGAGCCTCACCACATGCCTGTGGTTGATCCGAGAAAGAAAACTTACGTCTTTAACGAACTTGTTACGGGTAGATTCTTTGGACTTGAACTTCTTTACGGCAACCACTCTCTCATATGGTAGAATTCCTTTATACACTTTTCCATGCTCTCCTGTAGCAATGATTCTGCCATCATCGTAATTGGATGTGGCCTCTTCCATTTCTTCTTCAGTAAACTTTCCGGTTGCTAACTTAACAGATCCATTATATTTAACCAGTTCCTTTTCTAATTGCGCATTTGCAAAGTAATCTTTTATCTGTTTTACATACCCTGATTTTTTCAGGGCTATGCAATGTCTCAAAAGCAGTCCAACCAGCAAAACAAAGAAGCTTATACTGAAACCTTCACTTAATTGAAAACCGGCCACAAACATTTGAGGCTTTTTTTTACAATTTATTTATGTGTTGAGTGTGAAGTAGCTAGTGCATATATACGTACCCAGTGAAATTTTCAGAGGAGTCATGTTCTTTGATGTAATTTCCAGGTAAATTTAGGCACGTTCCAATATTGCCGGTTTTGAAGCCTTGCACTGATCAGCGATATCTGGCAAGAACGCAAAATTACAACCCAGTAATCCCACAAAACTAGCTAGAACTGCCACAATAAGCACCTCTTAGTTCCTCCTAAATAGCAAGAGGAATTAATGGTATCCGTTTAATTTATTAATTACTGCTTAATTAGTTATGAGGAAAGAAAAGCATGCTAACCTGAATAGAGACATATGCAGGGAAGAAGACTGGCATGCATGGCTCATGGCTTCACTGGGAAATGCCTTCTTCTTCTCTCTGTACTTAACTGTCTGCTCCAATGTTTTGTCTATCAGTTATTTCCTTCATATGCAGGGGAACATAGCTCACTTGGTGTAAAATTACAATAATGCACTGCCCTATAAGCCTACTTGGAAATAACATATATCACTAAGCGAAGGATCAAAGTCTTTCTATTTTTTGGTAAAGAGGAGCAAAATCAAGCGCAAGCAGAAAGATAATTAATGGCTCTAATTAGTTCACATGCCCAGTGAGATTAGTCTTTCTTTATTTTGGCAAAAATTTCTCTGAGACTTGAATATTATTAGAGAAAGACTTGAGAGAAGACTTATATAATATTAGAGAAAGACTTAAGAATATTATTAATCACCGCAATTTAAAGATTCATGACTTTTCAATATGAAATCTTCATTTATATTATATTAAGCGTACATGATAAAATATGTAGTCTAATCGCCTACTAGGCCTACAAATGTGTTTACCATACTTCAACTTGAATTGAGTTCTTTCCATGCATGCATAAAAAAATGTGGGTAATCTATTTTCAATGAAACATTGCTTTGTATTGTCTTCCAGAAATTCAGATTCAAATTCAGAAAGCACATCATCAATGATGGAAAGGAGAAAAGAAACAACATATCAAATCCTTTGTGCTGGATGCCGTATAATAGTGGGACTTCTTGTAGCTATTTTTGCTCCTATAACGGGAGCAATAGAGTCGATTTTATTCCTTATGGAATTGCCGTTCTACTGGATTTATCCAAAGTGGAAAAAGATATTTGTAATATCATGTGTGTTTGCTGTTTTACTGGATCCACTGTTCCTCTATATTTCCATCATCAAGGAGGACATGAAGTGCATACAGATGGACAAAAGGTTGAACAAGACGGATTAGCTCTACGATTTGTCACAGATTTGTCTTACTTTGTCGACATTATTTTTCAATGTTATAAATGTGAGAACTTTTCACTTCAGTTGATTATTAATTTCACTTCAGAAACTACTCCAACTTTAAATTCTTATGGAACTTTCTTTTTCCTCCAACAATAGTTCAGATGATTTGGCGTTCATGCATACTAATTGACATTTTAGTTATTCTTCCACTCCCACAGGTAATCTCTCTCTCTCTCTCTCTCTCTCTCTCTCTATATATATATATATATATATATCTTAATTGATTTAATTTTCCTTATGGCAATTTGAATTGACTGCTGGTATTGTCCCCAGGTAGTAATTCTCCTTTTCTTTTCTAAAGGTAGGGGATCTTTGAACACAAAGGAGCTTATGAACTCCCTTGCTCTGTTGCAATACGTGCCACGGGTGCTTCGAATTTACTTCTCATGCAAGGAATTTAAAGAGAGTCCATATGCAAATATTAAAGTATGGATTAAAGGTGTACTCAATTTCTTTATGTACATCCTTGCTAGTCATGTAAGTTTTACTCTCATCATAATCTTTATTAATTATTTTTGTTTGATTTATTGGTAACTTATGTTCTTATATAAATGAACCAACTTGATGAATGACGAAAACTCAATACATCATGACGACAATGAAGAAATTTGACAGATTAATTACCATTTTTTTCACCTTTTTTTAGAAATTTCTTTACAGTTCAATTTAATTAACTGACTTGTTGATTCTTCAGGTAATCGGGGTCTTTTGGTACTTGCTACTATTTTGTTATCTTATTGGAAATTTGCAGGTTGGTGCTAAAAACTTGTCTTTAAGCTTAATCTCCTCGATAATGAACTGAGCCTTAATTAGCTGTTGTTTTGGATTAATAGACATACATGCAGTCAGACGCTGACGCTGCAAGAGTAGCGGCACGCAAGATTAAATTTGAAAAAAAGTTGGACAATAAAGGAACCGAGATAGGAAAATGGTTATCCAATGTCCTCATCCCTGACAGTGAGAAGGATAATTTAAAGTTGGAGATCATGAAAAAGGTCAAGGAAGAACTTGAGCAAGACAAGTATGCCGACGTGGAGAAGATCCTTTCCATTCTTCCATTGGAACTTCGAACATATATCAATTATAGTATGGTGTGGAAAAAGCTCAAGGCAGTAAGTCTCCAGATTTTATCTTCTTTTTTTCCTTTTCATTGTATAGTTAAATTTAAATGTGTTTAATTAATGTATAGGCGCCAAAGCTTCAGTCTATGGATGAAGAAGTGTTAAAAGCAATGTCCAAGCATTTGACACTTAAGAAATATGTTGCAAATAGCTACATCATAAAAGAGAATGAACCATTGGAATGATGTTGTTGATCGTGGACGGAGTTGTAAAGGTTGAAGGTAGCAGTAGCAGCAATGAAGTTTCTAGTAGGTTGCTTGAAACAGGGCATTTCTATGGAGAAGAACTTCTGGATCGGGTAAAGGTTTCTTTGTTTCCTTCCTTGTTACCCCTTTCGACCAGTGCCGCCGTTCTGGCCGTCAATGATGTGGAAGCCCGCCTTCTCATGGCCAGCGACTTGTGTGCGGTAGCCGCTTTTTACTGTGAGCATTTCAGTGAGAGCACTTTCAGCCCCCCACCAGTTGATGTTCGGTTCAACAGCCTAGGTCTTGCTAATGTGCCATATGAATCTACACTACATATTCAAGGGTAGCTGAATCAATGTTTTCAAAGGCGAGGCGTATAGGCGAGGCATTTTTAGTAGTGCTATGCGAGGCGTAAGCCTTAAAGCATTGAAGCGTAAGCCTTTTGAACATTAATTTATTTTAATAACAAAAATTTATAAATAATACAACACAACTAAATTATAGTACTAATTCGTATTTTTGAAAATTATTTATTCAACATAAATAAAAAAACTCAATTCATTCATCCCACCCCACTGAGGCAAAAGAGTTTAATAGAAACTTTATAAAACTAGGGAGAAGAGGAACAAAAAAGTGGACAAGAATATCGGGTAAGGGTTATATCTTATTCGGCCAGGTTATCCATCAGGTCCAACTTGGGTATAATATTAATGTTGTAGTATATAATATATATAGGTCCAGGTTATAGTTGGGGAGTCAAAACGTGCGTTTAACTTAAAATCAAGAAACCAAAACCTTAAAACGAAGTCGTTTCATTGAAGAAAACCTAAAAAAAAAACTTCATCTTCTTCATCGTGCTATAGGCTTACAGAACGCAAAAATAGCGGCGCCGTTCTGCCTCGCTCCGCCTCATCACGCCTTGATGCGCCTCACTTCGCTAAACGTGCAGCAAGCTAAACAGACGAACGCTTGAGGCGATTTCCATTCGCCTCTCTCCGACGTGCGCACTGGGGCGCGATTAGGCATGCCTTTGAAAACACTGAGCTGAATAACAACATTTTTGGGATCATTTCTTAAAAATTACTTATGAGCATAGGCGCTTTTATTAGTACATGATTATGTGCTTCATGAAAGAATAGTTAGCATGTGCTTCTCCAAAAGCACTTTTAAATTTTCTGCAAAAAAGCTTTCAAATTTTATTTTTGATTGTCTAAAAGCATTTTTAGGCATTTCAAAAGCAGTTATAAACAAATCATATATAAAGGATTTGAACTTTCATAAGAAAAGATGTATATATGCAGAATTACACATTTAACAGTTATATTGTCTAGTTGTTGACCAAAATATATATTCTACAGTTTTATATTGAATTTATTTTATAAAAATCCAAATAGCTTTTCTATATTGAAAAATCATGTTGATGATGTTCAAATGGCAAGTTGTGTTTAGCCTTTCTTCCGTTGTTATTTTCAAGCTGTACGTCACTGACTCACTGTGTTGGCCCGGTATAATATTATCTTCCACATCTGAATCCTGATAGGACTAATAATTGGCTGGTTTGACATAGCAATGGTCCAGTGGATAAGACAATAAAGGTCGGTGAGTCGTATGGTATTCCAAACATGTTACTATTGTAATTGTTCTGACAGCACTTCATTTTGGGGAAAAACTTGTATATCACGAAAATAACATCATATGTTATATCACGTTTCATTATATGTGATAATTTTTTCACATAACATAACGTGATTGATTATATATAACAAAACAATGTTATTCATATGATATACAAGTTCTTTTCCATCTTTAGATCAATATATGAGTAATTGCCCAAAATAATGTAGTAAAATTGATTTCAAAATGAAAGCCTAGAAGTTTGTTTTGTGTTTCTAGGATGCCTTGATATTCATATCTCTCATCCGCCAGTTAGGAGTTTTAATTTAAAGTCTATAAGGGGCAACGCTAGCTAGCAGTTTTCTCTCAAATCTTCTCTTTTGGATCTCTCTTTTCCTCATGACATGTGTCATTTTCTTTATACTTAAAACAATATAATTAATGTATCAAATAAATTAACATTTTATCTTCCAAATTTACCCTTACTAAATATTTGCCCTTACAAGTCTACCCTTATATTAGGGCACCAATTCATTTTTCCTTTTCTTCTGTCGGATATGTATACATTTTTTTTTTTTTAAACGAAATCGTCAGAATGTATACAATACGATAATGGCAGAGCACCAATTCCAAGCCCAGTATTAAAAAGTTGTTTTTTAATTAATTATGACAAAACTTTCCACCCACCCACCGAGTTTCTTTCTCCACCCTGTAAAAAGCCTCCTAGTTCCTGTTATTAGTTGATAGTACCGTGCATACAATTGGACAAATATTTGTTGCCAAAAAACACAGAAAGGAATTCACTTTTATCGATAATTCTCTTCAAGAGGATGCTTTTGCATAGATAGGGGGCCGGGCCTAAATTAAAACCAAACCCTTCTTTGTTTGAGCTTCTCCAACGCACACAGACCGGAAGATCTCAGTCGTAACCGGAAAAGTCGGAATTATGTCCAACTCCGAAATAGCTTTAGTTGTGAAGAACACTGAAGAGAAAGCCGCTGCACGGTTTGGTTTCTTCAACTTCAAACACTAGACTTATATCTGTGGTATCTGCTCAAAATAATACATTAATACATAGTAAAAATAAATTAATTGAAGCAAGTTTGTTTGTTGTCTTTTGTTTTCTCCAGTAATCGTGATTCAAACTCAGAGGCTACAGTGGAAATTTCAAGCATGAAAAATGAAGATGGATCGAGTAGAAAATTGTCACCACCCAAAGAGGAAAGTCATGATCCTCAGGAGTCTTTCTTTCAAAAGTGGAAGAAGATATTTGTAGCATCATGTGTGTTTGCTCTTCTGCTGGATCCATTGTTTCTCTACGTTCCTATGCTCAAGGATGATGTCAAGTGCCTGCAATCAGACAGAAACTTGAAGATAGCAGCTCTTCTTTTAAGATCATTCACTGATCTTTTCTATATATTTGACATTATTTTTCAAATCTATAGATCTGATTACTTTGCAGGTTTAATGAATGAATATCGTCGCAGACAGTACTTCAACTACTCAAAAATAAAATTTTGTTGCGAGCATGTTGTGCCAACAATAGCTAAGACAATCTGGGGGTCATATCATATCTTAATTGATATTTTGGCTATTCTTCCGCTTCCTCAGGTAAGAGAAGGCCTTTGTTTTTTTGTTTTTTTGTTTTTTTGTTTTTTTTTGGACGGAAGAGAAAGCCTTTGTTAATTTACCATGTGCATGCTTGGCACGTGACATTTTTGACAGAAAATTAGATAGAGTTTTAAAATTCTATTTTCAAAAAATTGATGTCTTTAATTTACCGAAAATCATTATCTTAGTTAATGATTCACTACTTTAGTCGTGATACTTAGATTTTAACTATTTGTATTATTAATGTATGTTGTCCAGGTAGCAATTCTCATTTTCTTTTCAGAAATGAGGGACTTGAGATCTTTGAACACAATAAGGATGGTTATTATGAACCTTTTTGTTTTGTTGCAATATGTGCCACGAATTCTTCGCATCTACTTATCATGTAAAGAACTTAAAAGGACTCCAAAAAAAGAGACTGGAGAGACTGCCAAATGGGTTAAAGGTGTCTTGAATTTCTTTATGTACATCATCGCTAGTCATGTAAGTTTCAATATTTTGACGTAGTTTATTTTAATTTCTTAATAACACTTGCTTGCTTGATTTAGATAAATAAAATGCTTACGTGGTATTTTTTGGTTGGATTCCTTGCTAAAAGTCTTAAATCAATATTAATCAACCTTTATGAAGGGTAAATATAATGAACAATGGGGCAATAACGTAGGCACATACTACATATTCTTGACTTATATTTTGCAAAAACAAGAATGTTTCATAAAATTAAGTTCTTTCAAGTTAGTGTATGTTTTCTTCCTTTCTTTTTGTTACAAGGGAGGACTCAAACTCTAGTCTTAGGCGTAAATATTATCTACCACTACGGCGTAGAAACCTTTCCAATTCTTAGTCTATGTTTAAAGATGAAGATAAGTTGAGCAAGTAAGGATCACATGTTAGTCGTGAGAATCTAATGTTGTGACGCGAGTCCTCTCAAATTTAACAACATTTATTCATTACTTTTTGATTATTTTTTTTAACTTGTAAACATTATTTAATTTCGTTGCTCGAGTTTTTTTTTTCTTTATATTTTGTAATTCTAATTAATTTACATGATATTCTTTAGATATTTGGTGCCATATGGTACTTTTTGGCTATTCAAAAAATGGCCACTTGTTGGCAAGATGCATGTCGAAAAGCAAATGGATGTGACACTAGTAACTTTGGATGTCATGACCATCACACATTCAGAAATATAACATTTCTAAATGATTTGTGCCCTATAAGTCTGGTGAATACAACGCTCTTCGATTTTGGTATATATATTACAATCCTTCAATCTGGTATACCGGGGTCAACAAATTATTTTGAGAAGTTCTCCAAGTGCTTTTGGTGGGGCCTGCAAAATTTGAGGTTTGTATATTTTTATGTGTTGTTCGTTTGGTCGGAGATTGATTTGCTTATTTTTATGTGTTGTTTGTAGATTGATTTGGCAAATGACTATTTGATTTAGAGGCATTTAGTCTCCGCTTACTTTATCGGAGAAGGTTCTTGAATTTAAATCTCAAGGATGATAAAATTTGTTGAATGAAAAGCAAAATTTCAATTTTGTATTTTATATATATATATATATATATATATTTCATAATGTCAATTCTGCAGTTCTTTTGGTTCAAACCTTGCGCCTAGTATCAATGGATGGGAAACCCTCTTCGCGGCTTGCACTTCTATTATTGGCTTGCTTTTATTCTTATATCTCATTGGAAATTTGCAGGTTAGGCATACATGGAATTCTTTGCGGCTAAATTTATTTTGATAACTAATTCCTAGCTAATGACTGAGCTGCTTGTTGTGGCATATATAGGCATACATGCAGTTTGATACCACAAGAATAGAGGCCCATAGACACAAGATGAAAGTGAAACGGAAGATGAAAGAGAAAGGTCAAGAGATAGAGCCGTGGTTATTGGGCATCCCCGAAAGGTTGAACAAGGATATTAAATTGCAGATCATGGACAAGGTTCGACAAGAACTTGAAGAAGACAGGGATGCTGATTTGGACTTTATCCTCTCTACTTTTCCCTCGGAGCTTCGAAACCAAATTAAAAGTTATATGCCTATCACTAGGTTGAAGCAAGTAAGTTCCTCCAGATCCATGACTCTAATTAGTTAGTAGCCTTTCCATATATATAATCTCACAACTTCAATTCTTTTGAATTAATTAATGGGGTTTTACCATAAAAGGACAAATGGGAAGACAAAATATTAAAATAGTCCAGCCCCTCTAAAATTAGACAAACTGGTCAAGTCAATATATTTCATATCGCTGTTGAACGGTAGCTGGACTAGTTTGTCCAATTTTAGAGAGACTGGATTATTTTAACATTTTATCTTCTAAGAATGACCTTTTTAACAATTTTTGAAATAATTCTCATTCATCCTAGAACTGACTTTTTTTAGGGGGACTAATAATTATGTAGAAGATTTTTAATTTCTCTCCTCAATAATATATTTATTAATTAATTCTAAGGTGCCAATATTTCAAGACATGGATGAAAGCGTGTTGAAAGCAATCTGTCAGTATCTTAAGCCAAAGAAGTACACTAAAAACGATATCATTACAAAAGAGGGTGAACCACTTAAAATGATGCTCTACATTGTGGACGGATTTGTAAACATTGAAGAGAGAGATGGTTCTAATAACTTGCAACGAGGTGCAGGAGAAGTATATGGAGAAGAACTTCTAAGTTGGCCATTGTCGAACTCATTTCCCGTGGAATTACCGTCAGCAACGTTGTCTGCTACGGCAGTAGGTGATGTTGTAGCCCTTGCTCTCACTTATAGCAACTTAAAGAATGTGGTCTTTGAATTCGGAAGGCAATATTTCTTTGGGATGATTACATGTCAAAAATTTAGTGCAAAAGTAGTTGAAAAGGCAACAAACACTTACGACGTAAGTAAAATCATCAGAAAAGGAATCTCTACAAGCGTTTACAAAGGGGTGCTGCCAGATAAAACAGTGGTTGAGGTAAAGACATACAGAGTAAATTGTTCCTATGATGATTATCCATATTTGGTTAAACTGGTGGCTGTTGCTTCTCGTACCAACCACATAAATTTGGTGAGGCTCTTGGGTTGTTGTTTGGAAAAAAAAACAATTGCACTGGTTTCTGAGCACATTCCGAATGGCACTCTTTTTGAACACATTCATGGAAAAGAAGGCAAAGTATCATCACCACTTTCATTGGAGTTACGAATGAAGATAGCATCAGAAACCGCAGGAGCCCTAGCTTACTTACGCTCATTAACTACCACGCCAATCTTACCCTCTTTTGTGTCGACAAGTAGTATACTTTTGGATGATAATTGCACTGCAAAGTTGTGCAGGTTTGGACTTAGATTTGTGCCCAACAATAGCAACAATAGCCGGTTTTCATTGTTATCTATAAGGCGAGGATGCTTCGACCCTGAATCAAAGACACTAATTGAAAAGCTTGACGTCTATGGCATTGGAGTTGTCCTAGCGGAGCTACTAACCGGTCCGAATGCAATTTCTTCAATCGGGAAGCGTGACTTGGAGAAGCTGAAAATCTTATTTCTATTTCTAGTAGAAGAGGATCGCTTGAATGAAATTCTCGATGGTAAAATAATAGTGAAGGAAGGAGATTTTGAGACAGCCAAAAAAGTGGCCCATCTGGCAACAAGATGTTTAAGGTATGAGGAGGAGGAAATGCCTTCCATGAAAGAAGTAGTCGCGGAGCTTGAGGGAATATTGCGCAATCTTAGGGCAGAGCAAGGTGGAGAAGCTAGCTTCTCTTGATCTCCCAAAAAGGAAACAACCACAAAAAACAAAAAAAAAAAAAAAAAAAAAAAAAAAAAAAAAAAAAAAAAAAAAGAAGGTACATTTGTTAGTTATAGATGAAACAACATTGGTCTGTAAATCAAACAATATTTTTTAGAATTTTGAATGTTTGACTATTTGAGACATTACCTTTGTGTGTATATATATATTATATTATATTAAGTTTTTTCTATGAACATTCCAACTAAAAATAGGTCCATCACGTGGGTGCTCGGCTTTCTCGTGGGGCTCGCTTGGGTTTTGATTTTTTTCGTCAATGGGCTTGAAACTTAGGTGCCGCAAAACAGGTCCATTGGACATGGTTTTTAGGCTCCGGTGTGTAAGTGCCAAGTCCGTGATGGTTGTTGAGGTCAATAAATTGTTTTAAAATAAACGTCCCTAGATCAATTTCCAAAATAATGAAGTAAAATTCGTAACCAACATAAACAAAAATTGAAGTAAAATTGCTTTTAAAATGAAAGTCAAAAAATTTGTTTGAATTTTCAAATGCAATTGCAATTATGAAGTTTTAGTCAAATAACAATTGCATGCATGCGTAGGGTTTTTTTTTTTTTTTTTTTTTTTTTTTTTTTTTTTTTTTTTTTTTTTTTGTTAAGGTTTAAGGTTTAGTTATTACAAATTTTCTGGTCTTTCATTGTGTTTTTAGGATCACTAGTGAGAAGCTAATGGGGTCTAACTCAGTGAGAAATGACCTTAATCTGCAGATAAGAAGTCTTAGATTCGAATCCCCATGACATCTTGGTTGTGTGTGTGAGACACTTTCCTCCTATATAGTTTAGACTATCACTCATACTAAAAAAAGAATTACTAGTGGGAAGAGTTTTTAAACTTAACTTGATAATAAACTAATTTGCTTTGGTCATTAACGACTAGGTCAATTGTCAACGCACTAACTTGACCTTTTCTTCTACTTCTTCTTCTGTTTTTTTATTTTTTCGACAAGCCTAGTGCTGAATTCAGTTCTATAAATTTCAAAGGGGATTTGCTACATCATTAATGCAAATTGTGCAGCGTTGTAGCTGCAAGATTATTAAGAGTGTCTGCACACACACACACAAAAAAGTCCAAAATGTTGGTGAGTTCTTACTTAGTTAGGATTTTAGTTCATTACTATGTTAGGATTTTAGTTACTTACCATTTATCTAGTCATATTATAATTAAGATTTATTTCCTATTATAATTTATATTTATTTTCTATTATAATTTAGATATATTTTCTATTGAATTTTTTCCCCTACTTTGTTTGACTCAAAATATGTCTAACTCCGAAATAGCTTTAGTTGTGGAGAACGGGGAAGAGAAATCTGAAGCAACTCTTCTTGCAGAGAACTCGAAAAAGAAAGTTGGAAGGTTAATTAGTTTCTTTAAATTTAACAGCATTTTTATTTTATTTTTTATTTTTTAAAATAAAATAAAAGGCGCCACCAATTTTGCATATTAATTTGTTATTTCTTCTTTTCTAAATACTTGACATTATTATTCAAATTTATACATCTGATGATGTTCAAATGGCAAGTTGTTTTTAGCTTTTCCCTGTATTTAACTTATTTTCAAGCTGTATGTCACTATGTTGGACCGGTATAATATATCTGATAGGACAAAACTAGCTTTTATAATAATTGGCTGGTCGGAGATAGCAGTGGATAAGATAAAGCTTTGGAATGAATGCCCCTTATAATTCTACCACCTTCAGTTTCAGCCTTGTCCAAATTCCCCCTCTTTCTTAATCTCCCTTGTAGAAAGTTTTAATTAAATAGCAATTTGCGTGTTACACGTGAGCTCTATTCTTTTTGTTTTTTTAATGGTCATCTGGGTCAGCAACCAGAAGATTATATATTCCCGGAATCTTTTATTTAAAATTTTTTTTTTCTGGAGGTCATTTTAGCCACAATTATTGTTCACGGTGAAGTCGCCCCTGATTCACTACACTATAGTAGGAGGGAAGACAAAAAAAGACTAGGGGATAAGGTTGATCATATGTCAACATTAAGTCACAGATTATTTTATATAGCAAATAATTTTTGATCTAGACTCTAGTAAGGAGTTCATCGCATCTACTTATCATTTAAGGAATTTAAAAGGATTTCTAAAGGAGAGACTGGAAAGATTGCCATATGAGTTAAATGTTTTCTGAATTTATTTATGTACTTCCTCACTAGTCATGTAAGTAGAAATATTTAATCTTGATGAATGACATTATTTGGTAAAAGACTAGGTTCTTAACTCAATCAGCCTTGATAAATGGCAAATGTACATGGGGCAAAATTATCCATATCACAATAGAGTAGGCATATATACTAAATATTCTTGAGTTATGTTTTTGAAATACAAGAAATGAAATATTCTTTGTATTTTCATCATCATCTCTAAGTCTAATCTAATTATCTAATTTGTTATTATTTAGGTATTTGGAGCCATATGGTATTTATTTTCTGTTCAACAAATGGCCATTTATTTTTATGACGCATATGTCGAAAAGAAAATGGATGTGGAAATAGTACTTTTGGCTGTAATGAGCATCACACATTCAGAAATATCAAATTTCTTAATGATTTTTGCCCTATAAGTCCAATGAATACATCGCTCTTTGATTTTGGTATATATATAGTACAATCCTTCGATCTAGTATACCCATCTGGCAACAAGATGTTTAAGGTATGAAGAGGAGGAAATGCCTTCCATGAAAGAAGCAGTTCTTGTGGAGCTTTGAGGAATTGAGCAAATTTATTGCAGAGTATCAAAGTGGAGAAGCTAGTTTCTCTTGATCAAACCACCTTGTAACCAGAAAAAAACCAAACCAAACAAAAAACAAAAAACAAGGTACGTACATTTGTTAGTTAAAGACGACTAACTATATACAGTAATTGCCTTTTCATGGTTGCATCAGATTCTTATGAACTGCATAACCACCAAGGATTTATTCACATAATACTTGAAAATTCACTACTCCCACCAAGGATTTAATTCAAAGGACTTTCATAGATTAGGCGCAGACCAAAACGCAAGCAGTAAAAAGTCAAGGAAGGATCTCATGATCATAAACCTGTAACAGCAAGCTCATGATTATTTGCAAAACTGTTTATAAGATGGATTAAAAAAAACAAAGGATGATGCTAGAGGCACCAACTCTCTAATAGAGGTGGGGCCCGCCAATACACCGGGGCCCACGCTCTATTAGAGAGTTGGTGCCCAAAGTTGATACCCAAAGTTGGTGCCTCTAGCATTTTCCAAAAAAAAAAGTGTTTAAATTTGAGTGAAATGAATTGGTGGTGTGAAATTTGAGTGAAATAAGTTGGGTATTTATAAGGAAAAAAGTGTCTAAATTAAAAGAAATAAAAAAAAGGAGCCGTTGATTTGCAAAACAAACAAAAGAGCTTTCTTCATGGCGGTTGATATCAATAACAATAGGCGTGTACACAATCCGGATTAAATTAGTTTCACTTCAAAATCTCAACCGAATTAATTACAATATAACGATTTGGTTCGGTTTGATTTTGACAAAAATCATGAAGGAAATCGGACCAAATCAAACCAATTTAAGACGGTTTGGTTTTGTTGGATTGGGCTTAAGCCCAATTCTCCTTCTTGTTGCATTTTTTCAACATTATTAGCCTAATCATTTTCTAGAGTATGAAACCATCCTAAAGCTCAACATGTCATAAAACTTCAAATTTCAATAACTAATATAGCTCATTTCAAATATCCATATATAGTTATTACATAATTAAAGATTTATACATGTAAAACAAAGCATAAATATATACATAAATGGTCCGGTTTGATTTAGGTCGGTTTATAAAAGCTCAAAATCAAACTAAACTAAAACATATACGGCATGATTCGATTTTTAAACTGTTTTGACTTCTTTTTTAAAATCAAAACCAAACCAAAACGATAATTAAAATTTGAATGGACCGATTTCATCAATTCTGCCAGATTGAATTTTTTATTTTGGAATGGAAGAAGTCTTTGCTAGGCTTTCTCTTGAGGCTTGCTTGGGTTTTATGAGCTTCAAGCATTAGAGCCCAAAACAGCTCCATTGGGGATGGTTTTGTGGCTTCAGTTTGTTAATGTATGGTTTTACTATTTTCTTTTGGCTTCCCTTGACAACTTTGTAATAGGATGTGTAATGTAATTTATCAAGCTCAAGTCTAGATTAGAGAAAACTTTTATTGGTGCTCTTCTCTAATCTCTGCTCTATGGTGGCTCAAGCAAGTTGACAAAGGTATTGAGCATTGCATATCATTACATAAAACAACCTTCATAAAATGATGAGTAGTCATCCGTTTCTCATATGACTAGTCATCCTTGCTTCCAGCTGGATAACAAACTGTTTTGTCCTATTCTTCTTTCTCTCTCTCTGCTGCCAAGTGGGTTTTCTGACCTAAGGAATTCGTTGGTCTGTATAGCCCATGATATTTCTCATTTGGCTGTTGTCTCTTTTGTGTGGAAGTTTTGGAAAGTTTGGCTTGCCATCTTTCGCTTCTTCTTCCTCGAGAGAACCATCTTATTTCATCTATGAGTTTTTCCAATTGATTTCTTTTTGAAAAACTGCATTTGAAACACAAATTTGCATCTAGCTACTTAAATCATTCTATCATTTATATCTAGGTCAGATTCAAGATTGATTTCTTCAAGAGTATGGTTTCTTGAAGAAATTGGTCTTTCTCCTTTGAATCCAAATTGGTTTCGGTTTGTGTTGGAGCTTGCAAGCTAGTGCCATGGGATGAACGAGCTGGAGAAGGAGCTGTCATTGCCATGAAGGACTGAGCTTCAAGCTTTGTTAAGTTGGAGAAGAAGATTGCACAAAGGAGGTATTGCTCATATTCCTAAATAGACCTAGGTGCTTCTTGAGCTTGGTTGTGTTTCTTTTGTAAGAATCTTTTTCTACTTAGTGGAATGCCTGGTCGGTTGATGACTCCCAGTTTTTCCCAATGGTGAGTTTCTGGGTGAACAAAATCTGTTTTGCATATTTGTAATTTTTCTGGGTTTGTGTTCTTGGTGGTTGACTAGTCATCTGTATCTGCTGTTTGATGTTTACATGATAATGATGATTTCACACACTTTCACCATAGTTGTTGCTAGCACAGGGGATGCCTAGATTGACGGGTCCTTCTGAGTGCCTAGGTTGTCACTAGTAATTCTTCTAGGATTGCAGGTACATTGTGGCATGCTCTGTGTATTCTATTGGTTGTGATTGTTTCTTGACTAGTAGTTGACTAGTCATATGTGTATTTGGTCAAAGTTTAAAGTGTGTGAAGATTGCTGTGTTGTTGTGTCTTGTTTGTGTGATTAAGTTTACCCCTCGTCACCTAAGTACCAATTTCACAGTTTGTAATTGTTGCAGCCCCATGAATGATAGGGTTTAGGGTTGTTGAGCTTGATTCCAGTGGAATAAATAAACCCATGCTCGTGTCCTTTATGGGTGATAATGATATAGTGCTTCTCATCTAAGTCTTCGATATTTTTTTTTAAATATAAGCAATAGTCTAAATTATAGTGGAGAAAGATTTCTCACACACATATAACTGATGTTTTAGAGATTCGAACCTCAAATCTTTAGTTTGTAAGTCAATGCTCTTTTAACTAGGCAAGATTCCATTAACAAGTCCTCGGCATTTAAAATTTAAAAATAAAAAATAAAAAATGAACGCAATAAAAACAAAGGAAATAATTAAATAATTAAATCCAATTATGCACATCAAATGGGGTCGTAGTGTCAACAAAGTAGTCGTCATTTTATTATTTGCTTTTTACCATCAAATAATAGAGACGACCGGATGTTGACTCATGACTAACAGGCTTTCATTTTCAAGCCTCAATTATTTTAAAGCTGTATGTCACTATATCAAATAATAGAGACGACCGGGTCGATATTTTAATAAAGTAGGCACGTACTGCATATTCTTCACCTATATTTGCAAAAACAAGAATGTATCATATCATTAAGTTCTTTCAAGTTAGGTATGTTTTCCATTTCTTTTTGTTACAGGGGAGGATTCAAACTCTAGTCTTAGGTGTAAATATTATGTACCACTTTGGGTAGAAAAAACCCTTACATCTATTTTTCAAAGATGAAGATAAGGATCACGTGCTAAATAATTTTTATTCTTTATTTCCATAATTCTGATTAATTAACTTGATATTCTTTAGGTACTTGGTGCCGTGTGGTGCTTTTTTTCTGTTCAACGTATGGCCACTTGTTAGCATAATGCATGTCGCAAAGCAAATGGATGTAACACCAGTACTTTTGGATGTCATGACCATCACACAGATAGAAATATTACATTTCTAAATTATTTATGCCCTATAAGTCCAGTGAATACAACGCTCTTTGATTTTGGTATATATATTACAATCCTTCAATCTGGTCTAATGGGATAAACAAATTATTTTCAAAAGTTCTCAAATTGCTTTGGTGGTGGGGACTGCGAAATTTGTATTTGTTTTTTTTTTTTTTTTTTTTTTTTTTTTTTTTGTTTTTTTGTTCGGAAATCGATTTGCTTAATTTGTTGGAGAGTAATATAAATTCAATCTCACACATCCAGACCTAAAGAAAAGTTCAATTTTGTATCTAATATATTTCGCCATTTCATTTTTCCAGTTCTCTTGGTTCAAATCTTGAGCCTAGCGTGGATGGATGGGAGAACCTCTTTGCAGCGTTCATCTCTATAATTGGATTGCTTTTATTCTTATATCTCATTGGAAATTTGCAGGTTTTTACTCTTTTTTTAATTATTTATTTGCAAGTTAATACCTTTTTTCACTGAGCAAGATCCCATTAACAAATTCTCGACATTTAAAAATAAAAAATAAAAACCAAATGAACGCAAATGGAGTGGTAGTGTCAACAAAGTAGTCGTCATATTATTATTTGCTTTAAAAAAGTTCAGTGTCAATCACTTCACTTATGCATGGAATTTTACCATCAAATAATAGAGACGACCGGATGTTGACTCATGAGCCCACCCCGACCCATACCAGTCTTTCCGTAACAGGCTTTCATTTTCAAGCCTCAATTATTTTCAAGCGGTATATATTAAATTTATCCAATAGAACAAAACTAGTAAATTTTTTTTTTTTTGAGTCCCAATTTCCATTAATTGTTTGGGCTGAGATAGCAATGGATATTAAGATAAAGGAATGTTTTTTGTGTACAGTGGCCCTTTGATGTAGTACATGACAGGACAGGTTTCGGATTCTCCCTTGAAACTCTACCTGAGAGGTCCCGAATTTTCCTTTAGAACTCGTGACGACCCTGTTCACTTAACTAAAAGCCATTTTGGCCCTAATTTAAATTGATAGGTAATTTGAATTTTATCGAAATTTCGGCAGAATTTCTACTGTAATTAGAACTTTTTTCACATTTTTAACCTGCAGAAAAATAATAAAATAATATCCCAAAAAATCACATAATAGGCGAAATTCCAGTTCACCCATCATCTCGCGTATCCAAATATACTATAGTGCTCAAAATGACGTGGGGATAGCCGCCACCAACAACAGTGGGTGTCTTGAGAAATTTCCAACGACGGAAAATCTCAACAACTCCGAGCAAGAAGACCTATACCAACACAATTAGACTAATAAGATGAGCAATTTCTGGTCTCGAACTTCGGCCAAAAAGTTGCTAGAGTGGCCTGAAAAACCAACAAATTGTCGGCCTCCTAGAGTTATCTAGCTCAATCTCTAACAGTCAGTCTTTCCCTTGTTCCACATTTTCCAAGCTAGGCCATTATTATCAAGCTGTATGTCACTACGTTGGCCAGATATCCCAATATATTATGTTCTACACCTTTTTCATATTAAGTTTATCTAATAGAACAAAAGTAGCTTTTCTAGTAAATAAATGTTTGGTTTGAGACTGCAGTGCATAACTGTTCTGACGGCAAGTCGTTTTTGGGTCCAAATTACTAATGATGGGATTCTCCAAAATAATGTGACTAATTGATTTCAAAATGAAAGCCTAGAACTTAGTTTTATGCTTCTAGGATGTGACTAAAGTTAATCGGCTTACTGAGAAGAACGAAAATATTAGAAAAATACTTGGGGACGAAGACTACAAGTCTACATAGGTCAATTCTTTTTCTTTTTCTTTTTCTTTTTCTTTTTCGTTTTTTTGTTCTATATATGTCAATTCTGAACTTTAGATTTGTTTCCACCTACAGCCAGATTTATTTCTGCCACTCTTGGCCTTGTCCAAATTCCACCCTTTCTTGCTCCGCCAAAGCGGATGTAACTTTAGTTGTGGAGAAGTCGGAAGACAAAGCTGCTGAGCGGTTTGGTTTCTTTAACTTAAAACTATTTATATGCATTTTCTGTGGTGGCTGCTTCACTAATTTGTGGGATATCTTAGATTTATATGTTGCTTTTGGGGGAACTTAATTTTTCGGTCTTCTTTATACAATTAATTAACTGCTGTTTTCATGTCAAATGAGCTCAGTCTACAAGAGTTTCCCAATTTTACACTAATTTGTTGTTTTATTTATTTATTTTCCTCCAGTAATCGTTATTCAAACACAGAGGCGACAATGGAAAATCCAATCATGAAAGATGAAGATGCATCGAGTAGAATTCGGGAGTCTTTCCGTCAAATGTGGAGGAAGATATTTGTAGCATCATGTCTGCTTGCTGTTTTATTGGATCCATTGTTTCTCTACGTTCCTATGATGAAGAATGATATCAAGTGCCTGCTGTCTGACAGAAACTTGAAGATCGCCGCTCTTCTTTTAAGATCACTCACCGATCTTTTCTATATATTGGACATTATTTTTCAAATTTATACATCTGACAAGTATTCGCGACCCATGAATGTATATCATGAAACGCGAATGTACTGGCCGACCATAAGTATTCGGAGTAGAGATGGTGTGCCAACAATAGCTAAGATAATCTTGGGGTCATACAGTGTCTTAATTGACATTTTGGCCATTCTTCCGCTTCCACAGGTAACAAAAACTAATCGTTTGTTTTACGTACCAATCTCCCTTTTCTGTTTTCATCCAAAAACATCTGCATATCTTAATTGATGATTCACCATTTTACTCATGATAATTTAATTTTAACTGATTGTATTATTAATGTATGCTGTTCAGGTAGCAATTCTCATTTTCTTTTCAGAAATGAGCGACTTGAGATCTTTGACGAGAATAAGGATGGTTACCATGAACCTTTTTGTTTTATTGCAATATGTGCCACGAGCTCTTCGCATCTACTTATCATGTAAGGAACTTAAAAGGACTCCTAAAAAAGACATTGGAGAGACTGCCAAATGGGTTAAAGGTGTCTTGAATTTCTTTATGTACATCCTTTCTAGTTATGTAAGTTTCAAAATTTTATCATAATTTATTTTAATTTCATAACACTTGCTTGCTTGCATTAGTTAGACAAATAAAAGGAGAATAATGTAGAGCATTGTTTGGTTGGAATTCTTGCTAAGTCTGATGAACATGGTTACATGGGGTCGATATTTTAATAAAGTAGGCACATATTCTTCACTTATATTTGCAAAAACAAGAATGTATCATAACATTAAGTTCTTTCAAGGTAGGTATGTTTTCCATTTCTTTTTGTTACAGGGGAGGATTCAAACTCTAGTCTTAGGTGTAAATATTATATGTACCACTTTGGGTAGAAACCCTTGCATCTATGTTTAAAGATAAATGTTATTTAATTTCCATAATTCTAATTAATTAACTTGATATTCTTCAGGTACTTGGTGCCATATGCTACTTTTTCGCTATTCAACGTATGGCCACTTGTTGGCATAATGTATGTCGCAAAGCAAATGGATGTAACACCAGTACTTTTGGATGTCATGACCATCACACAGATAGAAATATTACATTTCTAAATGATTTATGCCCTATAAGTCCAATGAATACAACGCTCTTTGATTTTGGTATATATATTACAGTCCTTCAATCTGGTATAATGGGATCAACAAATTATTTTCAAAAGTTCTCAAATTGCTTTTGGTGGGGACTGCGAAATTTGAGGTTTGTATATTATTTGCTTAATTTGTTGGAGAGTAATATAAATTCAATCACACACATCCAGACCTAAAGAAAAGTTCACTTTTGTATCTAATATATTTCACCATTTCATTTTTCCAGTTCTCTTGGTTCAAATCTTGAGCCTAGCGTGGATGGATGGGAGAACCTCTTTGCAGCGTTCATCTCTATAATTGGATTGCTTTTATTCTTGTATCTCATTGGAAATTTGCAGGTTTTTACTCTCTTTTCTTTTTTGGGTCTGATATTCTATTTCTATATGCATATTGTTGGCTTTTTTTTCTTTCTAAAGCTTGGGTTGGCTTTTGATTGGGAAAGATAAATAAGTAATTCCTAGTTAATGACTGAGCTACTTGTGTTGGCATATATAGACATACATGCAGTTGGATACTCAAAGAATAGAGGCGCACAGACACAATATGAAAATGGAACAGAAGATGGAAGGGAAAGGTCGCGAGATAGAGTTGTGGTTATCTGAAAATGGCATCCCCAAAGAGATGCATAATATGAAGTCGAAGATCATGAACAAGGTACGACAAGAACTTGAAGAAAACAGGGATGCCGATTTGGACCATATCATCACTACTCTTCCCAGTGAAATTCAGAAGCATATTGAAAGTTGTACGCCTATGGCTAGGTTGAAGCGAGTAAGTTCCTCCAAAACCATGACTCTAATAATTACTAGCCGCATTTAATAATAACTTGTTTTTTTTTTCCCGGATAATAATAACTTTTTTACTTAAGCAGTGTTATATAAAGATTGAGTGAGACGTGGGTGAAATTTTGTAAACCAAAGAGTAATTAATAAGAGTAAATCTGTAAAACAAGTAATTAAACAAAAACTAACAGATTAGTATAATCTCTAAGGGGAGATATAGTGAAACTTTCAAAATACCTACACACATCCTTAGTTTATAATACAACACATCCTTAGGTCAAATTAGTATAATTAAATAATTAAATAAAAAGTTATATATATATATATATGATTGTAGATGAGAAGCATGAAAATTAAGGAACATCCAAGCCATTGCCAATTGCCATATATGAATCTCACAAAACACCAAGATCACATTAGATTCAGATCTAGAGAGATGCGACTAACAATATTCTAATTACTATTCACTACCAAAAAAAAAAGGTGGCAACAATCACCATTTTGTCACCACTTTTGGTGACTGTTGTGGGGGTTACTAAAGGCTCTAGTCACCTTTTTTTTATTTTTTTGGTGACTAAAAAGACTTTCAGTCACCTTTTTTGCTTTTTTTAGTGACTAAAGCCTTTAGTAACCCCCACAACAGTCACCAAAATTGGTGACAAAATGGTAACTATTGCCACTTTTTTTGTAGTGATTCTTTCTGTATTCTTCTAAGATAAAGTGTATGTATTTATTAATTCATTCTATTTCTAGGTGCTAACGTTGCAAAACATGGATGAAGATGTGTTGAGAAGAATTTCTCAGCGTCTTAAGCCCATGGAGTTTGATGGCAATTCTATCATTATTGAAAAGGGTAAACCACTTGAAATGATGCTATTCATTGTGGAGGGAAATGTAGGCATTAAAAAGAGGAATGGTTCTTCTTCTTCTAATAATAATTTGCAGCAACGAACTCGAGGTGCAGGAGAAGTATGTGGAGAAGAACTTCTACTTTCGCCATTGTCGATCTTATATCTTTGGGACAAATTACTCTTGGCAACGGAGTCTGCTAAGGCAATAGGTCATGTTGAAGCCCTTGTTCTCACGGCTAGCGACTTGCGGGGAGTGGTCAAAATGGACTATTTCGTTGGGATGATTTGTAGAATATTTAGTGCAAACGAACTTGAGAAGGCAACAGACAACTACCATCAAGATAGAATCATTCGTAAGGGCGAGAATCCAACCTTTTACAAAGGGGTACTGCCCATGCCAGATGATGATAAAACAGTGGTTGCGGTAAAGAAGTACGGAAATTATTTTGGTAATGGAGATGTAGCTATTGAGGCGGCTGTTGCTTCTCAGACCAACCACATAAATGTGGTGAGGTTCTTAGGTGCTTGTGTGGAACCACATCTAGAAGCACTGGTTTTTGAGTACATTCCCAATGGCACACTTTTTGATCACATTGATAGAGCAGCACCAGCACGCAGTGGACCAGCACACAGTGTGCGTCAGAAACACATTCATAGAGCAGCAGCATCATGTTCACCGCCTGCTGTACTTTCGTTGGAGTTACGACTCAAGATAGCGTCAGAAACAGCTGAAGCACTAGCTTGCTTACACTCACTCACTCCGCCAATCATACACCTACGTTTGTCGACAAAACATATACTATTGGATGATCATTACACCGCAAAGCTGTCTGCCATTGACCCTCAAAACATATACTTACAGTCACGACCAGTTTTTCGGGGTCCCGCCGAATACTTTGACCCTCATTTTGAAGAAGACAGACTAGCAGAAAAGAGTGACGTCTATAGTTTTGGAGTTGTCCTAGCGGAGCTACTAACAAGTCAAAAGCCAGCTTCTCCTAACCGCGTAAGGGAAGAGCCACCCCTGGCAACCTGTATTCTATCCTCAATGGAAAAGGGTCGCTTGAATCAAATTCTGGATGGTAAAATAATACTCAACGAAGCAACTTCTGAGACGGCCAAAAAGGTGGCGGATCTGGCGAAAAGATGTTTAAGGTCAAAAAGGGAGGAAAGGCCTTCCATGGAGCAAGTAGCCGTGGAGCTTGAGGGATTGCGCAAATTTATGGCAGAGTACCAAAAGGGAGAACCCAGTTTCTCAAACAGGCCAACCTCTTTGCAACCGTAAACAACAATAATAAAAAATATAAATAAATAAACAGTCAAGCAAGGTACAAAATCTAATTAGTGTTGTTTGCAGATGCTTTATTAATCTAATGAGTGAATAATTCTCTGTTTATATTCGTGCTTATACTCTAATTAGTTCCTGTTAATCTTGTCCTCTTGACTGTAAGCATTATATTAATCAACTCACCACTAGTGTATTGTATCCGAATCATAAATTACCTATTGCCCCCATAGAAATCCAAATTGCCGGCTGTGACCGTTTTCTTCAGTAGGACTTCTATGCCTCTTATCCCCATTCTTGTCCCCTTCAACATCGTCAATAGGACTCCTACTGTAATCAGATCTGCGATCCTGTGGGGAGGGGCTTCTGCTTTTTCCCCGCTCTCCGGTGATCTGGAATCGACTGCACATTAAAAAAAGCAAAATGAATAATTGAGTTTAAACAGAAACTAAACTGAAGAGTATGCTAGGCTTTCTCGTGATATCATAGCCGTTGATATCTATAACAATAACACCCGGGCGTCCTTCTCCTGCCAGTGAATGGGACAAGTCCTTGCTTCACGTTGGCGCTAGGCTTTCTTGTGAGCCCCGCTTCGGTTTATGGGCTGCAACCACACCCATACATTTAAGACATTGCGGTTGGGCTTCAAGCTTTAGACTCCAAAACAGGTCCATTGGGGGATGGTTTGGTGGCTTCAGTTTATAACTGTTAAAGTCTCCATTGGACCTGCTCTCACTATAGCTATTTTACACATTCTGCTACATTATAAATGAAAATTTGACTTTATGTCAATTGGGTCTAACCCAGTGAAAAATGACCTTAATTTGTAGATTAGAAGTCTCATGTTTGAATCCCTACAACATCATAATTGTGTGTGTATAAAAAATCCCCTTTCAAATAGTTAATAAGCGTTTTTATTATATAAACATGTTGTTTATTACAAATGCAAGTCTTGAAAAAGTACCTAGTTAGTATATACTATTGTTGGTTATCATAAAACGGTTTGTCGTTTGTATAAAAAATAAATAAATAAATAAATAATAATAAACCCACTAATACAAGCATATAGTGAAATTAGTAAAATTAAAAATATAAAATAAAAGGTTATATGATTGCAGATGAGAAGCATGAAAAATGAACATCCATATATGAATCTCACTAAACACAAAGATTCAGACACTCATGAGACAGAAAGAGACTCGACTAACAATTATATGTATAGAATTAATTATTAATATGTTTAAGTTAATTTATTTATTAATTCTTCTATATAAGATTCATTCACTCCCGCGCCGATCACACACCAATGTTTGGCGACGAAATATGTACTATGGGATGATCATTACACGTCAAGGTTGTCTGCTATTGGACAGTCACGATTGTTCAATGAACCTTATTTGAGCTCAGATTATATTAGCTCAATTTCAAAGGAAGGATACTTTGACCCTCATTTTCGAAACGGCAAACTAGCAAAAAAGAGTGACGTCTATAGCTTTGGAGTTGTCCTAGCGGAGCTACTAACAAGTCAAAAGCCAGTTTCTCCTCCTGGGGCTAGTGATGTGAACCTAGAAAGCTTATTTCTAAAGTAATACTAGTCTTACCACATTTTTATACCACAATTTTATACCACATAATATGGCGGCTAATGTGTACATACCACATCATGTAAAATACTAGTTTCTGTTTTTCTAATTTTCTTTATTAAAATACACTTCATTAATTTAATTGATATGGCATATGATATGGACATGTCACATTATATTGTATAGAAATGTGGAATAATAATGTGGTAAGTGTAGCATTACTCATTCAAATAATATTCGATGAAGCAACTTATGAGATGGCCGACAAGGTGGTGGATCTGGCAAAAATATGTTTGGGGCTACAAAAGGAAGGCAAGGCCTTTCATGGATCAAGTAGCCGTGCAGTTTGAGGGATTGCGCAAGTTTATGGCAGACCATCAAAGGGTAGAAAGACGTAGAACCCAGTTTCTCTTGATATGCCAAAGAGGCCGGACTCATCGCAACCGTAAACAACAATAATAAATTTTTTAAAATAATAAGAAGCGAGGTACATTTGTTAGTTTGAGATAAATAACATGTGTGTCGCCTACTAACAAAAGAACCTGTCAGTTTGAAGAAAAAAAAAGTAAAGAAAATCGGTGTCCTGTACGCGTTGGTGGCTGAGAAACAATGGTGAAGAAGTTGACAACTCCACTAATTGGTTGCTTCAGAAATTCTTGTAAATATATCACACAGAAAATTGCTGGATCCGAATCATAAATTACCTATTGCCCCCACAGAAATCCAAATTCATCATCTTAAAAGAGAATTAAAATTTTGCGCTAGAAAACAAAATATTGAAAAAGTTCCACTTGAAAGCAAGAAAATTGTCACACTAATGTTCATGTAAAACCAGCATATATATGCCATCAAACTGCTTTCAAGCTGATTCACTGCCTCTTGGAGAACCATGGTTATCTTCATCATCTTCAACAGGGCTCCTATCACCCCTGCGGATGGGGCTTGGGCTGCGACTGCGACTGCGACTGTGACCATTTTCTTCAGCAGGGCTTCTACGCCTCCTATCCCCGTTCTTGTCTTCTTCAACATCGTTAATAGGGCTTCTACTCTTTCCCCTGGGACTCCTACTGTAATCGGATCTGCGATCCTGGGGGGAGAGGCTACCCCTCACTCGTGGGCTCCTCCCTTCAGGTGTACGATCGTGCTTCCTCCCCTTGGATGGTGGTGGTGAAGCCCTACGCCTCTTAGGGCTCCGGCTGTCTAGAGGACTCCTTGATCTTCTCTCCAAACTCCTTTCTCTCCTCACAGGTGATCTGGATCGACTGCACATTAAAAAAGATGAAAAGCATAATTGAGTTTAAACAAAAATTATGCAGAAATAGGTCAAATATCACATAGATACTTGAAAACTCGCTACTCCGCCAAGGATTTGCTTCAAAGGCCTTTGACAGATCAGGCACAGATCAAAGGCAAGCGGTAAAAAGTCCAGGAAAAATCTCATCAGAAAAGGGATGATGATGAACCTGTAACTATGACCCCTGCTATAACTACGGCTTCGACTTCTGCCCCGCCTTGGACTTGGTGAGCGTGAATGACTACGCCCTCTGCATATAAAATAAATAAATAAATCAGAACTGCAGAATGTCAAAAGGCAGAGAGAGAGAGAGAGAGAGAGAGAGAGAGAGAGAGGAGAGAGAGAGAGAGAGAGAGAGAGAGAGAGCGAGAGAGCGAGAGAGAGCACACACTTGGTTTTTTTTGGACTATTCTGGCAGTTTCTTTCAATGTGCCCTCGTTCTCCACATCGATAACACTTATTCTTCCAGTCCCCAGCTTTGCAATCTCGAGCCCAGTGCCCATCAAGTCCACAATTGAAACAGCGTCCTGATCCAGGAGGAGGCCCTCTCCCAAGATACTCACGAGATCCGCCAGGACCCCCGTGGTGCCTGAATGCAAGCCAACATCAAGCAAAATATTAATGAAATTTTCTGCTACATTAAGAGAGGAGGAAGTGAGCACAAATACCAGGCAAGACAAAAAATAATTATAAAACTAGACCCATGCCACTTTATTTAATAATACATCAATTGGGCAAACAACTATCCAGGGGTTAAACTCTGCAATGCATGATAAACAAAAATCAAACAAAAAACATGGGTCAGGAACCACTGGCAATAATATACTAGTAGCACACATTGCCAAAATATGAGAAGGATTCCAAGCAAATAAGTCAGAACATACCCCCCTTGCAAATTCCACAATTAGACGGCTCCCATCAACATCCCGACCGTTCAGGCTATATCTTGCATCATCAGCATCCCGAGGGTCACTAAATTCCTGTTTTTAAGTAACAAAATAGAACAGGGGGAAGATAAAATTTGAAAAAAGAAAACAGATAATTTGAGAAGGAAATAGATGATGAAACCACAATAATCAAGTGGAAGAATGGATGAGCACATGCCTGTGCATGGGTGCGCCTGTGTGTAAGTGAGAGAGAGAAAGAGAGAGAAGGGTACAGAATAACATACAACAAAGGCAAAGTCGCGCTTCATATCCACATCACGTACTCTGCGTAAACGGGTTCCAGAAACAGTAAGGCCATCATGACACAAGCATCAAAGGGATGATACTTCGCCCCTCACAGATCAACTAAACACCACTTTGAGATTGTTGCCATTTCCATTAAAAAACGCAATAATATTATAGAAAGACTCGCCAAATCCACCAATTGGACCTCTCACCAAGACCTCCAGGTTTGGCAAAAGCCAAGAAACCTTCAACAAGATCATTGAAGTTAAACCAAAGGGACACGTGGAGGGGTGAAATGTTCTCACGAAGATAGAAGAAATACACACTTAAGTAGCACAAGCATTGGCTTGGCAAAGGTTTCATTGTCTCCTAAAAACCATATTCTTAAATTTGGACAACCTCCAATGACCACTAATCCAGAACAGAAAGTAAAAGACGGCAAAATACCCAAAAGCAGATAGGAATACAAATATAGGATTTATTCACTGTTAATTGCATAGAGTTAGACACGAATGGGTAAATACACAAACACATATTCTCAATGATGCTTGCTTATTTAATGGAACTGGAAGTCCCAATGAGTCTTAAGGATTTGTACATGAAGGTAATACAGTATGGAATTGCAAACAGAAAAAACAATGACAAAAGGACAGACTCGCGTATACTCCATTGAACTGTGAAAATTCATGAAGCATTCAACCAAGCAGAACAATCAAGAATTGTCTAACCCTTTTTTTCTATGTAACATAACCATCCCAAAACATGAGGAATCTCCTATGACTCGTAAAAATCATTTTGCTTACCTTCCATATCTGCTAAATACGTCTTCAAGTTCGCGTGATCTTGTCCGTGATGACAAGCGACCAACATAGAGCCGTGAACCACCATGGCGGTCATCATGTCGAGGCATTTTACCTGCAACAAATATGAGTCATCTTTGAGCGCAACCATACCCACTATTTCATACCTTTAAAAGCATACATATGGAATTACATATTCATCTTGGAAATAAAGATTGGGGGGGGGGAGGGGGGGGGGTGTTGGTGAAAAGGGGATTGCATCTCAAACCATACAAGGAAGTAAATAACCAAACTTATTACAGAATCCATAAGATAACACTCGAATAAGTTGTTTGGATTCATAGCAAAGCAATGTTCCATATTATTCAGGTGGAAACAAAAATACAAAAAAAGACACCTTTTATTTTGCTTAAATAGAATGAGAAAAACACCAAATTGTAAAAACCAAACCACTAATTTCACAGATTTCTATACAAGAGAATGCAGACATACAAATTAAATGAATAGTGCCATTTATGCTCCCTGACATACAGACCCACAAAACTCTTTTCCTATTTTGCTAGCCGAAAGGTCATCAAAAATAAAAAGTATAAACAGACCGAGGGGGAAAAAGTTTCAATCCAGAAGCCAAAGATATAACCTAAATACTTCATATGCATAATTCAAGCATACTTCAATATGTTCATGGCCAATTCAACCAAAAATATTTTCGACCAAAACAAAAAAAATCAACCCAAAAATATCACAAACTATGCGTACACATACAACAAAAATTGCCGAATCTTAATCCTTTTTCTGTGTCCTGGAATTCATCTATTTGGTAGCTCATTGATCACAGAAATTCGGCAAAATAAAAAGCCTGAATAGGTTGGAAGTAAATCTAATCGGAAATATAAATCCCTAAATTTCAGAAATTGTTCGAGGGAAGAAAAAGAGAGAGGGAAAGAGGCGCACCTGAAGAAGACGAGGCTAACAGTATCCAACCCTAGATTTCTTTCAGCAAGAGAACGAACCTGCTTTCCTCTCTTTGTATTTATAGCGCAGGATAAGATTTTTAAAGACAAAGGCGTATTTGTAACAACCCTTCAATTCGTTTAAATTTACGAGTCCAACCATACTGCTGAGTGCCGACAAGACAATGACTGCTGGAGCTGAAAATAAGGTTTTCACACCGTCTTTCTCTTTTTAATCACTTTCACTTCAGTTTGTTTTTCTTGTTTTCTCTTTTCTTATATCCACTTTACTAATATAGATCGAATAGAAAACCAATTTATTTTTCTTGGTGACTGATGCTTTTGGTAATTTCGGACACAGTTTCTCTCAAGACTTGGTTCTACAATTTTAGATTTCATTGGTGACCCCCTCGCAATTATTTTGTTTTATCAACTCCAAACTCGTTTTTGTCAACAGAGTCTAGCCTAGTGGAAAAGGACTTTGAATTGCAGACTAGAGATCGCAAGTTCGAATCCCTTTAACATCATAGTTGTGTGTGTGTGAAAAATCATTCTCCCCTATAATTTAGACTGTAGCTTGTACTCAAATAAAAAATCAACTCCATCCTCCGACTAAGTAGAAAGTGGGTACTACATGTGTAAATATCGAATAAATTTTAAATCTCATAATTAAACGGTACAGAAATGATCAGAAAAAGTAGAGGATATCAAATTACAAATATAGCATCATACACTTGACAACAAAACATTCACAAGGAAATCCAAATATACCCGGGGCATACAGTTTGATATGAATCTACAACTTGTACCAGTGTTTGATCTAACTGATACAGTCCTATTATATTACATCTCTCCCCTCTCAGTCCTGCTCCTTAGTAGTTTTGTAGAACATACACCATCTCTATGGCAGTCAGTTGCCGTCAAGGTTGTGCAGTAGTTCTTTAGCCACGCAGAAGCAGATTCAAGGATACGAAGCTCGCCACTAAGGAGATCCCGAGCCATTTGCCTCCGATGAGAAAGTCTTTCACGCGTAGCGGGAGAACTTACCGGCCCCAAAGACTATGCATGCACTCAAAAAGCACAAAAACGAGTTACTACATGTGTATTCAGATGTGCATACGTAAATCAAAGATAAACATAACTAATTCCGCACCCTCTTTATATGTTTATTACTGCTGCCTAAATGCCTATGGCTATGAGGCAAATATGTTACAATATGCAGCTGATTCAACATACCTCGGTTGGCGATAAGCAAACAAATTTAAGCAACATTTGTAGTTGGTGTATTGTCGTGTGAAATAATGCATTATAACACAAAATAATGAACTCTTGTTGGACTTAGATTAGGCAAGTTCGGCAAAAGAATCAGAGAAAGAAAGGGCTGAAAAATTAGCATATCTACCTTAACAGATGCATCATAATCCTCAGCTAATTGGGTTAATGTTGATATCAACATCTGATGTGCTTTAATCTCTCTGCTGATGTTCGTTAAAGGACGCCGAGCCAATCGTCCATCATGTTGTGCAGCTTCCTCGACCAGGTCACTAAGTTCTGAATATCAAGAAACAATCAAGAAAAATTTAATGATGCGGTCATAAAAGGGTAAAATGAGCTCAGAATCATATCAAACAATGCATGAGAGCAAGGTAACATGAAACACACCTTGAGGAGAGGTGCAACATAGAACACGAGCAAATGCACGAAGTGATTGTGGAATTCCTTTCCCTTTTCCACTACCAGACCTGATTTCCCTATGTGGTGACAGGATTATTATTAATCAGAAATAGATTTTTCATCACAAGATATCATGTCAACATGCGGATAAAAATAAACAGCATTATTATATACAGCCATAGAGCAACTAACCAGTAAACTACTTAAGCTCATAAAGACTTTGCCAGTAGTGATTTAAGTGAACAAGTGCACAATATATAAACACAAAAAACAGAATATTTGATGACTTCACAAAGTGCCACTAGATGCAAGGGATAAAGACCATCATGTAGGCAAAGGAACAGGAAGAGGGGAAAAGGAAAAGGGGAGAAAAAGTGAGAGATAAGTCCATGCATCACTACCAACTTGATGGTGAAAGAATCCATTGAAGAGCTGAAACCATTGTCATCTTTACTGACTGGTCTGTGATGTCTCTTCAAAAGTTCCAACTTCATTTCACGAAGATTATCATGATGAGGTATGCTGCCCTGGATCTGGACCTGAAAATAGAGCCACAGGCACCCCTAACAATGAACTTCAATTCTTGAGGGAATTTTTTAAAGAAAGGAAATCTGATTCACCTAATATTGTTTATGTGAAGGTGGAGTCCAATCAGATGATATTCATGTTTGTACTAGAAAATTAAGGAAACAAAACAATTAATGACAACTTTTGGGCCATATGGAGATTCTCTTCACAATAATTCTCAATCGATATGTTATAAGCATCTATACGCCATGTAAACAAGACCAGAAGCTTATAGGAACACTGACCGAGTTTCATAACTCTCAAACTCAAGACACCTGAATTGTAGTAAATATGCTCCCATGAAAGCCAATCCAACTTCTCAAAGAGGTTCAGACCCAAAAGGAAAAAACTTATCACAGACGTTTTTATTCAGTACTAGGCCCAAAAACAAAAATTCTGAAAATAAAAACAGAGCTAGTTCTGTTATTAAAACAAACTTTTGGTCGGTGTGTTAAATAAAGCACATCAAGTTTTTATTTTTGGTTTGGTCAGAAAAATAAATCAAATTATAAGTACGAATTAAGCTACAGAAAGATTATACCACAATAACAAAGCATGTGTTGTGAATACTCAAATTGAAGACCAAGACTGACCTGGTCATGAACGTTGTATGGTAGAGTAAACCCAAAGTCCAACAGCAGGGTAGCATTTGAAAATTTTCCATATCTTATTAGTACCTACACAAATATATGAAAGTGAAGTCTAGAGTTAAAACTATAGATGAGTAATGCTGCAACATACCCATAGTCACAGAGTTACAACCCAGGATGTTGTCATGTATATTATCCATTCATAACATATAAACGCATGCTGGAACAAATGCATGATATGGGAGATTTATGAAAAGACAATACATGACAAACGGTAATGAAAACCGAACTTCCAGTAATTTCTAAACATTAAACCCACTGCATATCTCAAGATTTATTGTGTTGCTTTTTTCTCTAACAAAGATCCAATGTGCATGTGCTGTGATCCTATGTTAAATTAAGAGTTATGCTAAGTCATTACTACAAATACATAAGAAATTAGCAGAAGGTCATGAAAATTTCAAACCCAAACAAGACACATCTAACGCAAGTATGAATGAAAATGTTAATGAACTATCTACCAAAAACATAGACAAATTCATCAATTTTTCAAACCAAAAAAATAAAATTCAAAGGGGTACATGTAATTCTTTAAATAGGGGAGAAAGTCATCCAAATTAAGTAGCATCTAACCTGTTCACCAGGAGTATAATTACGATCAGCAAGTACCTGCCCAGAAACAAGTAGCATATGCCACAAATTATCCCAATAACTAAACCAAAAGAAAGAAAAATGAAATAAAAAATAATTAATTTCCATAAGAGTGCAGACTGAATTCCTATTACCAAATCAATAAGCATGGCAGAAAATCAACACACCAAGAGAGAGAGGGTACCTCTGAAAAAAGTTTGTCTTCATCACTCAACACAATTGATTCTGAAGTCCCGTCATGATTCGAAAAATCAGCAAATGGGATCTATAGAATAATTTAATAATCCAAACAATTATGCAACTACAAAAAGGCACACATTAAATTAAACTCCATCATAACAATATTTACTTGAAATCTGTATAAATGTTTACCAGGGAATAGCCCTTTGTGCTTCCCCATGCTCGAGAAGTAACTGTAAAATCCATGGCAAACCAGCGAGAATAAGTTTTAAAAGATCTTTAAAAGATGCAACTGCCGCAAGTAATTTGGATGCAATTTTAAAGTTTTCGGGGCATTCCAAGTCCTAAAGCATATAACATGCCCACCCCACCATTCCCTAATTTTATTCAAAAGTTGTAATTAAGTACAATTGGAGCAAATAATTCTGATTGATTAGAACAAGTAAATGGTTTAAAACGTAGTAGCTTACCTAAAGCATATGCATGCATGAAATCCTCATAGGTGATACTTTCGAATGTTTCGGGAAAGTTCTTGAGAGCCTGAAAACATATCTTAACAATATTCATAATCTAAGAGGCAATAACTAAGAAGAAGTGCAACAACCCATGTCCCAAAACCATTAGCTAGAGAATAAAACAATCGAAGCACATCATACCGTCCTAATTGCCAAAAACTCCTGTTGTATTTGAGATCTTTGATTAATTGTTTCCTGATACACAGAGCTTTGACGAATCATCTCCAGCTCACCTTCGCTCCAAAATATCTAAGAATATACAAATAACATCCATGTCAAATATGGTGCAAATTGCTGTGATTCAAGAAATGTATACAACCATACAAATTAAAAACACGTTATGGACTAATATCAGGTAGATTCTTATTTCAATTGATAGAATAACAACATAACGTGCTAAATTTTCTCCAGCAAAAACATTATCCACATGCCAAAAACATTTAATCTAAACCCCAATATGAGCCTAAGAATGGGAAGGGGGAAGTTAAAAAGCATAACACTCACTGTGTTATGCATCTCCTCCAGGCGAGGAAGACGGCTTATGTAAGGGGCCCATTCAGAATCCTGCATAAACAAAAACCTCAATCTCTGCAACAAAATCTTTCCACACATTCAAATAAACCAGTACCATAAAGAAAAACAAAAAATGAAGTAAACCATAGAACAGTAATGTTACATGGCCCATTTCTGCTCAAGCAAAACGACAATGGCGAGCTTGGCAACATCGCCAACATCATCACCTAGCAAAGCTTTCAGTTCAGGATTGAGATTATCCGGAGCTAGCCGCTGCAATTTGAATTAACTAAACTCATTAACCATAAATTGATACTTAATTCTGTTATTAGACTCTTAATGATTTTGGTGTTAAGATCAAATGGCACCACATACCACGTTGAATGGAACCTTCAATATGCAGTCTCCGGCTCTTATGGTCTTCGAAGCAAACAGAGACCTTCCGTAGGCCGATTTCCCAATCGAAAGCACGGACGATATCTCGGTGCCGCCCTTGCGCTCCAACCACGGCAAGAAGTCGTCCAATTCCTCGACCTGACAGATAGAATGCAACGAGGCTGAGATGTGGGAGTTGAGCTTGGTGCTTGGAGTATGGGAGAGGCTGAGATTTGGACGACGAGTACACCAGTGTCTGCTGATTTTTCGAGCTCCCAGCAGCATTGCGTTGCAGGGACCAGACGTCGTCGTTTTCAGTTCAAAGTGTTGGTGTAAAACCAGTTTAACCAGTCCATTCTGTTTTGGTGTCAGTTTTACACTTACAAAACCGGTTCAGACCGACTATTTTTTTTTTTTTCTTTTTTTTTTTTTTTTTTTTTTTTTTTATTTAAGTCCAATGCTCTAAATTTCTAATCTCATTACTAATATTTCTCCAAATCCAACTTTAAAGCACCCCTTTTTTCTAGACTTAATGAAGCCTTAAAAACAAAAAATTTGTTGGATATTGTAAAATATATATAACATCTTGTCCAAAATCAAAAAATGCACCGTAACCGGTTTAAACTGGACCAATTAGTTTCATAATTTTTTTTTCACCAAAAGCGGACCAAACTGCACTGGTTGAGTAGTACCAATTCCAATGTGAGGTGGAAATTGGACCAAACTATACTTACCCGTATATTGGCCTATACACTCTGAGAAGGCAGTGCACCAATTTTATTTTATTTACAACCTTTTCTATTGCAAATGACGATAAAATACTAAACTCTCACACACAACACAAATACTAGGACTTGAACCGCTTTTAAGGGTTAAGCTTTGTGAGTTACTTGCTAAGATAACTTATTCGAGTTTAAGGTATAACCGTTGCATGAAACGGTTGATTAGTATGGATTGTTTCATATCGAAATTGAAGAGGAAAAATATTCCAAATCATGTGTTCAAATAAAATTCTATTTTATCACTCCCTAAACTAGTACTCTACAATATACATGTAGAACATGCCAAATCAAATTGTTTGTGAAGAGAAAAAAAGGTTTCTTTCAAACTATGTTGATAGAAACAAAATTTTCTAACTTGTTGCAAGTCCTACTTACAAGGTGGTGTTATAATTAAATTTTGATACAATCACTCATGGTGTATTTAGGATGAATTGAAAAGTTGAAATTTGTACGAATGAAGAAATGACATTCAACCGGCGTGACTCTAGGGCCTCATTTGGTAAGCCCATTATAGGCTTTTGGCACATATAGTAGGATAGTGTACTCTTGCTAACACAAGCAATAATTCGTTAGGATTCAAGACTCCCACCTTATAATGTGGGATTTGGCTACATGGTATGTATGCTAGGGTGTAGCTATGGTTAGCTTGATTTGTTTCTTAAGTTTGTTTTGTTTGTTTCTGCGGATGGTGCTATAGTCTCATCTTTGTTTCTTATGAAACTTGCCTTTTTCTGAGTGAGCACTTAATTTATTCTCCGACCAAAAAAACTATCATTTTAGAAAAATAGCATATCTTAGAGCATGCCTAAGTATGGATTAGTTTGGAACGGTAAAGGGCTCTTCCGTTAATCAAACCAAAGCCTTTGGTAGATCAATTTATCTTCCGTTAACCAACCATTAGAACCTTTAATCTTTCGGATCAGTTAATCGCTTGTATGTTTTAATTAATTCAATACGCTGGTAGTACCATTTACCAAAAAACTTACTAATTATGAAATAAAAATAGTATGTATAAAAAAAAATAAAAAAAAACTCATGAGAATAAAAATATTTATTACGAAACGTCAATTGACAAAGATATCATTTGAGCAAAATTCCACATGGGGAATATTCGCACATTAATTCGTTGACCCTTGAACTTCCTTATCTTTATTCTCCCTTGATTTATGGGAAAAAGATACGACAATAGCTAAAGTAGTCGGAGTTTTCTTTACGGTACGAGAGAATCGGGTGGCTTGAGGTGTGTGTGTGTGTGTGTGTGTGTGAGAGAGAGAGAGAGATTCCATATATTTATAGTGCTCCTTGTTAGTTAGGGTTTGAAGAATAATAATAATTAATTAGGATATTCTTACCAAAAAAAGGAGATTGAAATTAATCAAGGAGATTCGGTGGAAATCTCATCCTTGATTTAAGGAGATATTCCTATATTAAATCAATTATAATTCCCCTAATTAAATAATTTGGATAACTGATTGACTTAAGAAATTTGTAACATCTCACATCGACCAATGGAGAGGAGGTGATGTGCTTTATATGTACATGCCCGCCTCCATCTAGCACGAGGCCTTTTGGGAGCTCACTAACTTCTGGGAACTTCGAGAGAGGGGGCCCAAAGTGAACAATATCGTGTTACGGCAGAGCCGATCCCGATATGTGACAATTTGGTATCAAAATCACTCTGCCGTGTGGTGCGAGTGTGCTGACAAGGACGTTGGGCCCCTAGGGGGTGAATTGTAACATCTTACATCGACCAACAGAGAGGGGGTGATGTACCTTATACATACTAGCCCATTTTTTACTCAAGCAAAACGACAATAGCGAGCTTGGCAACATCGCCAACATCATCACTTAGCAAAGCTTTCAGTTCAGGATTGAGATTATCCGGAGCTAGATGCTGCAATTTCAATTAACTAAACTCATTAACCATAAATTGATACTTAATTATGTTATTAGAGTCTTAATGATTTTGGTGTTAAGATCAAACGGCACCGCATACCGCATTGAACGAAACCTTCAATATGCAATCTCCAGCTCTTATGGTATTCGAAGCAAACAGAGACCTTCCGTATGCTGATTTCCTAATCGAAAGCACCATCGATATCTCAACGCCGGCCTTGCTCTCCAACCACGGCAAGAGGTTGTCCAATTCCTTGACCTGACAGAGAGAATGCAATGAAGATGAAATGTGGGAGTTAGGCTTGGTGCTTGGAGTATGAGAGAGGCTAAGATTTGGACGACAAGGACACCAGTGTTTGCTAATTTTTCGAGCACTCAGCAGCATTGCGTCTGAACGTCGTCGTTTTCGGTTATGTAGAGTGTTGGCGCTATATTGGCCTAGGGGTGGGCATTGAGACTGAAAAAAGGAACAACGAGCCAGAACCAAAAAAAAATCGTGTTGACTACAAAGTCAACAAACCAATAACATACCGAAATGAATGGTCCAAATTGATTCTAGTGTCGGTGTCACACCTTACAAAATCGGATCAGACCGATTATGTATTTTTTATTTTTTTAAAGTTATTTAAGTTCAATGCTATAATCTCATAACTAATATTTTCTCAAGTCCAACTTTAAAATACCTTTTTTTTTTCTAAGGCCAATCATACCTCTTTGCATGAAATTGGGTCGTTTGTGAATTTTTAAGATCAAAAATAAAAAATTTGTCGGACCTAAGTTATTTCGATTGGACCTTGAATCAGGTGGTTAGAGCCATGAGAGAGAGAGAGAGACCTCATAACTCATATGTGTGATGTAGCCATGTATTTATAATGCTCCCTGTCAACTAGGGTTTGAAGAATAATCCTTATTTAATTAGGATTATTCTTACCCGAAAATAGGAGATTGGAATTAATCAAAGAGATTTAGTGGAAATCTCACATTGATTTATGGAGATAGTCCTATATTAAATCAATTATAATTCCCCTAATTAAATATTATTTAATTAGGATAATTAATTGACATACAAAATTTCCCTTTTCCACGTATCACCCGCTCATTGAATGCTGAAATATATGCTCCCACATATATGTCAAGCCCAACTAAGCTTTTTATAAAGGAGAAAACAATGGAGGTTTTCTTAAGTAATCGATGTAGGACCTTTCTATTGCTGGCTACATTTTTTATATTCTTGTTATGCGCATCCTTTATTGCCCTATTTGGTGATGCAATGAAGAAGGTAAGACTAATATATATGGAGGAGCAGCATGGACATTCTTCTTCATACACATACGTCATTTACCCCCAAATAATGGACTTAAGTTTCCCCTTAAAACCGCCGAGTTTGTACATATTCGTGGCTAATGAGTTGATATGTGTATATTAGTATTTAAATAATAATATAATTATGAATTTGGTTCGGTTTGCATTTTCGTTGGGTATTGTTATTCAACATTCTAACCAAATGTTTCGGTACAGATCCGATTGAAATAATTATAAATAAATAAAAATTATTTAACCAAACCGTCAGTACACGGATAATTTGAATGCAATACCCACCTCTATCCTATAGTGGTTTAAGAGCTTTTAGGCACCATTCCTTTATAAGATAGGTTTATATATATATATATATATATTTATTTATACAAGTGATATATAGAGATGGGGAATCAACCCCAAGACCTCAGATGCGTTACTTGAGCTCCAAACCCCTTGATTACAAATCATTTTTTAAGAGCAAGTTACATAATAGATTAAGATGACCGGTATTATGGTTGAGCATAAAATTGAATAATTGAATAATGATGGATGAGTAAAGCTCCCTCAAACAAGAGATCAGGAAACATTGCCTGATAAATTCATAAAGGTGTTGATTTTTTCAATTCTCTTTTATCTACTTACACTCTATTTTAATGATAATTTTAAAGTAGTTAAAAAACCAAAAAAGAGTGTGAGTGGACAAAAGAGAAATGGGAAAATTAACTCCAATATTTTTTATTTTTTGGGCAAGGAGTTTTTGTTTGTGTTTTTTTTTCAGAAGGGGTACATTGGGTTTTAACTTTGAAGCAAACGGCGGAACCGCGGAAGTTTTTGGGCAAAGCGGCAAATAATATGTAAAAAACAGGCGGAAAGATTTTTCGATCGCAAACTAACATCCCTTCGTTTTAATTGCCACGTCATCGATCCGAGTGGAATCGAAACAAAGAATATCAGCCGCCCGTTTGATGAATCCTCGACCATGTCTGAGCCTATGGATCCTCCCCTGACCTTGAGCAAGCCTTCGTCAGGGCATCACTATAAGTACTAGCCTCAGATCCTTTTCTTGCAACCAATCTATCTACGAGTGTCGCTTTTCCAATTGAGCCTCGAGGTCGTTGAACAGCTTCAAATTCAGGTTCGTCGTCTTCTTCATTTCAATGCCATTTTGCTTTCCCTTATCTGGTTTTGTCATTTGATTTTTGCAGACTTTAGGCTTATTGTAGATTTGATTGAAATGAAATTTAGGGTTTGAATGGGATTTCTTCACTAGTTTTCCCCAACAAAATTTATTAATTCCGGCATATAACGAGCTTAATCTTTCCTTTTCCTCAGAAATTTCAGCTTGAATCGAAATGTCTGGGCGCGGTAAGGGAGGCAAGGGTTTGGGAAAGGGAGGAGCCAAACGGCATCGTAAGGTCCTTCGCGATAACATCCAGGGCATCACCAAGCCGGCCATTCGTCGTTTGGCTCGCAGAGGAGGTGTGAAGCGTATCAGCGGTCTGATCTACGAGGAGACACGTGGCGTGCTCAAGATCTTTCTCGAGAACGTGATCAGAGACGCTGTGACCTACACCGAGCACGCTCGCCGCAAGACGGTGACGGCAATGGACGTGGTCTACGCACTCAAGAGGCAGGGCAGGACCCTCTACGGTTTCGGTGGCTAGGGCTTTCTGATTCTTAAAGTCTTGCTGTCAAGAAATGGAGTTGTGTTTTGGATCTAGTTGACAATTAGGTAGTTTTACTTTGTTTAGGAGTTTATTTTTTTAGTGTTCTTGTTATGTGCTGTGTAAAGTGATTAGTGGACTGTGTTTGTGTAATTGCAACTTAAATTGAATGAAATGATGGTGTTTGATCCAAAATTGATGTGTGGTTTGGTGATTGAGTGGTTTTTGGTTACTTGCTCCAAGTTCAAATTGTTTCAACTTCTTCACTAATACAAAATCGTCTGTTTTGTTTTCTGGGACACCTTTGCATTCCCTGAGGCTGAGATTAGAGGATGAACCCACTAGCGTTTGCCATTCGTGATCAGCAGTCTAAATTAACGGTGTTGGCAACGTATATAACATACCAAATTGTTTGCATTTAGAAAAACTGTCAAAATATTAAAAGAAACAGCATTGTCTAAATTTGTTGCAAATCTTTTCACATGTTTCTTACCATCATATAAAGTGCTAGTTGGTGAAAATACAGCTTGTGGCCTTATAAATTAATGACATACAAGTTGTGAGGGGAGGTGGTAATTAGAACCGTTATGATTACTTATATATCCTTCGGGCACATCGAAAGGCTTAAGAACACAAAAATGAAGAAGTGGCATCAACATATATGACTTTGAGGATCATAATTCGTTATTGCACTTGGATTAACTCGTAAATGAGGATCGTAATTCGTTATTGTAACAAAGTTACTCATAAAGTACTATAAATCTACTAAAACTAAATATTAGTTTGTATGCATATACTTAAGATAACAATATTTTAACAAGGATTAAGGCAGTTAGCAAACTCTATTGCACTTAGGTTCGACTCTCTGTTTATAAATAAATGAATTTAGAATAGATTATCACTTATATAAAAAATAAAATAACAATATCCATATTTTATCACATGATTAAAAGCATTTTTTATGATATATACTTACCTTTTTACGCTAGTATAAACATGACCTGACCTTAAAATAAATAAAGAAAGAACTTCACAAAAATATAGAATGCAAGCAATATTTACTACCCATGTCACTAACCAATAGGAGCAAAGTACAAAGGGGGTGAAAAAAGACTCAGAAATATTACCCGGTAAATTCATAAATTGTATGAAATTTGAAGCGAAGCCGGAAGTTTTGGGCAAAGCGGCAAATTAGATGGAAAAAAAAAGGCGGAAAAATGTTTCGTTCGCAAACCAACATAAAAGTCCCGCTCGATTTAGTTGCCACGTCACCGATCCGAGTGGAATCGAAACATAGAATATTAGCCGTCCGTTTGGTGAATCTTCTACCATCTGAGCCACTGGATCGTCGTCTGATCCTGAGAAGCCTTCGTCAAGGCATCGCTATATAAGTACTAACCTCAGATCCTTTTCTTCCAACCAATATCTCTTTGTGCGTCGCTTTTCCGTTTGAGCATCGAGGTCATTGAACAGTTTGAAATTGAGGTTCGTCTACTTCTCGCTTTCATTGTCATTTAGATTTCCCTGAGCTTTCTTTCTTTTTATTTTTACGGAGGGTTTTGAATTTGATTGTTGTAGATTTCCCTGAGCTTTCTTTCTTCTCGCACATCGTAGATTTGATTGAAATGGAATTTAGGGTTTTGAAAGGACAATTTTCTTAAAGATTATCATTGTTTTATCGAGTTCAACTTTGATTTTGGCAGTGTGGTTTTAATTAGTTTGTGGTTACTATGTTGTTCATTCACTGTAGTTGTATCATTCGTAGTTCTGTTTAGATTTCTAGTCTGTGATTTTTGTTTGGTTACCGAGAAAATGTGCGGAAAGAAAGTATCTAAAAATTCGACGAGATCTCAATTTTTCTGTTAAAAATTTTGAACTTCCAACCTCTTTAATCTATTTGGGCATTTAATTTTCTCACAAATTTTCTTTAATACCCGCATATGAAGTGTGTTTTCTAATCAAGTATGTTAATCTGGGGTTTGTTCATCGCTAATAAGCTTAATCTTTCATTTTCCTCAGAAATCTGAGCTTGAATCAAAATGTCTGGGCGTGGCAAGGGAGGCAAGGGTCTGGGAAAGGGAGGAGCCAAACGGCACCGTAAGGTCCTTCGCGATAACATCCAGGGCATCACCAAGCCGGCCATTCGTCGTTTGGCTCGCAGAGGAGGTGTGAAGCGTATCAGCGGTCTGATCTACGAGGAGACACGTGGCGTGCTCAAGATCTTCCTCGAGAACGTGATCAGAGACGCCGTGACCTACACGGAACACGCTCGCCGCAAGACGGTGACGGCCATGGACGTGGTATACGCCCTGAAGAGGCAGGGCAGGACCCTCTACGGTTTCGGTGGCTAGGGATTTATGATTCTTAAAGTCTTGCTGTCAAGAAATGGGATTGTTGGTTCGGTTTAGTTGATGTTAATTAGGTAGTTTTTGCATTTCTTAGGAGCTAAAATTGGTTTAGGGTTCTTGTTGCTATGTGCTGTGTAAAGTGATTGATGGACTGAGTTTCTATGTGTTTGTGGAATTGCAACTGAAGTTGAATGAAATGATGGTGTTTGATCCAAAATTGATGTGTGATTTGGTGATTGAGTTGTTTTTACTGTACTTTTGTAATGGGCCAAAGATATTAGTTCTCACCTTTTTTTGTTGGTTATGGGCCTGATGGTCTTTTAGCCCAGAGATCTTATTTGAATGAAAGGTTCATGGGTAGTTGAAGTGGCAATGGGTCTATTGTCTTGTGGATTCATTTCAAGTTGCAGGACATGGGCCTCTTCTACTTTCTACTATTTCTATATATTTTTTTTTATAACATTTTGTTATATTATCTTTGGTTTGCTAGAGTTAAATTTTTTTAAAAAAATATTCGTATGATTGCAATGTGACAGCTGATTGTGATGGCAACTTGTAGGAGGGGTTGGTTTTAAAATTGGAATGTGATTTGTTCGATGAATAATTGGAGTATTGGGTCCCAGTTTTAATCTTGTTTTAAACGGAGCTTGTCTTTTTAATTGACTTTTTCAAATAATCATTTACGAATATGGACAAATGAGTATTTATTAAACTATGGGAAATTTTTTTTTAAGAATTGGATGTTTGAATTAATCTGGTGTGTCCATGACTTGGATGGGTTTGATTGTTTTGGGTGGCATTTTCCTCCAAGTTTGGTAGAACGTCGTTGGCTCCAATTTCCTCAGTTGATGAAAAGTGAAATAAAAGCTCCATATATTTGGATTGAGTGTAGGTAACCAGAAAACAATGAGCTTACAAGTAACACTTTATGGAACTTCTAAAAACAATGTTTTTAAGTCAGTGTTGTATAACTCAATTGGTTAAATTCTTTTGGTTTTATTTATGTGGGTAGATATTCGAAACTTTATGAATCCAATGAATAATTGTGTAAATCCTCTTCTTTAATTGCATATATTGAAAAAATAATTTTTATAAAAAGATTTAAAAAAAAATACATAAATGTTTCATAATAAAAGACGAGCTTAAAACATTTGTAAATACCCAACTATTACAAAGGAATCGCCAATTGGGTCATATCATACTGAAAAAATATGTTTGGTCTAAAACAGTGGTCTCAAATTCGAAGCCCCCATGCACTAGTGTGTGTGACCGAAAAAAGCTATTACAAAGGAATCTTAAAATAGAAGTTTGGTATATTTCCAGAGTGTGAAAACTGAATTTCCTAGTGGGTTTTTCACAGCGTTTTCCTCTTTAGTCTTTTTTTTTTCCCCCCCATAAAAAGAAGCTTTTTCCTTTCCCTTTGGGTGAGAACAAAAGAGTTCTATAACGTAAAAACGGAAAACATAAAAAATAAAAGAAAATGGTTAAATAAAAAAGTGGAAGGTCTTGACGAACCTTTGCTTGGAGGAAAGGGTGGGGAAGTTGCGCAACACGTCAAAGTAAGATTCGATGGATGCATCATACGATGCGAGTTGCGAGAGTAAATAATACACGTGTCAAGCGAGTAGGGCGAGATGAGAGAGAGTGAGGTCGTCCGACCTAGTAGTCCATGGAAAAAATAAATAAAAATAAATTTGAATGGAAACTCAGACCGCAATTATAGAAAAAAAGCACAATCACAAACCCTAAGGCTGATGATTTAGGGAACAGTGGGAACCACACCTCCTTGGATTAGATTAGATTCTCTCTGTTTCTCTCCCTTCTTTTCTTCTTCAATCAACAACCGCCTCCCTCCTCAATTTCCTAGAAGTTTCAGAGCTTGACCAAACTCCAAATTCCTTCTCCTTATTCCTCTTCTTCTGCGATCTTTGTGTTCTCTTGCTCTGATTTCATTTTTCGACTTTCGTCAACGCGTCTGTGATTTTGATTTCAGGTATTTCCTGGAATCTTCTGGAATGTTTTCAATTTCACAAATTGTGTTTTGTTTCCGTCGATTTAACTAGATCTGATTGGTTTCATCGCCATCGGATTTTTCGGTTGGTTGTTTTTGGCATTTGCTGGGTTTTTAGCGTTGTGTGGATTGTAAAAATGTTTACTTGTGAAGCAGAAAACCTTTATTTTTAATTTTTTTTTTTTTTTTTTTTTTTTTTTTGTTTGAATTTTTTTTTTTTTTTTAAAAAAAATTCGGTTTTTTATTACAACATAAACTGCCCAAAAACGGTCTGCTTTTCTGTTTAGGCTTTGGGAATTGATTGTATTTTGTGGGCTTGATTGAGGATTTAATTGGTGTCCACATGGTTGCTTAGTTTGTTAATTATACCTGAAAATGACCTTACAGTTGGAGAATTGATTGAATATTATGTTATGTTCCAATTCAGTTTATATGTTCATCTTGGATGATTGCTTCTGTGCTTTTAATCTGGGACTTAGTCAAGGAAAAATATAATAAAATAATTTTTTTATTGTTTCGATTAACCGATCAGCCATGATGTGTTCTTTACTTGTCTTCAGATATGTGTGAATTGTTACAGTAGTCTATATCATATTTTCCTGATTAGTTTATGTCGTTGACTGAGAATTTATTGTGTTATCTTGGAGTTCATTGTAATTGTTTTGGGTTCTCTTGTTAAGGTCCTTAACTTTTTCTTGTGTGCAGGAGCTTCAATTTGGTTGAGTGTGATAGCTAGAAGATTCAGAGAAACCGCGTGGTCTTTGTAGCTAACTGAATTTGGTTTATAGAAAATAGAAGTTTACCTCCATATATCGTAGTGCAGTTGTTGAAATTGACTTCAGAATCACATCGAGGTCCTGCTAAATGCTATTGAATTTTATTTATAGACAGAAAGAAGGGTAATAATAAGCTTGCGAAATCTTGGAGTCATGCCTGTATCAGGAAATGAAGAGGTGTTTATTTCATTTTCCAAATTACTGCTAACTGAGATTAGAGTCTCGTTCGAATTTATTGTTTTTCTGAATATTGATCAATTAAATCTTCTATTGGCAGACTGGGGTTAAACCCGTTATCCGGAAATCTAGTGATTATGTTGCAGGTGTTCCAATCAAGAAAAGGAGGTTTCCTATAATGAGGCCTCCTTCACCTCCTTCTGAAGAACCAACTTTGTTTCCTAAAACAGAAGAATCATCTTCCTTTACTGCGAAAAATGATTCACTACAGAAGGAACAATCTAGCCCATCTCAAGGGTCGACTCTTTCATATGCTAGTATCACCAGTTCTGGATTTTCTGATACAACAAAGTATTCTGAATCTGATTATAGAAGAGGAAGGTCTGATGTTACAAATGTTAATGTGGCCCGAGGCAATGATAATCTCTTTAGAGTCAAAGTTGAAGAAGCAAGCCCCACAGTTCACTCGGGTTCTTTGGATGACATGCAGAGGAAAGGGAAGCCTGTGTTGGCTGATAATCCGGCTTCTCAGGTGACCTTAGGGAAAAGTGAGTTGATTTTAGCACCAAATGAAGCTCATGCACGTAATTTGGGGAAGGAGATTATGCATAGCAAAAGTAAAGTAGAAATGAAGTGTAAAGAAGAAATTCCTGCTGTTGCCGAGAGTACTGAATTATCATTAGGTTTAAAGGAAAATCTTGTTCCAGCTTTGACAGGCCAAAACAGTGGCGGTGATGGGAGTCAGCGGAGTCAGGATAACTTTCCTATTTCACTGAATTTGTCTTTAAGCGAAGAAAAAAACAGCAGCCAATGCAAAGGAAATGGTGAAGATTTGAATTTTGATGGTGCTGACAAGCGTGCATGGCGGGCAAACTGGGATTTGAATACACCAATGGATGCATGGACAGATTCTGTGAGTGATGCTTCTGAATCTGTTGACGGAATCAATGCAACGGGTGGGGCAGGTGATGCAAAGCAGTTGATTGGTTCAACTGGGATGGTTGGAGCCGGTGTCAATTCAGAAAAACAGACCATTGTTGATAGTCAGAAGAGAACTAATATCACCGTCTCACCCACACTTGCTAGCCAGCAGTGTAATTCCAATGACACCCTTCTTTTACGGCTTAGTTCATCTTGCTCACAGTTGAATCAGTGTCAAAACCCTTCTAGTGCATGCAGTAAATTGGATTTGGACATGGACAGGGTGATTTCTTCTACAAACTCGCCTAGATTGGCTGGGCCAGTTAGAACACTGAACACAGGTAATCGTAGAACTGTAAAATCAGAACCATTTGATGAGAGTGTCAAACTGGATGTTAACATAGCTAAATCCAGTAATACGGGATTTTAGATAGTAATAGAGCAGGGAAACGTGCAGTTGTTGAGCAGTGCACTCTTGGAGCTGTTAAGTCTTCAAATATGAGCACCCAAAAGTTGGTTGATCCTAGATCCATAAAATCTGAACCAAGTATTGTGGATAATCAAGAAACCATAAATTCCATTGAAGGGGCATCAGTTCATCCGGATAAGCATGTGACACAGGGTCTGGATAATTGTTCTAGTGACATGACGTTGCCTATGACTGCAGAGATGTCTTGCCTTTCTGGAAAGCCTTTGTGTTTGACAGAGTCCACAGGGAAGCCTTCTTGTTCAACAGAGTTGACTATGAGTAGGGATTTGACGAAGCATACAGGAAGCTTGAATGCAAAGGCGCCTCAAGAAGCTTGTCAAAGCAAAGAGCATATTGCTGTAACTCTGGGTCTTGATACTAAGGGAAACAGTATGAGAACTGAAGATGATAATGTTGACCGCAATTATAAATTGAAGTTCATGAATGATCACCCCCTTGATTCACGTGGAAGTGGTGAAGGTTCTTCCAGTGATGAGGAAAAGATAAATATCTCAGCAGATATGTTGGATGATTCTTATGGTTCTGATTATGAATCAGATGGTAATCATGCTTTGGATACAACTATTGATACAGAACAAGATGCTAAAGATGATGATTATGAAGATGGTGAGGTTCGAGATTCAATTGAGCAGACTGAGGTAGAGGAACTCATATGCAACGCAAGAGAAGTGGAACACGTTGATAATGGTGATTTTGATAATAACCGGACGGATTTTGTGGCACCTGTTAACAATGCTCATCCTACTTCATTTTATATTGAGGCTAAAGACAAAACAGACCAGCTTGCTGAAACAAGTAACAGTGATTATAAAGAATCTTTTGATGTAGTTCTTAATGATAAATCTGATAAGGGCTCTGATAAAGATGTGTGTTTGCAAGAAACATTGGCTGTTGAAAAGCTAACCAGAGGAGCTGGTGTGAAAGGGTCCATAAAGGATGTGGGAACAGAACCACTTGATCAATCAGGGAATGAGGATGCCCAGAAATGTCAGGATGGAGAGTTCTCCGAGCAAGTCACTAATGAAAGCCAAGGATATGATCATGGTACAGAGCTGGATGTTAATAAACTGACCTGGCACCATTGAGTGATTCAAATTTGTCCAAAACATCTGGTAGTGGTGATAATGCTGCTAAGGATACCACTAATGGAGGACAACGGAGCAGGATCATAACTTTGCCTCGATCTTCAACTGTTTCTCCTAGTAAATCAAGATCTATTTCAGGACTACCATTGCCATCAAGAGTAGTTGGAAGAGAAATATTACCTGATGTAACACCGGAGGAAGATAAAATACATCCTAGAGGGAGGTGATTATTTTCCCCTGATTTTCTGTTTACTCTTTTGTTTGATTTTGAGCGTTATAGTTGTATTGTAACCTAATTCTTCCACCTTTGTCCCTTTTTCCAGAGGTGAACCGTATGTTGATAATGCCCACAGATTTTCAAGGGAGCGATACCAAGATCAATCACTGAGATATGCTAGATTGGGTTTTAGGCGTGGTAGAGGGAGGATGAATAGTCGCGGTGATTGGGGTTCTGATCGTAACTTTGCTTCAGAGATTTATAATAATCAAACAAACTATCGTGTACCCAGACATAAATATGCACCTGATGTTTCTGATGCTGGCCTTGAATATAACACTTATAATATGGGTTCAGATAATGCATATGTTAGTACAGGTCGTGGAGGGAGGCAGATTCAAAATGATGGACCAATCAACCACCGTATACCCTCAAGGAGGCGATCTCCCGTTGGAACACATGCAATTCACATGGCTCGCAGAAATCCAAGAAATATTAGCCCAACTAGATGCATTGGTGAAGATGCTTCAAATTTGATTGGAATGAGGCATAATGAGAAGTTTATGAGGAGTTTTCCTGATGATAATGCAGATCCCATGTTCACTCGTACCCAGTCTTCGTATGAGGGAGTAGATGGTCAATTTGGACGAGGAAATCGGAACTTTTCTTTTGTCCAAAGAAGAGGGGTTCCTCGAGTTCGCTCAAAATCACCAATAAGGTCCAGGACTCGTTCCCCCGGTCCATGGTCTTCTCCTAGAAGAAGATCCCCAGATGGGTTTGGTGGGCCTGGAGAATTGACTCATCGAAGATCTCCACCAGTTTACAGGATGGAGAGGTTTAGATCCCCTGATGGCCCATGTTTTCCTGGTGAGATGGTTGTTAGAAGGAATCCGCCCAATGATATGAGGGATATGGATTCTGGAAGGGACCATGGTCCTCCAAGGTCTGTCATTCCTAATAGAAGTCCTTCCGGCCGGGTTTTACTCAGAAACAGGAGATTTGATGTCATGGATCCTCGAGAAAGGCCAAACAATGATGACTACTTTGGGGGGCCTATGCATTCTGGTCGATTGCACGAGCTTGGTGCTGATGGAAATGGTGATGAGAGACGAAGGTTTGGTGAGAGACGTGGACCTGTCCGTTCATTTAGGCCTCCTTATAATGGTGCTGATGGCGAGACATTTCATCTTAATGCAAAGGATGGCCCTAGGCCTTTGAGGTTCTGCCCAGATGATAATACTGAGTTTCAAGAAAGAGGGAATTTGAGGGAAAGGGACTTTGACAGAAGGATTAAGAATCGGCCAGGAAATGCACCTAGAAGAATGAGAGGCATTGAGGACCAAGATGGAAATTACAGGCATGGTGGGCAGGCTTGGCACGATGGTGGGTTTGATGATATGTCACGGGTGAAGAGAAAAAGGTTTTGAATTTGGTTCTGCCATGACCTTGAATTTGGGATTGGTTGTTCCTGCGAAGAAGGTGGACCAGGACACAGATTAGTCACTTTACAGGTTAGTCTGGGGCATTCTATTGGCTTTAATCACAAGGCAAGTGGCTGTTCTGTGTGTGTCTAATGTTCTGAGGGCCTTTTTCCAGTTCCAAGTTTGGCTTATGATTCTATGTGGTCTTGGGACTGGTATCTGCCCTGTAAGTAGCTTGCATCTGGTACTATGGTGGTTAGTTCTTCATGAGGCTCATATTTGCCTGAATTTCATTAGCAAGTTTTGTACTGTCATAGGTCTTGGTTGTACATCATATCTCTTAAGGCCATTCTCTTTGAGTTGAGGCATTTAAATGCTTATATAGAGATTCTCCTTAAGTTTCTGAGTTACGTTTCTGCATTGGTTTTGATACTTGGTGAGGCAGGGCAGCTACCCTACAAGGAACTGTCATGACTTTTAACTAGTATTTAGGCCATAAAGCTCCACTAGTAACTATGTTGCCTATTGCACTCAGGTACCCTACAAGGAACTGTCATGACTTTTAACTAGTATTTAGGCCATAAAGCTCCACTAGTAACTATGTTGCTTATTGCACTCCTTCATGTCCATCTTCCCATCGCACGAACAATTACTCTAATGTCATGCTCGGATATACTTAACCTCAGATGAGAAGCCTGTTGATACAGTTTGTTCCCTGGTGGTGAAAATTTTCATGAGGCCTTATTATGCGATCTGCCGTGAAGTTTGGGGCTTGTACATGGTTTTAGTATAGAGCATCGTATTGTTGGGAGGTTGTAATGATATGCAGAAATGCTGGAGACTGAATGTGTAGGAGAAGTTTGTTCTATTAGTTCTTATGTGCAAAGTCGGCAAGTTCTGGATCTGCTGTTAAGCTTTTTAGTGGTTTAGCTCTTGAACTTTTACCACATAAAATGTTTATGGAGTCTTACAGAAGTTCATGGGTGAATAATGCTGTTCTGGAGTATATTTTCTGATGTGTTCTTTATTTTCTTGAATTGGGTAACTGACATGCTATAGTTGTAGTAGGAAATTTAGAAAGATGATATATTAATGGTCTACTTTCTTTACGTACTTCCTGGAGTTCCCGATGCGGGCGTGAAGTCTTTGTGCAATTTCTTCTGCAGAATCAAAACCCTGATGCATTACTCGTTTTACATTGTAAATGAGCAATATCCTGACCGGAAAATCAGCTACATAATTGGTTACAATGATGAAGACAGTTCTCCCATGGCATTTGCTAACATTTGATTGCACTGAGAAAAATTGGGTTGCTTTTGAGTCATACTTTGAACTTCTTGGATCTATTTTTAGAGTAGGTTGCACAGATGAAGTTGCTAGGGAGTTTCAAGACAAGTGCATAGTGATTGATGAAGCTAAGTACTGAAACATTGCTTTTGGTTGGGATGGTGTTTATGCTGAGCTAGAATTTTGCTTCTTATGGTGTTTGGTTTGTGCTACTTTCCTGATTTGGTCAGCAACAGGGTTGAAGTTGGATCCTGTTTACCTGTAAAATAACTGCCCTCTGCCTCCAAATTTAACCATAATAATAACAATAATTAAGGTTTGGTCCATAATCTATAATACACAGCAAAACTATAACTTCTGGGTTGCAGATGATTTGAGAGGTAAAATTGAGAGATGTCATGAGGGATTTGTTCCCTCATAGATTTTGTGCAAGATGACTCTGGTTTTGAAGTTTTCAAGATTTCCCAGTTTAAGTGGGGGAATTTTACTCTTTTCCCAAAGTGGGTGTTATGTTGATGGGTCCACAGGGGGAATAAAAGAGCTGTGGGCATAGAACCTGCAGCAGGTGCTGCACTTTCCTATTTGAGCTGGAACCCAGGGTACATAGAATATCATAAAATTACCAGATGTAGTGGTGAGAATCCAAGTCTTGGTAGGTCTTGCTTGTGTTTTAATGGTCATCATTGGGAGAAAATGACAACCTTGCTTGCTTGCTTGGCCCTTCTTGGAGTTGTTGAATAATACGCACAGTAGGGCCCGTACTTTATTGGAAGTTAGCGGGAAATTTCGTTTAAGATACGTATCCATTTGAATACGATGCGATTAAGAATGACTTGGGTGAACGCAAGGTCATTTGAGGATATTATTAAATTGAAAAAGAATAGTTTTTATTTAACAGGAGAAATTATTCAAATGCAATATAAGTTTGACTTTTCACTTGATTTATTGTGAAGTATAAAGTGCTCGACTTATTAAAGCACATTACGGTCTAATTAAATGAAGATGCAGACCAAGATTATCAATGGAATAAAATATGGTGCAAAACATGTAAGTATATTTAACTATTTATTCCTTTTAGGCTCGTTTGGTTCATGAATTGAATTTGAGGAGAAATTATTTTCTATGTCATTTTCCAAGAGATGGGAAGTGGAAGATTCCTTTTCCACGTTTGGTAATGCTGGAAAAGTAATCGGGAGATATTACTTTATTTCATTTTCCATGTTTGTTTTGAGTATGAATGGAAAACAAAGTTTGTATAAATTTTCAATTATACCTATAATAAATCAAATTAAACACAAAAAAAATAAATAATGCATTTAATAATTTATTGTAATTCTAAATTGTTAATAGGGACAAAATGGTCATGAAAAATGTTTATTTAATATTGGCTCATTTTCCCAAACTTTAACAAAACTCAAGTTGGAAGGATGGCTTCACTTCCCCTTTATTTTCTCATGGACCAGATAACGATTTCTCATGTATAGACTTACCAAACATGGGAAAATAATTGATTTTCAATCCCCAAGTCTCATTTTCCATGAACCAAAAGGGGCCTTATTGAAATATAATTAGGGTTTTTAGCCGCCACTTTGTTGAAAGAGATTCTTACTTAAGATAGATCTAGCCAATTTGCTCCCGCACCCAAGATTTGAGATTAGAGTTAGAAACTTCAAAACTTTCTTCCTTTTTTGGGCTTTTCCATATCTCGAAAATAACTTTTTGTTTTTTTGATAGATGTAATATTCCAAATTACTCTAATGTAAAGGGAGAGGGATCGAACTCTAGTTTAAGGCGACTGTCACTCTACCTTGACCAACTGGCTTAACTTACTTCTGGAAAAAAAGAAGAAGAGATTTTTGTTGGCCTCCAATAAGAATGAAATTGATTTATTTATTTATTTATAGAGCTAATGAAATTGAAATTCTATATCGCAAATGTGTTTCAAACTTTACACGTTTGGGCTGTTATTTTCAATAATACGGCCCACTACTCAGTAAATTGTATTGATATTTGGAGGGAGGCCCTGTTAGAGGCTCATCGTGGACGAATTCGGTGGTAGATAGAGGGCCTTGTTCTGTTATTCAATCTTTGTATATGCCCAAATTTGTCAAAGGGAGCTTCTAAATGCGTCCTATAATCTGATCACTCCAATCCAACTTCAAGTGCACTCCAGTTTGATCATGTTGATTGTGTTTGCACTTGCAGTTTGTCGGTTCATGTTCTTTTGTTCCATTCCAATTCCAAGCTTACGTAAATAAAAAACAGGGTACAAGCAACCAATGAGATCTAAGCTAAATGAAAAAGGGGCTTTCAATTGCAGATTAATGGTTTCAGGTTCAAATATCGATAACACTTTGGCAATTAAAAAAAGATACACATTAATACTTCTTTTATTGAGAATTGACAGTCGAACAATATTTAACCCTATCAATTTATAATAATTCTTATTTTTCATTATAAATTGAATATTAATTTTTAATAATACTTATTTTTAGTAATGAACGAGGCGACATTACTTGAGAGCTTTTTTCTTTTTGTGTTGGTCATAAGATGTACAACGAAGAGTTAATATGGTCATTGATCAATCCACAACCCAAACGTGAATCTCAGAAACAAAAGTATAATATTAATGAAGAAGTTCGTTGCCTAATTATAATCGTATGGTATAAAAACAAAACTTTGTAAAAATATGATATGAGGTCGATGCATGCATGCTTGCATGCATTCAGCATCAAGCGCCCTACTCCTCAGCAAAATCGTCCAATTAAAATTTGAATACGGGGCAGAAAAATAACAAAAAATATATATGATTGGAGGGAAAATATAATCAAATGACCTTTTCCTAAGATTATTGGATTTGTGATAAACGCCTCATAATCTATATATAAAGCAAAATCCGGAGAATGGTGAAATGTAAATAAAACAGTACAAAACAAGTAGGAAATGTACATTGAATTTTCTTATATTTTACTAGTAACAGAGGTCCCAAATGGTAATTTTAAAGGGATTTGTGATAAACGGTTCGGATTAAAAATAAAACAATTACAAAACAAGTAGGAAATGTGCATTGAAATTTCTTATATTTACCTGTAACAGCGGCGGTGGCAAATGGTAAATTTAAGGGGTAAGTTTGGGTAAATAAAAATAAGGAGAAAGAGCATCTACAGTTGCAAAAATAATTATCTTCGTCTACCGCCAAACACCAAGTCCCAAAACCCGCAAACACGACCCAAGAGACCCAACCTAGACCCCCGGTTGAAACTTCAACCCCAACCTCCTCCTCCTCCTCCTTCTATCTCTTTCTCATCCCTTTCAGAAATTTCATCCGCATATTTCTATCGCTGTTCTCGCCAATCTGCCTCTAGTTTTTATTAATTTTCCTGCTTTTTATAAATTTCATACATACTATTTGGTGCAATACTTAGGTTTTAATAGTGAAAATTCTTTTTTTCTGTTTTTGGTTGTTCTTGTTCTTCGTTGTTGTTGATCTCAATCTTTTTTCTGGGTTTTCCTCTACCCTGTTTGTCTTCGATTCCATCAATCAGTTTTCGCATAAGTCAAACTGCGTTTCAAGGTTGACACAGTGATGTTTGTTTGAAGGTATGGAGCTGAGGATCGATTTTCATTAGCAGTCAATTAGGGTTTTATAGCTTATTATTGAATTTTTGGCTTCTCATTTTTGGTTTTTTGGTTTTTTAATATTTTGGTTTTGTTATGTAGCAGGATGTTAAAGAAATGATGAACCAAGGAGGTAATACTGAGACCGTTGCTCCACTGGACCCCAATTCTCTTGAGGTAATTACGAATACACCAACTTGTTCTCTTTTATGCCTTTTGTATTGAATTCTGTTTAACAGTACGAGCTTCCATTTATGCTTTGTTTTAGTGTTAGAGGTTTGCTTTGACGAGAACAGCTTTGGTGGCCATATAGAATGTGTTTGAACTTTGATTTTGCATGCAATCTCTACGCATACGCAGGCATATGGTAGTTTAGTTGTAAAATACTAACTTTTTTTAGTTTAGGTCAAATGGTTATCTGGGTGCTATTATCTTGAGCAAAAAATTATCATACCAAGTGGCCTACATTGCCTGCCTACATTATCTTGTTGTCTCTGATTTTGCATCTGTTATATCCCATTTGTTTTACTCGATATGTCAACAACATTTACGATAGCCATTTTTAGTTCTTTTGGACTTTTTTTAGATTTTTCTTATATATTAGTATTAATTGATTAATGTCTCTGGAATATTAACATGGATTAATAGGGTTTCGCATTTATTTGTGTTTTAGAATCGCTATATTGTTAATGCAAGCCAAGGACAGACGCCTTCATATCCTCCCTCAACAACTGGTTCAGAAGCGTCATCATGGACCGTTCATAGGGTGGATAATAGCTCCACAGATAATGGGACTCATTCTCATTCAACTTATCAATATGATCAGCATCCACAGCCACCTGGGAGTAGTTCATCGAGTTTGGGAACAGTAAATACACCACAAGACTACAATACCTATGCTTCATACCAAAATTCTGCGGATCCATATGGTTATGGAAGCGCAGGATACCAAGGTTACTATAACAACTATCAGCAGCAATCCAACACTTCCTACCCACAGCCCGTAGGAGCATATCAAAATACAGGTGCTCCTTATCAGCCTCTTTCCTCATTTCAGAATACAGGGTCTTATGCTGGGTCTGCAAGTTATTCAAGCACTTACTACAATCCTGCTGATTATCAGACAGCTGGAGGTTACTCAAGTAGCGGTTACAATAATCAGACCACTGCTTGGAATGGCGGAAATTATGCAAATTATACCTCTAATCAGTATGCACAGTATGCTCCAGATACCAGTGCTGCATATAGTTCTGGTACTGCGACTTCCACTTCGCAAAATTATCAGCAACACTACAAGCAATGGGCAGATTATTACAGTCAAACAGAAGTCAGCTGTGCTCCTGGGACTGAGAACATTTCTGTTACTAGTACACCCAATGTGGGATGTCCGGTTCCAGGTGTTACCACTGGGTATCAAACCTCAGACATCCAGCTACCACCACCACCTCCGTACGCTCCTTCTTGGAGGCCAGAACCCAGTCCACCTGAATTGCCATCAGTGCAGGTTTGAATTTCCTTTCGTGGAGGGGTTTAGGAAAAGTTACATGCCCTCATATGATTACTCTTCTTGATATGGTGTATTGTTCATTTCTAATAATGATCCATGCCCTAGTTTCCATATCATTAAAGTTGTCATTAATGAGTGATATTGTCTTCAAGATTATTGCTGGTGCAAAGGGTAGTTATACTTTTAGATTCTGTATTACAGCCTTAGCGTGCATCATGGCATGTGTAACTTTTACTGCCCCCCTCCCCTTTCATTTTTAGTCTTATATCTTTGTTCTTTATCATCACTTTAGAACTTACAATTAATACTGTAATTGTTTTAAACCAACCATTATATAGATTTCCATGATGTTCTTGACCACTACAGTTGATGGTTGTATCTGATATTATTGATCTGATCTCAAATTCAAATCTCTCTTCTCAAATTCAAATCTCTCTTCTATAATCATGACTATGCTTTTGAAATATGTTTAGTTATTAAATTATTGTTGTCATTTTTTGGTTTCTCAGTCTGGTGCTCATGATGGTTACTGGAATCATGGGGCTCCTACTTCTCAATCTCAAATTCACCACAGTAGTCCTATGCAACCACACTTTCAAAAGTCTTTGGATCAGAAAACTTCTTATGATAGCTTTCTGGATCAACAGAAAAGTGCATTTTCCCAAGCACCCAACATGCAGTATCCTGCTTCTCAGCAGGTGCCCCATGTGTCCAATACTTACCAGCCACCCTCACAATCTGTACCATCCCATGCGTCTCATACTTACCAATCACCCTCACAACCTGTTCCATCCCATGGGTCTCATAGCTACCAATCACCCTCACAACCTGTTCCATCCCATGCGTCTCATAGCTACCAATCACCTTCACAACCTGTTCCATCCCATGCGTCTCATAGCTACCAATCACCCTCACAACCTGTTCCATCCCTTGCGTCCCATAGTTACCAATCACATTCACAAGCTGCTCCATCTGTAGATACACGAAGAGTAAATAAACTGCAGATTCTAACAAACCCTAGAATCACTTCAACTCTGACCTTGGGTTTACCAAAAACTGAGAAGGATAGCTCTATAACCACATCAGCAGCAAAACCTGCTTATATCAGTGTTTCACTGCCAAAGCCGGTTGACAAGGTGACATCCAGTTGTACTGCTGATTCTCTACTTAAGGTATGTCTTTTGTTTTGATGATTGTGTGGCCTTTCTAAATATCAAGATTTAGTGAGTTTCTTGCCAGATTGACTAGTAAATACATACAAACATAATGTTATTCAAAAAGGCAAGCAAAGCTTCTGTGGTCATTGCTTGCAATCTTTTCATTCAGAAAGATGTTACGAGTAGGTACTGTGAAATTTGTGCGCCTTTTAAAAGTGCTCTTGCTAGGTTGCAAGCGTGTTATGTCATATACTTTGCATGGTTCTTAAATTGTAACTTAAGATAAATTGGCTTTTCCTGCTATTAACTTTTTGCAAATGCAAGCATGTGCAAGATTCTCACTTAAAAGAAAATAAAAAATGGTATAGTGATGGAGCAGCATATAGGGCCACCACAAAGAATAATTATTGAAATAAGCAGATGGCTTTGAAATGTGTGCTCTTGTAAAGGGAAAAGTGGAGAGGGTTTAGGGTTTGGGGGAAATCCTGTTCCAGTAATGTTATAGATGAAAGGACCTTTTGTTTCCTCTAATATTTTCAGTTGAAGAGTACTTTTTCAAACATAGAAATAACATGAGATGAACCTATACCTCTAAATACGAAGGATGATTTAACCCTAAAGCCATCTGTAATTTTTCAGGGCTTGCATTATGATATGGTTTGATAGTAATAAAATAAAATGTCATTCCTTCTCTTAAAGTGCCAAGAACCGATGCAAAATCTAGCAAACATATACATTTTAGCTATGTAAGGGCTTAACTGTGGTTGCGGTTGATCATTGAGTTTTAAACCCTGGGTGTTGTTTAGGTGTGGTGCATGTCTTTAGCATCTTAATCATTTTGAATATAAAATTATTTTGCATTGCTATAAGGATGAGTTTTTGGAGATTGCGTGTCATATGCTACCAACGGGGTTATCGATGATGTGTTTTCACTATTTTTGGTGCTATGTGTGTCTCTGTTCTCTCCTCCTCAAGTACTTAATAATTTATGCTGTAGCCAATGATGTGTTATTTATTTATTATAATTTTTTTTTTCATTTTCAGCCTGGTATGTTTCCTAAGTCACTGCGTGGTTATGTCGAGAGGGCTTTGGCTCGCTGTAAAGATGATACACAAATGGCTGCTTGTCAGTCTGTCATGAAGGAGGTAAACCGAATCAGTTAGAATTTATTCTTTGGCAAGTGTAAAATCATACATGTTCATGGCCTCTTGTCCCTTCTTTAGCATGTGTTGCCTGATTTTTGGCTTTTAATTGTAACCGCCCTTAGTAACTGTTATCTAATATGTAGTGACGAATATAAAAACCATTATACATATCCAGTGTGAAAAGTTTTTGAGTCTTAAGCTCTCTGCAAGATGTAACGATTTTCTATGATCCTAAACTTTCCCTGCCACATAAGATTTTTATATGAAGCACACATGCCTATGAACATCATTTTCCCATCAATTTCCAGATTGCTTCTACCACAAATGTTCATTTGATGGTAGAAATTAGTGCAATGTTTATGAATCAAGGAACCATTTTGCTTTTGAGCATCTGTATGTCTTGAAATTTTTTGTTGCAACTTGAGAGGCAGATGCACATTCTGGCGTGCTGCTGAAACTCTATGTTAGTTTCATGGACATGATACATGCAATAGTTTATTTTCTCTTCACGTATGTGTTTTTGGATAGGATGCATATGGTATGTAAAGGTCCTTAATTTTCTTTTCAGATTATCACCAAGGCAACAGCTGATGGTACACTTTACACACGAGACTGGGATACTGAGCCTCTTTTCCCCCTGCCAAATGAAGATACTGTTAATAAAGAGTACCTCTCTCTCTCTCTCTCTCTCTCTCTCTGTGCGTTAATGTGAAGCTCACAATGCATTTATCCACCTTGAACTTATTTACTCTATAATTGCTGGACCTTTATTTCCAGTTAAGTACTTTTCAACTGTATCTCGGGTATGCACAAAGATATTTTAAAGTTTGGTGATAAACAGATTGTATGGCCCTTCAAATGGTGGTGGGGGAAACTCGTTTAGTGATACAAAATTCTTATATGAATAAGTAGTTTATGAATATTTTGATAACCACTGTATCGGAAGTGATCAGCCCATTAGTCAGATTTGGTTTGTTGTTTTGTCACATTTTCTCACCTACTCTGTCCTAGTGCGTTGATTCATTTAATTTTACAAATGATTGTTAGTTCTGGTTACATGATACATTTGTTACATGGTGGAAGTTCTAAGGTTTCAGGTCCCAATTTATTGAACATTGACCCGCTCTTGTTGTGCAGCAGTTTACAGTCTTCAAACCTTGTTTCGTCATTGCCAAAGTACAATAGAAGTCCGAGTAGACGATCCAGGAGTAGATGGGAACCTCTACCAGAGGAGAAGCCAGTTGAGAAACCAGCATCTGCCAATAATGATAGTTTAAAATTTTCATGGGTACATGTCATTAATAAGGAAAGAAAGGTAATTATTTTTTCTTCCTTTCCTTTTTATTCATTCTTGGAAAGGTCCAATTGTCTTACTATAGATGTATATTTTATTTATAATTTTACTGTCTGAAATATACATAATCTATGCATAATACTTGATTAGCTTAGAGTTATATAATTTGTGTTCACATATGCAGCCATGGATGGGGAGTGCTGGGGTCAAGGGTGATAATACAAGTAATGGAAAGTTTGCTTCACTGGAGCAGAAAACTGCAAGTAAGATGACCCAGAAGCCATTTAAGAAGCAGCGTCTTTCTGACGGTGTAAGTACTGCTGAGAATGGTGATGCATCTAGTGATAGTGATAAGGAAGAAAGTTTAACAGCATATTATGCTGGAGCAATGGCCCTTGCGGACTCACCTGAGGAAAGAAAGAGACGTGAAAGTCGCTCTAGGCGTTTTGAAAGAGTGCAAGGACATCGAGCACAAAATAATCACTTCAAACCGAAAAAGGCTGGTGGCGGAAACTTGTATACCAGAAGGGCTAATGCCTTGGTGCTCAGCAAAAATTTTGAAGATGGTGGCAGCAGGGCTGTTGAGGACATTGACTGGGATTCTCTTACTGTTAAGGGGACCTGCCAGGAAATTGAGAAACGTTATTTGCGCCTCACTTCTGCACCTGATCCTGCGACTGTAAGATCTATATTTCACACCCTTTTCTTTTATGAACTGGCTGAGGTGAATAAATTAAATGAAGTGGTGGGTTTCCATGTGTGATATAATTAATCGGCTAAGGAATCCTTTCTACCTGACAGGTAAGGCCGGAGGATGTTCTTGAAAAAGCTCTGCTTATGGTACAAAGTTCCCAAAAGAATTACCTTTATAAATGTGACCAGTTGAAGTCCATTCGTCAGGATCTGACTGTCCAACGAATTCGCAATCACCTAACAGTGAAGGTACATTTGATATCTATTGGTCTCTCTTTATTTTTTATCATATGGGGCTCTAGTTTATCTACCCTTCCTGTGCTGACCAACTATCCTATTTTTCAAAACGGACTGTTGACTACTTTAAAAAACTCAGCTACGCCTTTTTCAGCTAATTAGAGTCAGGTGCATTAATCCCCTCTTATATGTAACCTTAATGCCATATGCTTTCTTTAGATCCTAATATCACATTGTTTGTCAAACGTGGCTTCCTTTATTGACAATATATAATTTTAATTTTTTTGTTTTTTTGTTTTAAATTTTAAATTTTTAATTCGCTTACTGTAGACACTTTCTTTTGTCCCACAACTACCGACACACAATCCTTGTCAGAGTCATGTTCACATCAGTTTATGTCATTCATTCCACCTAATATCATGTTCAGGTGTATGAAACCCATGCTCGCTTATCATTGGAAGTCGGGGATCTGCCGGAGTATAATCAGGTTGGTGACCTTACTGTGGTTGAGAATAAACACTTTATGGCATGAATCAACGACGAAGAAGATGACTATGGAAGACTATAATAACTACCTTGACAAGGGAGGTTTTGGGACTTGTCTAAGAGAATCAATAAATTTGATTAGTTTGACTTCAATACTGTCTTTATAACTGTTTTGGTTTACTTATGGCAATATGAATGAACTGATCCAATAGAATTACAAATTGAATTACCTTTTCTTAGAGAAAAAACAAATAAAGATTACTGAATTAAAAAGAACAAATACTACTATTGAATAATTCAATTTTCAAAGCTATTTATTTTCTTATAAGCTGAGGTGTCAAATAATCGACTTTCATGTGGTTTCAGTGCCAGTCACAGTTGAAATCTCTCTATGCTGAAGGTATTGAGGGATGTCATATGGAGTTTTCTGCATACAACTTACTTTGTGTTATCCTTCACTCAAATAATAACAGAGATCTTGTATCATCAATGGCAAGGTCAGTAAAACTCAAAGAAAAGTGACTTTTCTTCGTATGGAGATTATGTGTTGGCTTGTTACTAGAAATATATTAAGTGTTTCTTTTTTGTTTGTTAAAGTTCCACAAATACTTGTCATGAGGGGGGAGTTCGTCCCATCGGTGTGATAATTTTAATGTTTAGCTTATGAAAGATGTGCATTTGGCAGATCTTGGGAAACAAAAAGTTACAAAATTATTTGGATGTCATGGATATTCAGAATGGTTGTCTTTTACTTGTCTACCAGCACCGTTATTTTATTTTTGAAGTACTAACTACACATACATGTGTGCATGATGCCCACACTCTTGCACTAGGTCACTATGCATGTCCTATATTTCCTGACTCTGGGGGATACAAGTTCATGGCTGTTTTGAAATTTGAGCAATTAATGAATGGGTACCTGATTTATGATACAGTTAGTAATGGATACTCTATGGCCAAAAAAAGAAAAAGAATAAGGAATACTCAAATTCAATTCCTATTTGATGAAATATAGGACATGACTTTGAAATATAATGCTAAATGTTGTTTAATAAGCTGAGCTAAAGTGATATTTCCCCTTTCAGTTTTTCAGATAATGTAAGATGACTTTGAAATATAATGTTAAATGTTGTTGAATTTAGCTTGTCAGCTGAAGCAAAAAGGGATGAAGCTGTTAAACATGCTCTTGCAGTTCGTGCAGCTGTGACTTCAGGGAATTATGTTTTGTTCTTCAGGCTCTACAAGACAGCTCCTAACCTGAGCCCCTGCCTTATGGGTGGGCATCTCATATGAAACTATTTTTAGTTAGGAATGTAAAAGGATAAAATAAAAGGATCATTTCATATTATTTCTCTCCTTTCTGCAGATCTTTATGTTGAAAAGATGCGGTATAAGGCAGTGAGTTGCATGTGTCGATCATATCGACCTACGATACCTGTTTCTTATGTTGCTCAAATTCTGGGATTTACCACCATTGCACCTGCAAATGAGGGAAGTGAGGAGAAGGATTCAGAGGGATTGGATGAATGCATTGAATGGTTGAAAGTGCATGGTGCATGCCTTATTGCAGATAACAACGGAGAAATGCAGATCGATACTAAGGTAGGTTTCAGTTACCCCATTTTTTTTCCCACATGGATGTAGATATTTGTAGTCCTAAATATCTTTTATGGAATTGAGTTTGAAACAAAGTATGCTAAAGACATTAACGTACGGTTGAACCTACAGTTCTTTGCATGAAGACAAGATGGCATGAAGCATTAGCAGTTGGATGCTTAGTTTTAGCTGTAACAATTACAGTAGGTATTTTGTATTTAGACAATATTTTCACCAATTGAGTTTGTTTGATGTGCAGCCAACATCTTCAAGTCTTTACATGCCAGAGACCGACGCGGTGTCCCACGGAGACGCGAATCTCGCTGTTAATGATTTTTTGACACGGACACCTTTATAGCCAATTTGTATGTACCCAAATTTTATTCTAGTTGAGAGCAGTTGAAGATGAAGATCATGCTCTGCCTTCACAATCTAAAATGCGCAACAAAGAGTGGGCATCCCAGACCGATTGGGCATTTGGGGTTCCCCTGTAACTTTAGAGAAAATAGATCACTGAATGAAAAAGAATCCGATTTCCCCCAGAAATATGCTTTGCCTGAAATATGCCCGTTTTGGGTCTTAGGCCAGTAGTTAGTATCTAATTTTCATTACTTCTTTTCGGGGTGATGATAGAAGAATATGGTAAATATACTAGAGAAAGAAGAATAAGAAAATTTTAAAGTTTTAAAGTTTTCTTCTTGTATCCAAAGATTATTCTTCAGTTATCTTCCTAGATTAATCAATGCTTTATTATTTTTTCAAAGATTATTTCTGCCTCAAGAAATATCGTCTGTGAAGAACACTGACACGTAGTGTTACCGGTGTAACTAATCCATGTGTCATAACATATGTGAATTTGTAACACCAAGTGGTGTTTAGTGTTACAAATGAAAGGTTAATTTGTCTAATTTTGAAGGAGTGAAGTAATCTTATATTCAAAGGTTAAATTAGAGAATGGGTTACACTATTTTTGACCCAAAAAAGATGGCATTCCAAAAATAAAAAATTAAGCACTTTTTGTTTAATAAAAATAAAAACACTTAATCACATATGATTAATTTGCTTTATCAAAGATTCAATCTTTGGGCGGCGGAGAGGACTGAGGCCACACACTGACCTTCTCCTTCTCATACTTTATATAGACAGCTGCAACCGCCGCCACGAAATACACCTGAATCAGCACAACTGACGGCGTATGATATTTCAGCACACTCTTCCCCGTCGCCAGCTCCACCAGCAGTAACGCCGTTAACCCCAGAGTCGCGATTCGACCGTTCACCCTTTCGCTGTACGGACTGAACCCGAAATCCACCTTCAACCCGCCCGACGCCGGCTCCTTAAGCGGAACCGGTGGAAGGTACAAGTTGGACCCGGATGAGGATCCGGACCCGCTTTTCGACTTCTTGGTCTTCCGGAGCTCCGCTTTCTTGCCGGTTCCGCTGCGGTAGCGGAGTCGGACTTGGCTCAGCTTGCTGTCGAAGTCATCCGGGTCGGACCCAGATTCGGACGAGGGCTCTGAGGGCGGTGTTTCGGAGTCGGTGGCTCGGGTGGTGAAGGAAAGGAGGGGTTTGGGAGCGTGGGATTTTGTTGATGTAGACGCAAGTGGGAATGGGTTCGAGAGTTGCAGAGACGATGGTGGCATTGTCGCCATTTTTGCTGCTTATACTTCTGCTTCTGCAGCTCTCTGCTGTCTGTTTGGATAAGCAAATCTCTCTTGGATATTGCTTTTTTTATGTATTTTAGAAAAAAAATGAATCTTTAATTCGAAAATTCTGTGGTGCATCGGCTGTACCGGTACAGCCACTCATCTAAGGGTTCATATTTCATTTTAAAAATCAAGGGTTGAGATTGAATGACCTGATGACTTGTTCACTCCTTTCTTATTAAAGTCACGTGCACTGGAGCTGCTTCATCTTTGCAATATCTCTCTCTCTCTCTCAAATCCAATCCTCATCTTTGTCCCCAAGTCGGAATCTGAGCATCTCCTCTCTGCCGACACCGTGATGCAAGAACCATCAGAGAGGAGATTGAGTGGGGTGATTCAGTCGAGTTCGACGGGGGTGGTGTGGAAGGCCTTTATTTGAGTAGAAATTCAACGACTTAGTGTTGAATATGGAGTGAGGATGTCTGTGTTGCAGAGCCTTTGATGGGAGAAAAAATTCAACGCCTTGGACTGAATCTTGGTGATTTTTTCTTTTCCCTCTTTTAATAATTATTAATATTTTAATATTTTCTTTTAATTTCATCACAGCATCAGACCCACTGTGATCCTTTCTCCATCAAACCCATGTAATTTTCATTTTATGGAGGATTTGTTTTCTTCCATGTATGAGGTTATGGATTTGTGTTTCAAAATAAGATTTTGAACAATCAGGTTGTTGATTTTCTTTAAAGTTCTTGGATTTTCTTCAATTTTTTTTTTTTTTTTTTTTTTTTTTTTTTTTTTTTTTTTTTTTTTCCAATTTATCTGTTTTATTACTCAAGAACTCTGGTCATGATGAATCCAATTGGAGTTTTTGGGCTTGTTAGTGGAGAATTGAGGTTGGCATCAAAAGAGAAAGATGAGTTCTTTAACTGAGAAACCTCATAACTGGTTTTGGTTTCTTCAATCCAAGTGGTTGATGGTTAACTTTTGCAAGACACATTTGTCAGAGCAGGTGCTTTCCTAGCTATAGAATTTTAATACCAGTATTAACATCCAACACATTGTTTTGCTATATTATTTCTTATATGCAATTGCATATAGTTTTTGTGCAATTGCATACAGTTTATGCAATTTTTGACCCCCTGTATGCAATTAGCGATAGTGTGATGTTTAAAGAAATGTTTGACTCGAATGCTATGTCATTGAGTTATTTACCCATTAACAATCTAGTAACAATTAAGGTTTCGTTCTTTGAGTATGTTGCGTTCATTTGATAAATTTAAATTTTGGTATGTTCGGTAAGAAAAAATAAGAGTTCACGAGAAAGAAGAAGACATGAATTTTTATTTATTTATAGGTGAAGTGTCTTCGGTTGCCATTACCATTTCAAAGATTGTATTGCTAAATCTGTAAGTGTATGGTTCAAATGTGATGTTCATGATTGGTATTGGTTGTTGTGATTGTCGTAACTGCTATATATTGTTCGTTTGTTTGGTTAAACTTATTTATCTGTTTTGCAGATCAATAGCTTCATTTTGGTTTATTACCAAGCATCCATTTGATATGTGATTTGGCAATAGAACGTAAATTCAGCCACTATTCCTGTTTTCATTAGTTGATATTAGTTTTGTTCTTTAAACTATTTATTCTGTTTTGTTGTGCATAATGGATGAAGTCAACAAATTTCAGGGGGGAACAATTAAGAGATAAAGCTATGAAGCATTTAGGGTATATACATTACTAATATGATTGTCTTTTTAGCAGAGAAATAATTAGTATAGCTCTACTTTTTCTTTGCTTTTCCTTTTTCTGGGTAAAGAGTTAGTTTAAGTACAGAGTTGCTGTATGAAATTTGTTAATGTTTTTGGGTGATATTTGTTTTCTCTTTGTATAAAAAGCCTTAAAGGCTTCTAATATTTCCATTTTCCCAATTGAACGCCCATATTAGTCCCTTTTCCTATAATAGGAACATTTGGTTGCAATTTTTTTCTTTCCTGTTCTGTATTCAGTTTAAGTTTCATGCTTCATGATTGTAATGTTTTTTTATTTTATTTTAAAAGAAAAGCGATACTTTTCTTAGTTGCACTATTATTTACTTCAATTTGGGTAATTGTCATCATAGAATTTGATTGGTCGTATTTTGAGGTTCTTTTATTATTTGGTTGTTGTAGTTCATTATAATTACTGTTTTTTTTCTTTCTTGCTATTCAAATTTGTAGATTGTGTAATTTTACGATTTCTCTTGCGTCTGATTTTTTCCATTTTTCCTATTGTAGGTGCACAAATTGCAAGGAAGGTTCACATCACTGCATTGGGTTACTGAAAAGGAGTATGGATTCACGAAAATTCTGCGGTGCCTCAGCTGTACCGGTACAGCCGGCTATCCAACGGCTAAGTTTCCATGTTAAAAAAGGATGGCTGAGATTCAATGACTTGGTGACCTGTTGAGCCCTTTGTTATTCAACATGTGAGTGGCATGTGAGGAAAGAGAAAGGCAGGTTTGGTGGATGAAGAAGACGCGCGCTCTCCTCTCTTGTTGCCCAAATATGATCTTTCTTGATTAGGACCCTCTGTGTATTATTGTTGTATTAGGGTTAATCACATGTTGGTTTATGAAATTGAGGATATTTTGGAAAGTCATTTGTGCTACATGACAATGTGTATTAGTAATTGTAATTGTGGGTTTGGTCGATTTGTAATAGAATATGTTCGGCTTATAGCCCAACCCTTAGCATTTATTTGAATGCTCTGTATTTCTGTTGATTTCGCCCTTCGATTTATAGTTAAAGAAATAGGTCTACTTATGCCTGTACCGAAAAAAAAAGATCAATTTTTGGTTATGATGGGTTTGCGCACAGTCACTCTCGCATTGCATCAACGTCATGCAATTGCATGTCTACAATGCAAATGCTGACCGGGTGTGTGCAAACTAAAGCTAGCTTCAAAACGCTAACCTAATTAATGGATAGTGCAAAGACAAAGAAAAGGAGGTTCCGAATTTGATTAGGACCCTCTGTGTATTATTTTTGTATTAGGGTTAATCACATTTTGGTTTACGAAATTGAGGATATTTTGGAAAGTCATTTGTGCTACATGACAATGTGTATTAGTATGTAATTTCGATAATTGGTCGATTTGTAATAGAATATGTTCGGCTTATAGCCCAACCCTTAGCATTTATTTGAATGCTCTGTATTTCTGTTGATTTCGCCCTTCGATTTATAGCTAAAGAAATAGGTCTACTTATGCCTGTACCGAAAAAAAAAGATCAATTTTTGGTTATGATGGGTTTGCGCACAGTCACTCTCGCATTGCATCAACGTCGTGCAATTGCATGTCTACAATGCAAATGCTGACCGGGTGTGTGCAAACTAAAGCTAGCTTCAAAACTAAACCCGTTCGCCTAAAATATGCGCCAACCACGTTACTTGTTCTAGTGAACGTAATGCTTGCGTTTGTACAGTAAAGTTACCCGTTCAACGAAAAATGAGCCCAATGAACTGACTTTTTCAAAAAAACGGGAACATTGTTCAACCGAACGCAAAGGTTTGCTTTCGTTCAAAAATGTTTGACGTTCCGCTGAAAAAGAGGGCCAAAAAACTTATTTTTCAAACGAACAGGGTATTTGTTCACACGAACGCAATGCGTGCGTTTCGCCAAAAAAGTTACCCTTTCGTCGAAACAATGCACCAACTAACTTACTTTATCAAACAAACGGGTTACTTTTTCACTCCAACACACACACATACGTTCGTTAAGGAATCATTTCTGTTCGTCCAAAAAAGATATCCAACCAACTTACTTTTCCATACAAACGAAGTATTGTTCTAGCAAACGGAAGAGTTGCGTTGGATCAGTAAAAATACCCGTTCAACGAAAAATGGGCCCAATTAACTAACTTTTTCAAACAAACGGGGAGTGTGTTCAACCGAACGCAAGGGTTTATTTTCGTTCAGAAAAATTCTACGTTCCACCGAAAAAAAGGCCAACAAACTTACTTTTGCAAACAAACGGGATTCTTTTTCACGCAAACAAAATGGGTGTGTTCGTTCAGTAAAGTTACTCGTTCAACGAAAAATGGGCCCAACTAACCAACTTTTTCAAACAAACAGGGAATGTGTTCACCCGAACGCAAGGGTTTACGTTGCTTCAGAAACATTAAACGTTACACCGAAAAAGAAGCCCAACAAACTTACTTTTGCAAACCAACGGCCTTCTTTTTCACACAAACGAAACGCATATGTTCGTTCAGTAAAGTTACTCGTTCAACGAAAAATTGGCCCAACTAACTAACTTTTTCAAACAAACGGGGAGTGTCTTCAACCGAACGCAAGGGTTTATTTTCGTTCAGAAAAATTCTACGTTCCACCGAAAAAAAGGCCAACAAACTTACTTTTGCAAACCAACGGGATTCTTTTTCACACAAACGAAATGGGTGTGTTCGTTCAATAAAGATACTCGTTCAACGAAAAATGAGCCCAACTAACCATCTTTTTCAAACAAACAGGGAATGTGTTCACCCGAACGCAAGGGTTTACGTTGCTTCAGAAAACTTAAACGTTACACCGAAAAAGAAGCCCAACAAACTTATTTTTGCAAACCAACGGGCTTCTTTTTCACACAAACGAAACACGTATGTTCGTTCAGTAAAGTTAATCGTTCAACGAAAAATGGGCCCAACTAACTAACTTTTTCAAACAAACGGAGAGTGTGTTCAACCGAACGCAAGGGTTTATTTTCGTTCAGAAAAATTCTACGTTCCACCGAAAAAAAGGCCAACAAACTTACTTTTGCAAACCAACGGGATTCTTTTTCACACAAACGAAATGGGTGTGTTCGTTCAGTAAAGTTACTCGTTCAACGAAAAATGGGCCCAACTAACCAACTTTTTCAAACAAACAAGGAATTTGTTCAAACCGAACGCAAGGGTATAGTTTGCTTTAGAAAAATTAAACGTTCCACCGAAAAAGAAGCCCAACAAACTTAGTTTTGCAAACCAACGGGCT